CCCCCCCCCCCCCCCCCCCCCCCACACACACACACGAAATTTTAAACACTTCAGTAGGGGGTTTATTGGCCCTGTTCACTTCTGCAAACCAAATTTATACGGAAATAATTCTTTAAAACATTACGTCACCCCCCCCCATACACACAAAGACACACACGTGCTTCTTGCGGGGCTTTCTGAGAGTCGTATATTAGGGCCTATTTCACTTTAAATATATTGTACTTAATAGCATTAAGCGTATTGTTTTGACCTATATATATTTTTTCATTTATTTTTTCGCTGTGTTCGTCTTGCTGCAAGATAGAATTAATTCAAATATTATTCTCATCGAAATTGCTCTTAGTTAGTCTTGCTACATAGAATAACGGTAGGGTTCTTAGAAGAGTCGGGCTTCAACTCTTAAATAAGTATTTTTAATACACAATCTTTTCCCCGATGTTGAACGTGCTGGCTGTTCCCGCCCATGACTGTCTCTACCCTCTACCAGGGCCACAAATTGATTTTTACTAGATATCCACAGATACACATATATCTGGATAATATATGACAATTTTATCTACTGTACAACGCGATTTTTTTGCATGGAGTTAATTTCATCATTCAGCTGGCTTCAAGTATAAGAAAAAAGCGCCTCCGCTTCCACGGTTTTCACGGTCTCTAGTCCTAAACTAACTTCATTTTACCTTGGACGCGAATGACGAATACAAAACGTCTGTCACAATAAGACAGAGCTCGGTAGGTAGAGCTTGATTAATTCCCACAGTGATAACCCTATTATTCCCTTTGCAATTATCGAAGCGTCTTCCCACTGAAAAGAATGAAAAGGTCTATAAAGATCTAACCAGTGTCGGTTGTGTATGATTATTCGGTGCATTTATTGTGTTAAACTTTTCACGGGTGTTATGCTTCAGTATCCCTTTAAACATGCACCCCAGCTCATTTTAGCATCCTACAAAAAAGAAAAGGAGAAACGTCTACTCCTTTTGGTGGCAAGCTGCAAATGGAGGTCAGTCCCACGTGAAACTTGTTCTATAGGTAGAAACTAGTGCGGAACAAAAAATCCTTTTGTCACAGGAGTTGTGCAACACTCTCCCCGTGTTTGCCTCGATTTAGGCGAAATAGAACCCCCTGTGTTTGTTTTGAAGATGAGAATATGGTACAGTAACATGGAGTATCAGACGAAACTGTATGTTGGGGCGATCCCTGTGCTGTTAGCTTTGGCCTGGACTTTTCTAGGTCCAAATCTTGAAGATTTTTCACAGACAATATCGATAAATGACGCCGATCTTCCACAAGGCACCCCACCCAAGGGACACTTGCGCCCTTTCGGATACCACGCAGATGAGGAGAAGGGGATCGTCGAGCTAGACGAATTTCCTGATCCGGAGACTTTTTACAGGGACTTTATGAGGAAATCTGTCCCTATGATAGTGCGAGGTGGAGTAAAGCACTGGCCTGCGGTGGAAAGATGGAAGAGCGAGGATTACCTGAGAGAGAAATTTGGACATCAAGTATTCAACGTGATGTTTAAAAACACTTCAGTCGACAAAAATCACTTTGTCCATATGGCAATGCATATGGATGACTTTCTCAAGTAAGAAAGCTCAGATATTTCTGTCTTTAAATTGGATTCGATTGGCCCCTTTATTTCCTTCACTTATTCGGGTCCTTTAGCAGAAAAATCCTGATAAATACCGTCCGTCCATTTCTATCACCCTGAGTTTTAAAGAGCACTGTGCGGACAGTAAACTCGGTAGTTTATTATCATATCTCTCTTGATAGTGGAAACGGCAGAGACATGCAGATATGTGTAAGACAGTTGAGAGTTTTTTATTTTTATTATTATTATTATTTTTTTTTTTTTTTTTTTTTTTGGTGCCCTCTGAATCTCGGGGCGTTTTTTCATACTCCCTCTGCACATTTCCTCGGGTACCCTAAGGTCTATTTCCAAGGTGGTATTCTACCCTCTGCCAGAGCTGCAGATTAAATAAGCGCACTGTTCTCCAACGCAACACAGTGGTAAATAGTGGCATGAAATAACCAGAGACATATCTTTGAATGTCTAGTTAAAAATCAACGTGTAGTCCAGGTAGAGGGTAGGGGTGTTAACGTTTCCATTCGAATAGTGACTCACCTATGTGCAGTCTTCTACAAACTGTATATACCCGTTCACTGTCACTGGTACGTATCGGTGCATGTAGCTCGCAATCCGCTTTATTGCCTTACTGGTGGACTGACCTACCGGGGTACATGTTGGGTAAAAAAGTTATTTAACTATTCAAATCACATTATTACATTCCAGTTCTGAGTGTCAGTGGCCCTTTTATATCAAGCAAAATTGTACATATTTGCGTTTGGGAGCTCGTTTGTTAGATTTGTAATTTAATATTTCATCAGTCAGTTCATCTATTTGTTTTATTAACTCATTTCGTGACAATGTGTTTATAAACTGAATACTTACTATCCTACTTATTTATTAATTCCAGTCATTATAAGAACCAAAAACTCTACTTAGACTTTGGAATAACTTCAGAGATGGCGGAGGACGTTACCCTTCCAAAAATATTCGGTTGTGACACTTATTTAAAAATTGTAAGTAGTTTTTTTTTCTAAATTAAGTCAACGGTTACAAGGGTGCATTACAAAATGTGTAATTCAGGAAACAAAAAATATTACCCACTTTCATTGTTCGTTGATTTTTATTGCTCCCTACCTCCAAAACTTGGAAGCAGATGATGATTCAATAACAGTGCATTTTCAATTATCTAGATGAAGCAGTACCAAATTTTCTTCAATGCCGGTTGGTCCAGCACCGACCTTCACCTTGACATCACGGAGACTTTCTTCGCCCAGGTGACCGGTCAGAGACAGTGGATACTGACTACACCTAGAGACGGCAAGAACGCATACAGCGATGACTTTGAGCATCATACAGGTCGTTTGTTAATCTCTCACTCTCACTAGCTTTCAAGCATAGACCTAAGACGCATAAAATTCATGATTATATAGACTTATCCTCATTCAGTATGAACACTAAATGTTGCCTCAAAACAAAAATACATTTCAAGCCAGTTTAAACAAATTAGTTGACTTTGTACAACAACGTAATTTATAAGGAACATTTTCATATTGAGACCTTATTGGTAAATCGGGGTGAGAGCCCAATGTGCACTTCATTAAAACTGCAAGTTATTTATCAGATATATCACAGACTTGCGTTTCCATCCTCCCATCTTCCGAGTTGGGGATTTTTCACGTAGTTGTTTAGTATTTGTCAATGCACAAAATTAGTATTAGTAAGAAAACATTGGCAACACCACCTCAGAAATATGTTTTTTAAATTTTAGGTATATCTCAGCTTGATATCGAGTCCGTGGATTTGATCAATTTTCCCAACGTAACCAAGGTGGATGTATATAATATAACGGCCAATCCAGGAGACATCATTTACGTACCTGAGGGCTGGTGGCATCAGGTGCGAGCGAAAGGTCCCAACCCGCCAAACATCGCCATCGCCATATTTCTCCACTGGCTGAACTGTCAGTACGAGGTCCCACCTGGTACAGATGCCGAATATATAGACGGATGTATAAAGATCCGGGAGGAAAAGCCGCTCGGTGGGTGTTACTGATAGAAGCATGGAGAGGGAAGGACCCACCCCCCACCCACCCACTCAACAGCTTATTTGACTTTTTTTAGGCTGCCTAACATAAAGTGTACATCTTTTAAATTGTCTATTACCATTTATTTAGTCTAGTAGTGACGTCGGTATGACGTCAGCATGACGTTAACATGGTCATATTCCTCACGATTCTCCACCTTGATAAAGATTGACTATTCAAATGCATGTTTTTTCATGGTCAAGTTCGTAAGCCCACCAAGAAAGACATATTATATCAAAGATAATTTTAATTGATTTTATTAAAAATGTGGCTTGAGCGCTGGTGAGGCTTCTGAGAGCGATAATTTTAAAAATGATTAAACGTGCCTGCTGGTCGTATTTCTTATACCAGCAGGTCTCCGCAAGTTCTTTTCAGTAGTAATTAAATTCCTGTCTTTCTGTCTTTCTGTCATCTGTGTATGTCCTCTACCAAGAAAAAAGACTTCACGTTATCAAAGTTAATTCACTATTTATTTATTTATTTGTTTTAGAAATGACTTGTGGCATGAAAGTTGACGAGGCCCCTATCAGCGAGCTGATGAAAACGCTGAAACACATGGAACTGGAGACATTTACTGCAATCGAAGAGAGAGAGAACTGGACAATAACGAGTGACCTGAAGTTTGAAACTTCACTGCTGAAGAGCGGATACGAAAGTACTTAACGTGTAGTATAATATATGTTAAAAAAGAGAACAAAAATCCCATAGAACGTTATTAACGTAGCCACTTAAATTGACTTAGCAAAGGAGTTTATGTACGTTAAAACGTACATAAACTCCTTTGCTAATATTAAAAACGTAAAAAAAACATTCAAAAATGTTTTAATATTGTGGTTAATGCAAACTAAATCAAAACTTTATGAAACATTATTATGAATTTATAATATTTTATCATTGAATTATATCACGAAAATAATAAATAAATGCTGGTGTAACTTTGTTGAATTTTTCCACAGTGCCTGACCTGGGACTGGGACTTGGAGACATACCTCACAGTGAGTTAAAAGCTGCCCTTGAATACGCTCTCAAAGTTGGATACAGGTAGGGGAACGTTCATACATGAGCCGATATATCCCTTTTTAAATCCTTTACATCTTATGTTTCGTTTCCAGTACTGAAGTGAACGCCTTGGCTAACGAAAAAATGGATGCTGACTTATACAACAATGGCGGATCTAGCAGAAAGTATATACCGTCCGAGCAAGTGCCCCCCTTTTCTCCCTTCCAAATTAAAATTAGTATAACGAGTAAAACGGGCGTTTTTTTATCAACCCCCTCTTATATTAGAATTGGTCTCATGTATTGTTTCATGCTATCCGTCTTTGTGTTCCGCTATTAGCAGCATCCTGGATTCCAGTGCAGTGTTGTAGGCCTAAAGGCTCACAAATCTTTTGAAATTTGAAATATCAAACTACAAACTGTGACAGTTCATTTCTACAACAATTATGTTGTCTGATAAAGATGGTAGAACAGTGTAATAATATGTATTACAGTTATCATGTATTACAGCTATCAAGTGTATTACAGTTATCATAACTTAGATGAATTAAGAAATTCTGTGAATTTTTTAGGTTATTTGACCCAGATTTAATCGAGGAGTCCGAGTCTATTCTGGGGTCTGTTTTGGCGAACAACAAATACTGCAAACGAGAAGACGCTTTCGTTATTGTTAAAGTTCCTCAAGACAGTTTAGGTATAGACGCCACCAGAAAGTCGGTGGAAAACTCATTGAAGAGACTTCAGTCTGACTACTTGGATCTGGTCTTGCTGCAAGCACCATCTTGTGACCCCAAGAACGTGGAGTGTTGGGAATTATTAAAAGAATCATGGCAGACGTTGGAAGAAATGAACGCTACGGGAAGCATTCGTTCCTTGGGAGTTATGGACTTTAAAATGAAGAACCTTCGAGATCTAATCAAAATCGCCAAGGTACCAATATCCGTCGTTCACAGTCGATTCGACCTCATGAAAAGAAGGACAAAATTACGACAGCTCTGCGATGACAACGGTATTCGTTTCATGGGGCACAGTATAATGGGACAAAAATGGCAGACAGAAGACGGTCAAAATCCGTTAATGTCCAGCAATGACTTGAAGGTAGTGTCTAGAAGCGTTCACACTACAACACAGGCGGTTCTGATCCGGTGGGCGTTGGATCAGAATGTCACCGTAGTTCCACGAGCGTTGAATCTGTTGTACATTTCTCTCAACCAGAGGGCGCTAATGACTGACATCTCTGAATTTGAAGACATTTTCGAAAACTTCCCTCATTCAGATTAGTCCTGGGAGATTTCTTCTTTTTTTCTGTTCTTCATAATGCGTTTTATCTTTATTAGTTTAATTCTATCCTGTGTGATACGTATGTGTTTTGGACAAATAATATACAAATAGCGAAGAAAACTTTTTGTATAATTATTATCCTTAAGTACATTATTTAGGTGTGACCATTCTCTGAAAATGTGATTAGCTTCTTCTGGGAGGACCATATGTCTTCATATGATATTATTTCACTGTATTCAGAAAACTATCCAATGATTAATCGTTACGTTTTATTCAGAGTACTATCCAATGTTTTTGTTGTTGTTTACTTCTATTCAAAATACTATCATATAATAATTGTTCATGAATTATTCTATTCAGAATAATATTCAGTGTTTTTCGGTATCGTTTTATTTTATTCAGAATACTGCCTTTAGTTAAGAAATATAATTATGATGTCTTATATCAGGAGTTCTTATGATCAATACATCTTTGTGTTTTGATGAGTTGCTGTGATATTTCTTCGTCTGTTTAAAGGGATAATACTCTTCGTTTTGACAAAAAAAATGAATTTTCCTGGAGTAAACAACAATTTTCCCGTACTTACCAATGGTCAATGGATTCATTTTTACATTCATAGTTAGTCCCTGTTTTTTTTTTTTTTTTTTTTTTTTTTTTTTTTCTAAAAGGTTTTTTTTTTATATAATCTCTTAAGAGATTATAATAGAGTATAGCCATCAATGGAGGTCACGTGGTCTAAAGACAAGCTCAGATATAAGAATAATAGCTTTAACTGCCGTTTTTCTTGTACAACAAAATATATTATATTTTTATGAGTTGTTCACAATGTTTTTATTGTGAAAAAAAGATCTCATACGAAGAGTTATTATCCCTTTAAGAATATCCCTTTGTAACATATATCAATTATAACAATACGTTATCATCATTTATTTCTTAAAACCATGCTACACATACATCTCAGTGCTGTTCAAATAATTTAAAAACAGGCCCAGGAAAACTGGTCATAAAAATACACCGTTTCTACTCTAAAATTAAAGATTATACATAAAATAATTCGCGAAGGGCCCTGGACCACTAATTTACGCGTCTGGGCTCACATACTCTCTCATGCCACGATTTGACGAGTGGGATATCGTTGGGTGGTTATTTATCAGCATCATCATAATTTGTTTGAAAATCCAAAGCGAAAGATTGAAGAAATGATTTGTCTAACACTTTTGACTATTGTGAACATGAAGTTGGGTAAAAACTGCTTGTGTTGAATCCGATCATCATGGTATCATGACATCATGGTATCAGCGGAGGTTCCCACTCGCATATCTCGACTGTTTTGGTATTAGACGTCATTTCGGTGTTTCCTCAGTGTGGTGAAATTAATACCTTATGACTTAACAACATTTTAGTGTAAGGGAGTTTTGATAGTTTGAATGAATATACTGGGTACAGTAAAAAAAAGTTTAAAGATTATTTTCCGTATGTGTTTGTTTATTATGTATGTAAAAGATAAAGAAAGAAAAGATTTCACTTTTTGGGTGTCAAACCGGATCCAAAGCGATTGTGTTTGCACAGGTTACATGTACCACCCAGCCATGTCAACTTAGTAGAATAACCTTTTAGTTATCAGTCATAATATTGGTGAAAAAAAGTTAATGCAATTTAATTCTAAAAAAAGAGCTATGGATCAGTAGAATCGCCACTCGCGCCTTTTTTATGAAAATAAATCTAATGAATGCTGTTTTGCAAGTTTTCTGTTATACAATTCGACTTATTACCGCTGTTGTCAGAAAAATGTGAACATTTATTGAGGAATTAAAGAAAAAACATTGCAGTGTTGACAACGGTCCGCTGCATTAGAGGTTTCCTTTTGTCTGATGGTTGGAGCAAGGTATTACTGTGTAATGGCACTGATGCGTTGAATAACTAGAAAAAGGTACTTTACATTATTTAACTCAAGTGCCACAAGTCACGCTCTTAAAATGGGATATTTGAATCATATATACTGGGTCATGATTCAAGAAGATTTTTGACCAATGTTATTTCTTGGTTCCAAACCCCTCAAATCAGCGTCAGTTCGTCTAAGAAAAGAAACTGTTGGTTTCGGGGAGTACTCGATTTATGATTAATTTTATAAATTCGGTGGGAGGGGGAACATTCAAAGTGACCATTTTATTAGCTTTATTCAAAAACCGAAATGGAGTACAATGAATTTAATAACCCAGCAGATTAAAAAGAACACAATATAAGCTGTTTCTTGGTAGTACCAAATTTTCAGAGATGTTCGATGTCCATATTGTAGTGTCTACTATTTAGGCCCTCCCTGCCCCCTGTGCGTATGACTGATGGCGTAAAACAAAGTTGGGGTTGGGGATAAGATACCCCAACCCGCCTCCTGCGTGTATGCTGGTGTCGGAAAGTCGACCCTCAATTTAGTTATAATGGTTAGGGTTAGCCTGAACTAAGCCTGAACTAAGAGGATTAAAATCTAGGGCAAGGAGGGGGAAGCTCTCTTTTACGTTACACCGGAATGAAACATTGTACTTATTTATGTACTATTAATAATATATATTATTATATATATAATAATGACTTACATTAATACACGAAACTTAATTTTTGAACAAAATGAACATATTGCTCAACGCAATGCAATAATCAGAAAAGAATTTGAAGAAACACTTTATACTTTCCCGAATAAAATAAACAGTAACAACATTTTATAAAGACTCATAAAATTTGGATATAACGGTATTCTCGACTGAGTCACTTACTCAAACATATACATATACGTATAATTATTGCACAGATCTGTCACATCTTCTCGAGACGTACGTCCACGCACACATCACCACAGCATAGGATGGAGATGATTAAAAGCAAAATCATGCGAACCAATCTTCATTGGGAAACTGATCGAAAGTTGCTTCAAATTCAGAGTCCTCTGGTTGGAAGAAATGTAAAAAGGACTCGAAACTCGAAGAACCAACGCCCATCAGACCAGGGCCGCCTGTGGTGTAGCGTTCAAGACACTATTGATTATGAAAAAATATCGGATATAACTATTTGATAGAACTTGACATTTGACAATGTTTCTTATACAAACGTAGTTTTCTAAATATAATAAACCAATATTCAACATAGAATAAAACAGTACGTAACAGTAATGATAATGTATGTTATGGAGACATCTACTTGTCCGAATAAAACCTTCATATATTTTCACTTGCTATATATCCCAAAATTCACTAAGATAAAAAACGAACAAAGATAACATGCCTTTTCAGGAAAAGAAAAAAAAACACGAAAAAGAAATCTCATAAGACTAATCTGCGTGAGGGAAGTTTTCGAAAGTGTCTTCAAATTCAGAGATGTCAACCATCAGCGCCCTTTGGTTGAGAGAAATGTAAAACGGATTCAATGCTCGTGGAACAACGGTGACATTCTGATCCAACGCCCACCGGATTAAGACGGCCTGTGTTGTAGCACGAGAGGTTGCCGAGACTACACGTAGGTCATTGCTGGTCAGTATCGGATTCTGACCGTCTTCCGTCAGCCATTTTTCCCCCATTAAACTGTGCGCCATAAAACGAATGCCGTTGTCATTGCAGAGCTGTCGTAATTTTGTCCGTCTTTTCATGAGGTCGAATCGACTGTGAACAACAGAAATTGGTACCTTTGCGATCTTGATGAGATCCCGAAGGTTCTTTATTTTTATGTCCATCACTCCCAAGGAACGAATGCTTCCCGTAGCGTTCATTTCTTCCAACGTCTGCCATGATTCTTTTAATAATTCCCAACACTCCTCGTCCTTGGGGTTGCAAGAAGGCACTTGCAGCAAGACCAGATCCAAGTAGTCAGTCTGAAATCTCTTCATTGAGTTTTCCACCGACTTTCTGGTCGCGTCTTTACCTAAACTGTCTTGAGGAACTTTAACAATAACGAAAGCGTCTTCTCGTTTGCAGTGTTTGTTGCTGGCCAAAACAGACCCCAGAATAGACTCGGACTCCTCGCTTAAATCTGGGTCAAATAACCTAAAACAACATTTTGTAAACGCCAAATTATAAAAAAGCTATATGTATAATACCTTTTGCTTTATCCCACAATATTGTGTCTTAAAAAAGTGAACTATTACTGCAGTGCCTTTTGATCTTCAGTTTTCACAGATTTTTTATTTTTTACCATAACAGCTTCAACTGTTTAAAACGCGATCGGCCTAACACTGAAAATATTTCAATACTGGGAAAGAAACTTAAGATGGCAACATGCACAATTCCACGGTGATATTGTTCACCTACCTGTATCCAGTCTTAAGAGCGTATTCAAGGGCAGCTTCTAGCTCACTGTCAGGTATGTCTCCAAGTGCCAGTCCCAGGTCAGGCACTGCGGAAAAAAGTTACACCAGCATTTATCTACTTTTTACATATTATACTTCAATCATAGAATTTTAATTTATTTTACAGTTGAAAATGTACTGTCAAAATTGTTGAGTAAATTTCTGTCCATAAATCCGTTTCTGGGCTCTAAATGTCTATTCTGATCTAATAATGTTTGTGGAGCATTAAATGTGTACAAGACTTGCTACATGTATTTGCTGGATCACTATTCTACAAAGAATTATATATATATATATATATATATATATATATATATATATATATATATATATATATATATATTCTGGAGAACAGAACATATTAATAATACTTAATCTATAATTTTACCTTACTTAAAACAATAAAGTTAGTACACATGTGATGTGATATAATACACTTGTAAGGCTGCTTTACGACAGTGACTTGTAGAAGGCTAACGATTAAAGCAATAAGCAATGTTGGGCATACTTTCATATCCACTTTTTAGCAGTGAAGTTTGAATTTCCAGTTCTTCCATGATTTCACTGGCATCCTCACTGATTGAAGTAAAGACGTCCAGTTCCATGTGTTTTAGTGTTTCCTTCAGCTCACTCATAGGTGCTTCATCAACTTTCATGCCACAAGTCATTTCTGAAAAAAAATCGACTATGAATCATCTTTGATATCACAGAGGATTGATTGATTGATACAAAAGAATATGCACCGGTTTGCATATATTATCAAAGAGGAAAATATGAGTAATGTTACCAGCAGGCACACCGACGTCATACCGACGCCACTGCTGGAAGATGTGAATACTGTTTATATTTTAAACGATGTTACAGGGATAACAATTATTCGTATGAGACTCATATTTAACGAGAAATACGTTGTAAACAACTCATAGAAATATAATAAATTCTATTTTACCACCAAAACGGCGCTTAGCGCAATTATTCTGAACCTGTGCTTGCCATCGGACCACGTGACCTCAATCGGTGGCTTCCCTTTGAAAGAATCTCTTAAGAGATTTTTACAAAAACCAAACTTTTTAAAACCATGGACTAGCTTTGAATGTCAGAACGGGTTTATGAACCATTGTGAAGTATGGGGGAATTGTCGTTTACCCCAGGAAAATCCATTTTGGGCCAAAATGAAGAGTTTTTATCCCTTTAACCTTACAAATAGGAGGCAACCTTAGAAATTCAGGTGTGGATGAAATGTAGACCTGAGATGGCGTTGGTGTGGGCTTGGGCTTCTGGGCGTTCCATCAGTAACACTCACCGAGCGGCTTCTCCTCCCGGATCTTTATACACCCTTCTACATATTCGGCATCTGTACCAGGTGGGACCTCGTACTGACAGTTCAGCCAGTGGAGAAATATGGCGATGGCGATGTTTGGCGGGTTGGGACCTTTCGCTCGCACCTGATGCCACCAGCCCTCAGGTACGTAAATGATGTCTCCAGGATTGGCCGTTATATTATATACATCCACCTTGGTTACGTCGGGAAAATTGATCAAATCCACAGACTCGATATCAATCTGAGATATACCTAAAATGAATTTTTTTAGACTGTTAAGGGGGGTTGTTGATGTAAGAATGGCCCTCATAATACAACGTCGACAAAAATAAAATCGCTCAAATGAAAAGATGCTCTTTTTTCCCTCTTTGGTTAAACATATGGGCTTTGCTTTTATAAACATATGTTAATGTTACCTGTATGATACTGGAAGTCGTCGCTGTATGTGTTCTTGCCGTCTCTAGGTGTGGTCAGTATCCACTGTCTCTGACCAGTCACCTGGGCGAAGAAGGTCTCCGTGATGTCAAGGTGAAGGTCGGTGCTGGACCAACCGGCATTGAAGAATATTTGGTACGGTTTCATCTAGATGATTGTAAATGTATTGATTATGAAAATACATCTTTTTTTTTTTTTTTTTTTGAGTGGGAAATTAGAAATCAACCAATCAAGTAATGACGATCATGTGTCATTTTTGTAAAAGATAAACCTATGGCTTCAGACTTAATAAGAACAGTAATAGTTCCATTCTATGAAAAGCGCTATACATGCGTCCAAGCGCTGTTTACATATGAATATAAAAACTAAAAATACACAGATCATTTTAGAACTTATATAAGAGAAAGTTAAGCTAAAAGATACAGGTTAATTAAAAAATTTAAATAAAAAGTTTTTGTGTTTTTTTTATTTCTTTGAAAACAATGATAGGAGTCATTAAAAGAACATTTGCTTTATTAATGTAATTGGACCATAAAATTGATGCTGTAGTGTCAAAAGCCCTGTGACCATACGTTTTATTTCTTTTTATTGTATCATCCCGCTTTAGTTAAATTCGACCACTGAATCTTACACACAGTTTGTTTGTTAATCTCATTCGCCGTTAAATAAAAATGTACTCACAATCTTAAAATATGTGTCACATCCGAACACTTTTGGAAGAGTGACGTCTTCCGCCATCTCTAAACTTATACCGGCGTCTAAGTAGAGTTTGTGGTTCTTATAATGACTGGAATTAATACATAAATGTAAAGGTGGAACAACTTAACTTACAAACATTAAATACGCAGCTTTTTTTTAATTTATTTAAAAAAAGTAGAGAGTAATCATGTTATTTTTAAAAATAATATAGTACAATTTATAGCTATGGCCGTCATCCGGTACGTGACCTACCTCTGTAAAGAAATTGAGGGTCCGTGTGACAGAGAGTCCGCCCTCCATTAGATTCATACAGGTTTACATGACGTAAGTGGGTCATATTCTAAGTGGCCTTACCTGGACAAGGGAATGGAAACCANGTTTCGTTTTGAGATTGAAAATCCAAAGCGAAAGATTGAAGAAATGATTTGTCTAACACTTTTGACTATTGTGAACATGAAGTTGGGTAAAAACTGCTTGTGTTGAATCCGATCATCATGGTATCATGACATCATGGTATCAGCGGAGGTTCCCACTCGTATATCTCGACTGTTTTGGTATTAGACGTCATTTCGGTGTTTCCTCAGTGTGGTGAAATTAATACCTTATGACTTAACAACATTTTAGTGTAAGGGAGTTTTGATAGTTTGAATGAATATACTGGGTACAGTAAAAAAAGTTTAAAGATTATTTTCCGTATGTGTTTGTTTATTATGTATGTAAAAGATAAAGAAAGAAAAGATTTCTCTTTTTGGGTGTCAAACCGGATCCAAAGCGATTGTGTTTGTACAGGTTACATGTACCACCCAGCCATGTCAACTTAGTAGAATATATATATTGGAAAATTAACGTGTGTTAAAAACATCAGACTTAACAGAAATAAAGGCTTTAGAAACAAACAATCGCAAAATCATTTTCGTTTTATCTGAGTTCAAATCAACCAATGTACACAGAGCTTCGCGAGAGCATTCAGGGCAATGGATGCGTGTACATGTAAGTATGAATGTGTGAAGTGGTCCATTGTATGTGCCTAAAAGAATAACCTTTTAGTTATCAGTCATAATATTGGTGAAAAAAAGTAAATGCAATTTAATTCTAAAAAAAGAGCTATGGATCAGTAGAATCGCCACTCGCGCCTTTTTTATGAAAATAAATCTAATGAATGCTGTTTTGCAAGTTTTCTGTTATACAATTCGACTTATAACCGCTGTTGTCAGAAAAATGTGAACATTTATTGAGGAATTAAAGAAAAAACATTGCAGTGTTGACAACGGTCCGCTGCATTAGAGGTTTCCTTTTGTCTGATGGTTGGAGCAAGGTATTACTGTGTAATGGCGCTGATGCGTTGAATAACTAGAAAAAGGTACTTAACATTATTTAACTCAAGTGCCACAAGTCACGTTCTTAAAATGGGATATTTGAATCATATATACTGAGTCATGGTTCAAGAAGATTTTTGACCAATGTTATTTCTTGGTTCCAAACCCCTCAAAACAGCGTCCGTTCGTCAAAGAAAAGAAACTGTTGGTTTCGGGGAGTACTCGATTTATGATTAATTTTATAAATTCGGTGGGAGGGGGAACATTCAAAGTGACCATTATATTAGCTTTATTCAAAAACCGAAATGGAGTACAATGAATTTAATAACCCAGCAGATTAAAAAGAACACAATATAAGCTGTTTCTTGGTAGTACCAAATTTTCAGAGATGTTCGATGTCCATATTGTAGTGTCTACTATTTAGATCCTCCCTGCCCCCTGTGCGTATGACTGATGGCGTAAAAAAAGTTGGGGTTGGGGATAAGATACCCCAACCCGCCTCCTCCGAAAGTCGGCCCTCAATTTAGTTATAATGGTTAGGGTTAGCCTGAACTAAGCCTGAACTAAGAGGATTAAAGTCTAGGGCAAGGAGGGGAGGCTCTCTTTTACGTTACACCGGAATGAAACATTATACTAATTTATGTACTATTAATAATATATATTATTATATATATATATAATAATGACTTACATTAATACACGAAACTTTATTTTTGAACAAAATGTACATATTGCTCAACGCAATGCAATAATCAGAAAAGAATTTGAAGAAACACTTTATACTTTCCCGAATAAAATAAACAGTAACAACATCTTACAAAGACTCATAAAATTTGGATATAACGGTATTCTCGACTGAGTCACTTACTCAAACATATACATATACGTATAATTATTGCACAGATCTGTCACATCTTCTCGAGACGTACGTCCAAGCACACATTACCACAGCATAGGATGGAGATGATTAAAAGCAAAATCATGCGAACCAATCTTCATTGGGAAACTGATCGAAAGTTGCTTCAAATTCAGAGTCCTCTGGTTGGGAGAAATGTAAAAAGGACTCGAAACTCGAAGAACCAACGCCCATCAGACCAGGGCCGCCTGTGGTGTAGCGTTCAAGACACTATTGATTATGAAAAAATATCGGATATAACTATTTGATAGAACTTGACATTTGACAATGTTTCTTATACAAACGTAGTTTTCTAAATATAATAAACCAATATTCAACATAGAATAAAACAGTACGTAACAATAATGATAATGTATGTTATGGAGACATCTACTTGTCCGAATAAAACCTTCATATATTTTCACTTGCTATATATCCCAAAATTCACTAAGATAAAAACGAACAAAGATAACATGCCTTGTCAGGAAAAGGAAAAAAACACGAAAAAGAAATCTCCTAAGACTAATCTGCGTGAGGGAAGTTTTCGAAAGTGTCTTCAAATTCAGAGATGTCAACCATCAGGGCCCTTTGGTTGAGAGAAATGTAAAACGGATTCAATGCTCGTGGAACAACGGTGACATTCTGATCCAACGCCCACCGGATTAAGACGGCCTGTGTTGTAGCACGAGAGGTTGCCGAGACTACACGTAGGTCATTGCTGGTCAGTATCGGATTCTGACCGTCTTCCGTCAGCCATTTTTCCCCCATTAAACTGTGCGCCATAAAACGAATGCCGTTGTCATTGCAGAGCTGTCGTAATTTTGTCCTTCTTTTCATGAGGTCAAATCGACTGTGAACAACAGAAATTGGTACCTTTGCGATCTTGATGAGATCCCGAAGGTTCTTTATTTTTATGTCCATCACTCCCAAGGAACGAATGCTTCCCGTAGCGTTCATTTCTTCCAACGTCTGCCATGATTCTTTTAATAATTCCCAACACTCCTCGTCCTTGGGGTCGCAAGAAGGCACTTGCAGCAAGACCAGATCCAAGTAGTCAGTCTGAAGTCTCTTCATTGAGTTTTCCACCGACTTTCTGGTCGCGTCTTTACCTAAACTGTCTTGAGGAACTTTAACAATAACGAAAGCGTCTTCTCGTTTGCAGTGTTTGTTGCTGGCCAAAACAGACCCCAGAATAGACTCGGACTCCTCGCTTAAATCTGGGTCAAATAACCTAAAACAACATTTTGTAAACGCCCAATTATAAAAAAGCTATATGTATAATACCTTTTGCTTTATCCCACAATATTGTGTCTTAAAAAAGTGAACTATTACTGCAGTGTCTTTTGATCTTCAGTTTTCACAGATTTTTTATTTTTTACCATAACAGCTTCAACTGTTTAAAACGCGATCGGCCTAACACTGAAAATATTTCAATACTGGGAAAGAAACTTAAGATGGCAACATGTACAATTCCACGGTGATATTGTTCACCTACCTGTATCCAGTCTTAAGAGCGTATTCAAGGGCAGCTTCTAGCTCACTGTCAGGTATGTCTCCAAGTGCCAGTCCCAGGTCAGGCACTGAGGAAAAAAGTTACACCAGCATTTATCTACTTTTTACATATTATACTTCAATCATAGAATTTTAATTTATTTTACAGTTGAAAATGTACTGTCAAAAATTGTTGAGTAAATTTCTGTCCATAAACCCGTTTCTGGGCTCTAAATGTCTATTCTGATCGTCATGAAAGTCTTTCACCAGTATTCATCTTCATTACAAAAGTTACCCAAAATTAGAAACCGGGCTTAGATATCATTATTCTGTCGACGATAATAATAATAATAATAATAATAATAATAATAATAATAATAATAATAATAATGTTTGTGGAGCACTAAATGTGTACATGACTTGCTATATGCTGGATCACTATTCTACGAAGAGTAATATATATATATATATATATATATATATATATATATATATATATATATATATATATAATACGGATAATACTTAATAACATAACATAACATATTAATAGTACTTAATCTTTAATTTTAGCTTACTTAAAACAATAAAGTTAGTACACATGTGATATAATACATTTGTAAGGCTGCTTTACGACAGTGACTTGTAGAAGGCTAACGATTAAAGCAATAAGCAATGCTAGGCATACTTTCATATCCACTTTTAAGCAGTGAAGTTTGAATTTCCAGTTCTTCCATGATTTCACTGGCATCCTCACTGATTGAAGTAAAGACGTCCAGTTCCATGTGTTTTAGTGTTTCCTTCAGCTCACTCATAGGTGCTTCATCAACTTTCATGCCACAAGTCATTTCTGAAAAAAAAATCGACTATGAATCATCTTTGATATCACAGAGGATTGATTGATTGAAACAAAAGAATATGCATCGGTTTGCATATATTATCAAAGAGGAAAGTATGAGTAGGCCTAATGTTACCAGCAGGCACACCGACGTCATACCGACGCCACTGCTGGAAGATGTGAATACTGTTTATATTTTAAACGATGTTATAGGGATAACAATTATTCGCATGAGACTCATATTTAACGAGAAATACGTGGTATACAACTCATAGAAACATAATAAATTCTATTTTACCACCAAAACGGCGCTTAGCGCAATTATTCTGAACCTGTGCTTGCCATCGGACCACGTGACCTCAATGGGTGGCTTCCCTTTGAAAGAATCTCTTAAGAGATTTTTACAAAAACCAAACTTGTTAAAACCATGGACTAGCTTTGAATGTCGGAGGAGGCAACCTTAGAAATTCAGGTGTGGATGAAATGTAGACCTGAGATGGCGTTGGTGTGGGCTTGGGCTTCTGGGCGTTCCATCAGTAACACTCACCGAGCGGCTTCTCCTCCCGGATCTTTATACACCCTTCTACATATTCGGCATCTGTACCAGGTGGGACCTCGTACTGACAGTTCAGCCAGTGGAGAAATATGGCGATGGCGATGTTTGGCGGGTTGGGACCTTTCGCTCGCACCTGATGCCACCAGCCCTCAGGTACGTAAATGATGTCTCCAGGATTGGCCGTTATATTATATACATCCACCTTGGTTACGTCGGGAAAATTGATCAAATCCACAGACTCGATATCAATCTGAGATATACCTAAAATGAATTTTTTTAGACTGTTAAGGGGGGTTGTTGACGTAAGAATGGCCCTCATAATACAACGTCGACAAAAATAAAATCGCTCAAATGAAAAGATGCCCTTTTTTCCCTCTTTGGTTAAACGTATGGGCTTTGCTTTTATAAACATATGTTACCTGTATGATACTGGAAGTCGTCGCTGTATGTGTTCTTGCCGTCTCTAGGTGTGGTCAGTATCCACTGTCTCTGACCGGTCACCTGGGCGAAGAAAGTCTCCGTGATGTCAAGGTGAAGGTCGGTGCTGGACCAACCGGCATTGAAGAATATTTGGTACGGTTTCATCTAGATGATTGAAAATGCATTGATTATGAAAATACATCTTTTTTGAGTGGGAAATTAGAAATCAACCAATCAGGTAATGAAGACCATGTGTTATTTCTGTAAAAGATAAACCTATGGCTTCAGACTTAATAATAACTTAAATAGTTCCATTCTATGAAAAGCGCTGTACATGTGTATCAGCGCTGTTTATATATAAATATAAATACTAAAAATACACAGATCATTTTAGAACTTATATAAGAGAAAGTTAAGCTAAAAGATACAAGTTAATTAAAAAATTTAAATAAAAAGTTTTTGTGTTTTTTTTTTATTTCTTTGAAAACAATGATAGGAATCATTAAAAGAACATTTGCTTTATTAATGTAATTGGACCATAAAATTGATGCTGTAGTGTCAAAAGCCCTGTGACCATACGTTTTATTTCTTTTATTGTATCATCCCGCTTTAGTTGAATTCGACCACTGAATCTTACACACAGTTTGTTTGTTAATCTCAATCGCCGTTAAATAAAAATGTACTCACAATCTTAAAATATGTGTCACATCCGAACACTTTTGGAAGAGTGACGTCTTCCGCCATCTCTAAACTTATACTGGCGTCTAAGTAGAGTTTGTGGTTCTTATAATGACTGGAATTAATACATAAATGTAAAGGTAGAACAACTTAACTTACAAACATTAAATACGCAGCTTTTTTTAAATTTATTTAAAAAAAGTAGAGAGTCATCATGTTATTTTTAAAAATAATATAGTACAATTTATAGCTATGGCCGTCATCCGGTACGTGACCTACCTCTGTAAAGAAATTGAGGGTCCGTGTGACAGAGAGTCCGCCCTCCATTAGATTCATACAGGTTTACATGACGTAAGTGGGTCATATTCTAAGTGGCCTTACCTGGACAAGGGAATGGGAACCGGTGATGGTGGGCGGGTGAAAAGACAGCCTCAATTGGCTGTCTTTGACAAGGTACACCGTCACGCTGAGATGATGGCCCGAGGCTGCACACCCGGGGAGGCGTGGGAAGGGCATTCAGAAAGGGGCGGGAGTTATATAGCAGGATTTTTATGCAAAAGGACCTGCATTAGTCAAGGAAATAAGCGTGGTGAACTTTAAAGATAAAGATACCTAAGTTAGCTTACTTGAGATAATCATCCATATACATGAACATATGCCCAAAGTGATTCTTGTCGACTGAGGTGTTTTTAAACATTACGTTGAATACTTGATGTCCAAATTTCTCTCTCAGGTAATCCTCGCTCTTCCATCTTTCCACTGCTGGCCAGTGCTTTACTCCACCTCGCACTATCAAAGGGACAGATTTTCTCATATAGTCCCTGTAAAAAGTCTCCGGGTCAGGAAATTCGTCTAGCTCGACGATCCCCTTCTCTTCATCTGCGTGGTATCCGAAAGGGCGCAAGTGTCCCTTGGGTGGAGTACCTTGTGTGGGATCGGCGTCACTTACGGATAAAGTTTGTGAAACATCTTCAAGTTTTGGGCCTAGAAAAACCCAGGCCAAAGCTAACAGCACAGGAATTGCACCAACGTACAACTTTCCCTGATACTCCATTCTATACTGGAGTGAATACAAGTTAAATACAGCAAGTCAATTGTCTCGTTCTCAGGGCAAATGATAAAGGCTGCATGCGGCCAAGACGAGGCAACGGTGCGTAGAGTGTTTTAAAATGCATTTACGCAGGGGATTCGCNGGCGTCTAAGTAGAGTTTGTGGTTCTTATAATGACTGGAATTAATACATAAATGTAAAGGTAGAACAACTTAACTTACAAACATTAAATACGCAGCTTTTTTTAAATTTATTTAAAAAAAGTAGAGAGTCATCATGTTATTTTTAAAAATAATATAGTACAATTTATAGCTATGGCCGTCATCCGGTACGTGACCTACCTCTGTAAAGAAATTGAGGGTCCGTGTGACAGAGAGTCCGCCCTCCATTAGATTCATACAGGTTTACATGACGTAAGTGGGTCATATTCTAAGTGGCCTTACCTGGACAAGGGAATGGGAACCGGTGATGGTGGGCGGGTGAAAAGACAGCCTCAATTGGCTGTCTTTGACAAGGTACACCGTCACGCTGAGATGATGGCCCGAGGCTGCACACCCGGGGAGGCGTGGGAAGGGCATTCAGAAAGGGGCGGGAGTTATATAGCAGGATTTTTATGCAAAAGGACCTGCATTAGTCAAGGAAATAAGCGTGGTGAACTTTAAAGATAAAGATACCTAAGTTAGCTTACTTGAGATAATCATCCATATACATGAACATATGCCCAAAGTGATTCTTGTCGACTGAGGTGTTTTTAAACATTACGTTGAATACTTGATGTCCAAATTTCTCTCTCAGGTAATCCTCGCTCTTCCATCTTTCCACTGCTGGCCAGTGCTTTACTCCACCTCGCACTATCAAAGGGACAGATTTTCTCATATAGTCCCTGTAAAAAGTCTCCGGGTCAGGAAATTCGTCTAGCTCGACGATCCCCTTCTCTTCATCTGCGTGGTATCCGAAAGGGCGCAAGTGTCCCTTGGGTGGAGTACCTTGTGTGGGATCGGCGTCACTTACGGATAAAGTTTGTGAAACATCTTCAAGTTTTGGGCCTAGAAAAACCCAGGCCAAAGCTAACAGCACAGGAATTGCACCAACGTACAACTTTCCCTGATACTCCATTCTATACTGGAGTGAATACAAGTTAAATACAGCAAGTCAATTGTCTCGTTCTCAGGGCAAATGATAAAGGCTGCATGCGGCCAAGACGAGGCAACGGTGCGTAGAGTGTTTTAAAATGCATTTACGCAGGGGATTCGCATCAACAAGTCCTCGTCAAAGCCTTTCTGTTCCGCATCAGTTTCCACCAAAAGAATTACCTTGCTTAAAGAATCCGTGAGTCAAAAAGGTCATGGTTACAGTCTCATCTCGACTTCAGGTGATCATACAACATGGTAACAGCTGAATGGTTGAAAAGAAAAAATAGTTTTAAAGGGAGAGCAATATAAGGTTAAAATACCTGTCTTTAAACGATCAAACGACCGAAAAAGATATCTCAGGGGGTTATTTACATAAACATATGTGAACATTTTATGGTGTATTACACTTATGGTGTTTTATTTGCAAACTGTTTAATGTCACTTTTTACTTAATGTTGACTACTTTTCGTATTGCAAAGTAGTTGTATTAAACAGAGAAAATAATATTGCTAGACAATATTATGCAAATTCTACACAAACTGTGTGCCACAGTGTTTTAAACGCATTTACGCAGGGGATTCTCATCAACAACTGCTCGTAAAAGCTTTCTGTTCCGCACCAGTTTCCATCATAAGAATTATCTTGCTTAAAGAAGCTGTAAGTCAAAAAGGTCATGGCCACAATGCCTTCACCAATTCAGGTGGACGTAACCTGGCAACAGTCTAATGGTTGGAAAGAAAAATAGTCTTTGAAGGGAGAGCAACATAAGATACGTTTGTTCATATAATAAGAAAAGACCGAATGAGATTCTCGGTTTTAAAAGGCACTTTGTGTTCTATACCACTTATATGTTATTTGTTATTTACATATGGGACATCCCACGAAACAGAGAACATTTGGGTCACATCAGTGACGCGCACACATTGTTTAACATTTTCAAGTTGTTTAATGTCACTGATTACTTAATGTTGACTTCTTTCAATATTAGAAAGTAGTAATATAAAACGGAGAAAATAACGAAAATATTATGCACATTCTTCACAAAATATGTGTGAAGCTTTTATTTACAATGACCCAGATAGAACTACAAAACAAAATTTTAATTCCTCAAAAACTTTCCTCTTTTCTACGGTACTGACAACGTGCGCACTAGCACCGCCCACCCATATAAACATACCTTGACCACTAAGTGCAGGCAACCGTTACCGACAGTTGGAGTAGGAAAAACGTACAGAAAGAACATTTTTTGTTAAAAAGGTAAAATTGCCTCTGACTTAAGAGAAAAAATATGGTCATTAATTATAGACTTGAAAAACCACAAATTGTGTTTTAAGCTTTTTGTACATGTGCCTACAGGTACAGGCTTATAGGGACAACAGCTCTTCATATGAGATTCATAATTCCAACGAGATTATTACAAAAACATCAACTCACTTAAAAAACAATCGACTAACTTTGAAGGTCGAAACAGATTCTTTAGCCATTGGAAATGTGACAAAACTGTCGTTTACCCAGGAAAGTCCGTTTTATGCCACTTTTCCTGCCAAAATGATAAGTTGTCATCCCTCTAATGGTCAAATCAATAATGGAGGGTCACAGCGGTTTTGAGAGAATATAAAAACCTTTTGAAAAGCGGCAGAGCGCATCTACTGTCTTGGGTCCGTATTCGAAAAGTTCACTCGGCGCTCAGTTAGTGCAGGGAATTATAACGGATATAATACATTTCTGATTTTCACGCGTGACAGGAAACTTATAATGCATTTGTTCAGTATCTGAAACGATCTTATTGAGGAAGCATTCACCCTACACACATATTAGCGCTTAGACCGGCCTTCAGTCAGACTTGAGTAATATGAGCGAAGTGTTAGCGAGAGGAACTTTTTATTCACCCAAGCTCTAGTGTAAAACGGTGCGTTCTTCATTTCGTATCGTACGCTGTCGAGTGTCAGGACAAAAAACTCCGTTACCAATATGGAATACCAGATTAAAGTGTGTATTGGGGCAATCCCAGTGATTATAGCATTGGCTTGGACTTTCTTAGGGTCGAACCCAGGGGACGGCGTTGCACGGATATTGAAAGTTAAGCCGGACGAGGCCGAATACATGGGACAGGCCCCAAGGGGGCACATGCTTCCTTACGGACACCATGTCGAGGAGCCAAAGGCCATCGTAGAGCTAGATCATTTTCCTGATCCAGAGACTTTTTATAGGGAATATGTTCACAAATCCGTCCCTTTGGTGGTTCGAGGGGGGTTGAATCACTGGCCTGCAGTGCAAAAATGGAAAAGTGAAGATTATTTGAGAGAGAAGTTTGGAGGGAATGTGTTTCAAGTTATGTATAAGAACACGACAGCCGACAAGGAGCATTACTCTTTCATGTCTATGACTATGGACATGTTTCTGGAGTAAGTACAATTCTCTCTCTCTCTCTCTCTCTCTCTCTCGCTAATTATTGATATCGCCGACATTATATTTTTACTGTTGAATTCTTCTATACAATCTTGAGGCTCTATATGCAGAATACGGTGCAAAATTATCCAGTATTTGAGATTGAAGGTATACTTTCTGCGTTTGTCCCAAAGTTATATTTTCTGCGTCTACATATTTTGCAAAGCTACTTATCTTTCCCAATGCAAAACGATAAACCGCCTCAAATAAAAGTACCTAAGGTAGATATCTCTTTGTCATATGTACGAGAAAACATGGCGGTCTGAATGAATTGAGCACTAAATTACTGAATTAGAAATGGTATAAAGCATCGAAACCAATGGCTGGTACTGGTGGAGAAATGATTTGTAAATAAGAAAATATTGCTTTTTAACTAGGAACATTTGATTTGGTGGCAAAGTTCCAGATAGGATACCTTTAATTCGTGAAGAAATCTGACGTTAACGAGACTGCAGTGCCTTATAAAATGACCCTTTACACTTCAGTGATTACAAGAACTATAAGCTATACTTGGACTCACAGATATCTATAGAAATGGCAGAGGACATAACCTTGCCTGGTTACTTTGGATGCGACCACTTTCTAAAGCTGGTATGCTATGTTTTGCATAAAGCCTTAAAGGAATCTGTGGTTTTTAAAATTAGTGTTGCAAAAACAGATTATCATAAAATTGATGTTGACGATCGCTGAAGCACAATGCGCATGCACACACACACACACACACACACACACACACTGCATCTTAATTCTAAGGATGATAACACTTTGACACCTTAATTCCCAACAGATGACTGGGGTCAACATATTCTTCAATTCGGGTTGGTCGAGCACCGAGAACCACCTAGACATTACGGAGACGTTCTTCGCTCAGGTGGTTGGCGGACGACAGTGGATCCTGACGCCCCCGCAAGACGGACAATATCTGTACACAGACAACTTCACGTGGCATTCGGGTAATTCATAAGTTTCATTCACGCTAGATTTTATTTTCACCTTTTGGGTCTCTTTTTACTTGGCAGGAACGAGACAGAACGTGGAAATCAAAGAGAAGTTAATAAAAGAAAAAAATCAAAAAGCACAACTAATTTAAGATTTTAAGAGAAAATTATCGAAATGAATTGACTTCTGAAAGTGACTTCTTATTTAATTATGTTCTCCCACTGTAATATTTTGATTATTTGATTTATCGAACATACAGGAAGCCTAATATTTTTACTGCAATGATACGGCCACTACAAGGGTTCGGACACTACATGGATAATATATGTGTGCCTCTTCCGTACTGAAAAAAAATACAATTATAGGCCTACCCATCATTTTTAACTGCCTGTTACTACATGTACAACATTACCAATAATTCGGAAACTACATAAATGGCAACGTTTTGTAAAGCTACTGATTATTTTTAAATTATTATATTAAAATACCACAAAGTTTATGTTTTGCAAACCATTTTGAACACAGAGCAAATAGGAATTATGTCCTTCATTCAACATTAAATTAATAGGCATAGGTTATGGTACAGGTTGATTTTGACTAGGGTCTTACCAATATTTCTAATGCCTTGTCCAGTGTGGCATGAGTTACGCCGTTTTCACGTAGCGCATTAGAGGAGTGTTTCAAGTCATGTCTTAAACTGAGGGTGCAAAACAGACAACGTGTCTAACTTTTGTTAGCTATAATGAAAAATAAGTAGGCCTACATGTCAATCTTCACCTTAACACCCTACCAATTTTCGGTTATAATAATTATAATTATATTGCACTCAAGGTATATCCCCTGTGGATAAAGAAGCAGTAGACCTGTACCGTTACCCGGACGTCGCTAAAGTGGACATTTATAACGTCACAGCCTACGAGGGGGACATCGTGTACTGCCCAGAGGGGTGGTTCCACCAGGTCAGCGCAGTAGGTGGACCAAACATAGCCATTGCCTGGTACCTCTATGACTACGACTGCCAGACTAAATGCCAAATGACCACGTACCAAACCTATGTAGAATGCTGTACTGACATACGGAATAGTAGACCGGATGGTATGATACTTTTGTTATTGTTGCTGTTTAAATATTGAGTAAATTTACTAGTACATGTGTTCATTATATAAAGATTATGTGTTCATTCACTAAGGGCTAGGCAACATAATTATCAATTAGAGAAATGGTAATGCACCAATTGTATTATATCGTCATTAATATGTCATGTTGTACAAGGTCATGACAATCATGTACCAGTACAGAAATAAATTGAAATTGAATTGAAAAATTGACTCAGAGTTCATAAACAGATATCATGAATTTCTAAAGAACACTTTTAACATCTGGGATTTGGGTTATTTACATCAATTACAAGTTACTGTGGGCAATCTCTTTCTATCTTTCTCTCTCATTTTGCACTGATACATTCCCTTCTCCCCAGTACATTAAATTAGCTCAGTCTTTTCTCTTGCAGAAATTTCTTGCGACATAAAACCGGAAGAGATGCCTCTGGCTACATTGCTTCGTGCGTACGTCGATGACGTGCCATTTGCGGCAGATCTGGACGCAGGAACACTGGAAATATTTTCTCAACCAGAACCTTTCCAGTTAAACAGTGGATATGACAGTAAGATTAATATGTATTGTTGTTATTATATTCTTTACGTATATACAAAAATAACTTTCTTTGCTATTCAATGAAGTACGGTGTTTGATTACAGAAACTGAAGGGTATTCCATTGGAACATCACCCTGATGTATGCTTCATACTTAGACATACAAATTACCGTTTCCATTTCTTTAACTTACCAAGGTGCAAAATGAAATCTTTGCTGTCTTTCCTCAATTGTGACCTTTTCTTTGTTTCAATCAGTGCCGATACTAGGCCTTGGANAAGAAGGTTGGATTCTCAAGGGATTCTCATCAACAACTGCTCGTAAAAGCCTTCTGTTCCGCACCAGTTTCCATCATAAGAATTATCTTGCTTAAAGAACCTGTGAGTCCAAAAGGTCATTGCCACAATGTCTTCACCAATTCAGGTGGACGTAACCTGGCAACAGATACGTATCTTCATATGAAAAGAAACGACCGAATGAGATTCTCGGTTTTAAAAGGCACTTTGTGTTCGATCCAACTTACATGTTATTTGTTATTTACATATGGGTCATCCCACGAAACGGTACACATTTGGGTCACATCAGTGACGAGAACATATTCTGTAACATTTTCAAGCTGTTTAATGTCACTGATTACTTTCAATATTGGTAAGTAGTAATATAAAACAGAAAAAATATGTGGAATGACCCAGACAGAACTTTAAAATAAATTTTTAATTTCTCAATAACTTTCCTTTTTTCTACGGTACTGACAGTGTGCGCACTACCTCCGCCCACACCTACAAACGGACCTTAACAACTAAGTGCAGGCAGCCGATACAGATATACCCTCTACCAGGGAGACAGACTGATATTTCACAGATATTCACAGTTATGTCTCTGGATAAACAGACAGCTATTTTTGTATGAATTTTTCCGTTTTTCCCAAATAATCCACCACCCTGGTAGAGGGTAGTACCGATAGGTGGGGTATGACAAAAGGTAAAAATGCCTCTTAAATTGAAAAAAGAGAAAAATGTGGTCATTAATTATAGAATTAAAAATCCACAAATTGTGTTTTAAGCTTTATGTACATTTACCTACAGGTACGGGATGACAGCTTTTCATATGAGATTCATAATTTCACAATAAATATAACGTAAACAGCATACAGAAATATAATAGGACCTTCATACATGTAGATGGCTACCCTCCGTAATAATCTCTCCGTAATAAAAGAGATTATTACAAAAAGAACACACTTGAAAAAACCATCGACTAACTCTGAAGGTCGAAACAGATTCATTAACCATTGGAAATGTGACAAAACTGTCGTTTACCCAGGAAAGTCCGTTTTATGCAATTTTTCCTGCCAAAATGATAAGTTGTCATCCCTGTAATGGTCAAGCCAATAATGGAGGGTCACAGCGGTTTTGATGGAATATAAAAACCTTTTGAAAAGCGGCAGAGCGCATCTACTGTCTTGGGTCTGTATTCGAAAAGTTCACTCGGCGCTCAGTTAGTGCAGGGAATTATAACGGATATAATACATTTCTGATTTTCACGCGTGACAGGAAACTTATAATGCATTTGTTCAGTATCTGAAACGATCTTATTGAGGAAGCATTCACCCTACACACATATTAGCGCTTAGACCGGCCTTCAGTCAGACTTGAGTAATATGAGAGAAGTGTTAGCGAGTGGAACTTTTTATTCACCCAAGCTCTAGTGTAAAACGGTGCGTTCTTCACTTCGTATCGTACGCTGTCGAGTGTCAGGACAAAAAACTCCGTTACCAATATGGAGTACCAGATTAAAGTGTGTATTGGGGCAATCCCAGTGATTATAGCATTGGCTTGGACTTTCTGGAACCCAGGGGACGGCGTTGCACGGACATTGAATGTTAAGCCGGACGAGGCCGAATACATGGGACAGGCCCCAAGGGGGCACATGCTTCCTTACGGACACCATGTCGAGGAGCCAAAGGCCATCGTAGAGCTAGATCATTTTCCTGATCCAGAGACTTTTTATAGGGAATATGTTCACAAATCCGTCCCTTTGGTGGTTCGAGGAGGGTTGAAGCACTGGCCTGCAGTGCAAAAATGGAAAAGTGAAGATTATTTGAGAGAGAAGTTTGGAGGGAATGTGTTTCAAGTTATGTATAAGAACGCGACAGCCGACAAGGAGCATTACTCTTTCATGTCTATGACTATGGACATGTTTCTGGAGTAAGTACAATTCTCTCTCTCTCTCTCTCTCGTTAATTATTGATATCGCCGACATTATATTTTTACTGTTTAATTCTTCAATACAATCTTGAGGCTCTATATGCAGAATACGGTGCAAAATTATCCAGTATTTGAGATTGAAGGTATACTTTCTGCGTTTGTCCCAAAGTTATATTTTCTGCGTCTACATATTTTGCAAAGCTACTTATCTTTCCCAATTCAAAACGATAAACCGCCTCAAATAAAAGCACCTAAGGTAGATATCTCTTTGTCATATGTACGAGAAAACATGGCGGTCTGAATGAATTGAGCACTAAATTACTGAATTAGAAATGGTATAAAACATCGAAACCAATAGCTGGTACGGGTGGAGAAATGATTTGTAAATAAGAAAATATTGCTTTTTAACGAGGATCATTCGATTTGGTGGCAAAGTTCCAGATAGGATACCTTTAATTCGTGAAGAAATCTGACGTTAACGAGACTGCAGTGCCTTATAAAATGACCCTTTACACTTCAGTGATTACAAGAACTATAAGCTATACTTGGACTCACAGATATCTATAGAAATGGCAGAGGACATAACCTTGCCTGGTTACTTTGGATGCGACCACTTTCTAAAGCTGGTATGCTATGTTTTGCATAAACCCTTAAAGGAATCTGTGGTTTTTAAAATTAGTGTTTCAAAAACAGATTATCATAAAATTGATGTTGACTATCGCTGAAGCACAATGCGCATGCACACACACACACACACACTGCATTTTAATTCTAAGGATGATAACACTTTGACACCTTAATTCCCAACAGATGACTGGGGTCAACATATTCTTCAATTCGGGTTGGTCGAGCACCGAGAACCACCTTGACATTACGGAGACGTTCTTCGCTCAGGTGGTGGGCGGACGACAGTGGATCCTGACGCCCCCGCAAGACGGACAATATCTGTACACAGACAACTTCACGTGGCATTCGGGTAATTCATAAGTTTCATTCATGCTAGATTTTATTTTCACCTTTTGGGTCTCTTTTTACGTGGCAGGAACGAGACAGAACGTGGAAATCAAAGGGAAGTTAATAAAAGAAAAAAATTTAAAAGCACAGCTAATTTCAGATTTTAAATGAATTTACTTCTTAAAGTGACTTCTTATTCAATTATCTTCTCCCACTGAAATTTTTTAGATTATTTGATTTATCGAACATACAGGAACCCCAATATTTTACTGCAATGATACGGCCACTACAAGGGTTCAGACACTACATGTATAATATATGTGTGCCTCCTCTGTACTAAAAAAATATGAAAAATAGGAATTATGTCCTTCATTCAACATTAAATTAATAGGCATAGGTTATGGTACAGGTTGATTTTGACTAGGGTCTTACCAATATTTCTAATGCCTTGTCCAGTGTGGCATGAGTTACGCCGTTTTCACGTAGCGCATTAGAGGAGTGTTTCAAGTCATGTCTTAAACTGAGGGTGCAAAACAGACAACGTGTCTAACTTTTGTTAGCTATAATGAAAAATAAGTAGGCCTACATGTCAATCTTCACCTTAACACCCTACCAATTTTCGGTTATAATAATTATAATTATATTGCACTCAAGGTATATCCCCTGTGGATAAAGAAGCAGTAGACCTGTACCGTTACCCGGACGTCGCTAAAGTGGACATTTATAACGTCACAGCCTACGAGGGGGACATCGTGTACTGTCCAGAGGGGTGGTTCCACCAGGTCAGCGCAGTAGGTGGACCAAACATAGCCATTGCCTGGTACCTCTATGACTACGACTGCCAGACTAAATGCAAAATGACCACGTACCAAACCTATGTAGAATGCTGTACTGACATACGGAATAGTAGACCGGATGGTATGATACTTTTGTTATTGTTGCTGTTTAAATATTGAGTAAATTTACTAGTACATGTGTTCATTATATAAAGATTATGTGTTCATTCACTAAGGGCTAGGCAACATAATTATCAATTAGAAAAATGGTAATGCACCAATTGTATTGTATCGTCATTAATATATCATATTGTACAAGGTCATGACAATCATGTACCAGTACAGAAATAAATTGAAATTGAATTGAAAAATTGACTCAGAGTTCATAAACAGATATCATGAATTTCGAAAGAACACTTTTAACATCCGGGATTTGGGTTATTTACATTAATTACAAATTACTGTGCCCAATCTCTCTCTATCTTTCTCTCTCATTTTGCACTGATACATTCCCCTCTCCCCAGTACATTAAAAACACATAACTCAGTCATTATTTATCTTGCAGAGATTTCTTGCGACATAAAACCGGAAGAGATGTCTCTGGCTACATTGCTTCGTGCGTACGTCGATGACGTACCATTTGCGGCAGATCTGGACGCAGGAACACTGGAAATATTTTCTCAACCAGAACCTTTCCAGTTAAACAGTGGATATGACAGTAAGATCAATATGTATTGTTGTTATTATATTCTTTATGTATATACAAAAATAACTTTCTTTGCTATTCAATGAAGTGTGGTGTTTGATTACACAAACTGAAGGGTATTCCATTGGAACATCACCCTGATGTATGCTTCATACTTAGACATACAAATTACCGTTTCTATTTCTTTAACTTACCAAGGTGCAAAATGAAATCTTTGCTGTCTTTCCTCAATTGTGACCTTTTCTTTGTTTCAATCAGTGCCGATACTAGGCCTTGGACTTGGGGGCATGGCAGAAGAGAAAATTGAAACCGCCGTTAAAAGTGCATTAAAATTTGGATACAGGTAAATAATAACTATTTTTCTTGCTCGTGCAAATGTATTGTTCTTACATTACCGAAGACGATCTTTTAAGAGGCCTTTCTGTTTTTCAGACTTTTTGACACAGACCCTGTGGACGAATCTGAGAAAATATTAGGATCTTTTCTTGCAAATAACAAGAATTTTAAAAGAGAAGACGTTTTCATTATTGTCAAGGTGCATCCAAAGGATCTGGGAAAAGCCGCCACCAGAAAATCGGTTGAACGCTCGTTGGAGAGGTTGAGAACCGACTATCTGGATCTTGTTTTGATTAAAGCGCCATCTTGTGAGTCCAAAGAACACAGTTGCGAGACAACTGGCACGTGGCAAGAATCGTGGGAAAGTTTGGAAGATTTGAAGACCATGGGTAGCGTTCGCTCCTTGGGGGTGAGCAACTTTAAAATCTCTCAACTCAAGGAACTTTTGTCCACAGCAAAGGCTCCAGTTTCGGTGGTCCAATGCAGGTTTAACATTTTATTAAGACGAGAAAAGATGCGGAATTTTTGTAGAAAACATGGCATACGCTTCATGGCCCACAGTCTGCTGGGATATGATATGGTGCCCTCTCTCGGCGTAAACCCACTCATGGAAGGTAATAACGCGGTAACTATTGCCGCCAGGTTGCTGCACACCAGCCCAGCTACTCTTATGGTCAGATGGGCGTTGGAGCAAAACGTTACCGTGGTTCCAAAAACGTCCCATCCTTTCCACCTATTACTCAACGTACAAGCACAGGAAGGCTTAGACTTGGATGGGAGACCGGAAGTGAGGGAAATGTTAGATAGGATGCCGCATACCAGTTGAAATTCATTGTCAAATTTGATGTGGCACTAACGTGTCGATACTCTTGGTCAGGAGAGGGTTGGTCATGCAGAAAGGGAATTTCACATTTTATTAAAGATGGATAGTTTACATATTGTCTCAGACGGTTTCAAATGGTCTTTTTCACACAGGTCCAGGTATCATAATTCACTTCTAACGCTTCACGCACAGCATTCTGCGATGAAGATAACACGGCTTGGACGTCACATAAGAAATGCCAGAGCAAGACCTGCCTCCTCAGCTAAAAATTCCGGTGTAAACGAAACAAACCGCTAAAAAGTGTTGGGGAGTATCAAAGGCTGATACATGTATTAATTAAAAATTACCGATTCTTGAGATATGAGGACGTGGGGTTAAATGAGCTCTAATACACCAAGGGCGTCGTCGTTACAGAATTGACCTCAATTCATTTGTTGCGCAAAAACGAAAGAGATACTTCTGTTATTTGCAAAGACAGACTGGGCAGGTCGTTGAGGATGTTAGTTGGCGGGCCCGTAATATTTGTCGATGCATAATGAGAAGGAAAAAAACAGTTAAATTATTGTTGAAATGCGCATTAATTGATTAGGTATTCAGAGTGAAAAGTAATGGAGATCCGACTTCTTTTTTCTTAGTCTCCTTTACTAGTTCTAAAGATGTGAACATCTTGGATGTTATCAAGATATCAAAAGACAGAATACAGGATATAAATAGTCTTAAGATTTCCTACTTTTTATACAAAATCTCTACTTGTATCAAGTGACATGTTTGGTGTATCTTTATGTTTAACTTTCTAATGAAAAAAAATTCAAATCTTCCTTTTTTTCCAAAAGTACTACTCCAGCACAGACAACAACAATAATAATAATAATAAAATAATAAATAAATAACAAAAAATGGATAAATAAATAAGCTTGTACTGAAAGTCAGACACCTTTCCAAGACTGAACATAAGTTGCCTACATAACAATTTTGATGGATAGTAATGCCAAAACTCCATCAGGCAGTTACACATGTGGTGGGCAATACAGGAATGTTGTAAATGAATGACCAATTAAGAATCTGCCCCATTCATGAAAAACAGCAAATAAAAATGTCAACAAAACTTACTATTACCCCAAATATTAAGAACCTCTCATAAAAGGATATTCCTCACAGTTTTCTAAAAACTATAAAGGTTTTGTGACTCTTCATTAATGATTCATGATTGTTTGTAAAAATTCAATCTCCTAACTTGTTTGTTTGTATAATTCTACCTATTTATTTATCACACTCGTTTTTTTTTATCTAACAACATAGGAAACTTCTCAGATTCCAGTCAATAGTCCAGCACCACTTTTCTTAAACAAAAATACATCAAGAAAATATTTCTTCCTTGACATCATACACAAAAGTCTTATTTAGAAGCAGACATCTCAGCTAGTGTAAGTCCTCACTGTCTTCCTGGCTTGAGAGTACAAATCAAGCGCCATCTTGTGTCCATTTCTGCACCAGGGGACATCAGTATTGGAATCACAGTAAAAATAGAGCCCCAAGAGTACGGCTACCATGGCGACTACTATGCCAAAGAATATGCTACAACAAGATGCACCACCCCCTGTAAAAAGAAATAACAATTGGTGAATTATTCAAAAAGAACAACTCAATCATATACTTGGTAACAACTATTACTCTATATAATCAAAATTCACCTATTTTGTTATTTTCTAAGCAATATTGTTTTTCCAGAAATACACCTTCATCCATCAGATTTAAAGATGTGTTTAAAGTGAGTTAAGTCAAATCACTGCCTCGAACCCCAACCAAATCCCACCATGAAGTTTCAAATAGCAGAAATTGACGACATTCCTGAAAAATGATATCTGAACAGACATTTCAGCTAACTATCATTTGAATAATTATTCTTTATTGGGTTTAGCAGTAATGTGTCATACATGATTACAGTGTCAATTGGTGGACTTTTAAGAACTGTGAGGGTGCTAAAGGAGGTCAAATTTACTACCAGAAATTTGAAGAAGATGCTTTTTATTAGGATGACTGAGAGTTAAAATTGGGTTTACCCTTCAGCATACAGGGAATATACACTTGTTTATATGTAACATTTTACAATAAATATACACCAAAATGAAAATGCACGCAACAGCATGATTGACACTGCATATTCTTACCAGTCTTGATTGCCTTTTCCTCAGCACTGTGACCATTGAGTGTCTTCCTGTTTTCAGTTTGTAATGGTACTGTCTCTTCCTTTTCTTGTTGCCTCTTTGCTGCCTGAGATGCCTCAAATTCTCTCTTCCTTCTTTCTTTCTCTGCTTTCTTTTCTGCCTTTTTCCTTTGGTTTTCCCGTTCTTCTTCTGCCTTTCGAAGATTTTCTTTAGCTGAAGAAATTTTGAATAAAAAATCTTATCTAATGCCAAAAGAAAAACAAAACTAAAGCATATATGAACTGAACAAAAACGATGTGAACACATTTACACATAAGGATGTGTCACTGCTAACAATTCAAAATATCACAGACTGAAATGTTAATAAAATGCCTAAACTTAATTTGACATTATTTTCCAACTTGCAGTTATTGTTTACAAATGCCTGTGTACTTGACATTGACAAAAGATGAAAAATAGAAAAGAGGGTTTAATTTATCTACACAACTGACCTCTTTCTTCGTCTAATTTCTTTTGTTTCTGTCTATCAAGTTCTGACTGCACTTTCTTCATATATGCCACCATCTAAAGTTAAATATAAAAATATTTATCAATTATTCATTGAAAAGAACATTATAGTATCACAGTAAATTAATATGAAGTTTCTTGCAAAATCATAAGCTGCTTGGTATACTCTTCAACAGAACTGCTAAATCAAGATAACTAAATGCATATTGGTGATTGTCGTGGTTAACTTTATTCAAACACACCAACAGGTCAGAGTGAGAAGTACCTCACAGACACAAAAATAATCACATTGACAACCATCAAATTTACCATCCACAAAAAAGACCAAACAGGTCCTGGTTTTTACCATTTTGTATTTGTAGGACTGACAAATATATATATATATATATGTGTGTGTGTCAGTCATATATATATATATATATATATATATATACTTTTCAAACACCACCACTCACTTTTAACGATAGGTTCATTTCCCACTTCAAAAATAATTGGCACAGATAAAAATTACCTTTCTGCAAAAATGTTAATATTTTGAATGGAAAAAAATAAAACTTTATATTTATACTTTTCAAACACCACCACTCACATTCTGTGCACATCTTCTGCACTGCACCTCATCCAAGCAGTCCCCAGCCACCTGCTTCAAGTTTTCACTGAGAGGGTTGTCCTTAAGGTCCAGCCACTTCAACTTTTTCAGGTAGCACATACCGACTGGAAGAGTGGTCAGTTGGTTACCAAGGAGATCAAGGTGCTCTAGTTTCTGTAGCAACCCTATGTTGGATGGAATTTCTGTGAGGCTGTTCTTGCTCAGGTCTATTTTGACCAGGTAGTTCAGTTTGGTGCAGAAGTCATCCTGTAAAGAATATCAATGGAATTTTAACATTTGTAATGGAAGGGAGGGGGGGAGCAAATGACCATAATTCAGCAAAAGCAGATGCCAGGTTTTCATATCAGTATGGGCATCGCAAGTAAAATACTGATCAATATCTATGTAACATGTAACTAGTAGAATTTTTTTAAAAACTTACTGGTAAACTTTTAATCTGGTTACAAGATAAGTCCAAACGAGTTGCTTTCGGCAGGGCAACCTGGAATACAAAAGCACCAAACATTATGAATAAGTTCAATAAGATAATATAAATGTTCCTGTTACTAGTTAGTACCCTAAGCTAAAATTATTTTTATGCTTTATTTTACCATTCATTTGAATTGTGAATGAACAGTCAAAGACAGAGCATTTCCATCATGTCTGACGATTTGTACTCGATAACCGCACTGCCCCTAAACATACTCTGTCAACCTCTCGCCTTTTCGCCAGACCGAACATTCAGTTGTTACCAAGATAGCTCTGTGATTCTGCAGAAAATACTTACAAGCTCTTTAACTGGGACTGTATCTAAATTACTCAGGCTCAAGTCTAGCTCGTTGCCTTCCAGTTTATCCTTTAAGTTTTCTTTTGGCATGANTAATTTCTTTTGTTTCTGTCTATCAAGTTCTGACTGCACTTTCTTCATATATGCCACCATCTAAAGTTAAATATAAAAATATTTATCAATTATTCATTGAAAAGAACATTATAGTATCACAGTAAATTAATATGAAGTTTCTTGCAAAATCATAAGCGGCTTGGTATACTCTTCAACAGAACTGCTAAATCAAGATAACTAAATGCATATTGGTGATTGTCGTGGTTAACTTTATTCAAACACACCAACAGGTCAGAGTGAGAAGTACCTCACAGACACAAAAATAATCACATTGACAACCATCAAATTTACCATCCACAAAAAACACCAAACAGGTCCTGGTTTTTACCATTATGTATTTGTAGGACTGACAAATATATATATATATATATATGTGTGTGTGTCAGTCCTATATATATATATATATACTTTTCAAACACCACCACTCACTTTTAATGATAGGTTCATTTCCCACTTCAAAAATAATTGGCACAGATAAAAATTACCTTTCTGCAAAAATGTTAATATTTTGAATGGAAAAAAATAAAACTTTATATTTATACTTTTCAAACACCACCACTCACATTCTGTGCACATCTTCTGCACTGCACCTCATCCAAGCAGTCCCCAGCCACCTGCTTCAAGTTTTCACTGAGAGGGTTGTCCTTAAGGTCCAGCCACTTCAACTTTTTCAGGTAGCACATACCGACTGGAAGAGTGGTCAGTTGGTTACCAAGGAGATCAAGGTGCTCTAGTTTCTGTAGCAACCCTATGTTGGATGGAATTTCTGTGAGGCTGTTCTTGCTCAGGTCTATTTTGACCAGGTAGTTCAGTTTGGTGCAGAAGTCATCCTGTAAAGAATATCAATGGAATTTTAACATTTGTAATGGAAGGGAGGGGGGGAGCAAATGACCATAATTCAGCAAAAGCAGATGCCAGGTTTTCATATCAGTATGGGCATCGCAAGTAAAATACTGATCAATATCTATGTAACATGTAACTAGTAGAATTTTTTTAAAAACTTACTGGTAAACTTTTAATCTGGTTACAAGATAAGTCCAAACGAGTTGCTTTCGGCAGGGCAACCTGGAATACAAAAGCACCAAACATTATGAATAAGTTCAATAAGATAATATAAATGTTCCTGTTACTAGTTAGTACCCTAAGCTAAAATTATTTTTATGCTTTATTTTACCATTCATTTGAATTGTGAATGAACAGTCAAAGACAGAGCATTTCCATCATGTCTGACGATTTGTACTCGATAACCGCACTGCCCCTAAACATACTCTGTCAACCTCTCGCCTTTTCGCCAGACCGAACATTCAGTTGTTACCAAGATAGCTCTGTGATTCTGCAGAAAATACTTACAAGCTCTTTAACTGGGACTGTATCTAAATTACTCAGGCTCAAGTCTAGCTCGTTGCCTTCCAGTTTATCCTTTAAGTTTTCTTTTGGCATGATTTTAGAGTTTTTAAAGGGAACCACCGGCGAAATGACCACCCAAACACGCTTGGCGGAAGTTGTGCAACGTGACAGTACAGAGTTACATATACTTTATATGAAAAGTTTTGGAATATATTTTCACTGAGGTATGTACAAATCTTGTAAAGTCTGTAAATAATTGTTCCATTTGGCATTTTTTAGTTTAGAAAACTATTAAATTGATTTTTTAAAAAGATATATATACTATAAAATGCAATAATCTTTATCGAAACTTTCGCTGTAAGAAAAGCACTTCCGGAGAAGCATGCGCAGTTTGATCCTGCTGATGATGCGCACGTTTGATGCTGAGGTTTTGTAATGGTAAGTATTTGAAGTTATCTCTCACAATTTGATGCCTAGAATAACAGTGCACTGAAAAGTGAATAGCTTTATTGAAATTTGGCAAAATTAGTAAAGGGTAACCAACGAAACAATCATTTGTTTTGCCAAAATGGCAACATCGTAAACCTATGCCCTTGAGGGAACAGTAGAAGAAATAAAATTGTTGTCACTATTTTGCAAGTTGCATCACCATTTGTGCAGCTTGACTCGATATTTTCAACGGCGCCTCACTCGTACCATAATGAAAACGAAGTGTGTTAGGACAGTGTACCCATATGAAAAGTAATATTATAACAAAAATGAAAACATTAAATATTTAAAATTTAAAACAACATTACAAAGTGATTGAGGTTCTCTTGCCATCATTGTGGGGCCAGACTGTAATGCACAATACAACACAGCACAGTGCAATATACTGGAAAAAACGAGACCAGTCACAAGTTAACACAGGAAATGGTCATTCCCAACAAAACGGGGTGATATGAAATAGAAATATATTACTTGGTAATTTTTATCATTTGTACAACTCGGCAAATCAGCACGAAGCCACAGGGAGTACCAGTAGATGTCAGTCCGAAGTCTTGAACAAGAACTTCAATGTCAAATGAACAGTTGTTAAAAACAAAAGACCCAGGTATGGTGGATCGATTACTGTTCATGTGTGCCACACAGGCCAAGTCCTAACTGCCCCTGAAGGTCACAAAACTCAGTTACTGACAGTTAGGCACCTCTTAATTATAAAAGTAATGTGTTTCCACTCCCTTGTTTGCCGTCAGGTTGGCCGTCATGTTTGTGAATGTCTCATCTTGGTGGGTATTAATGCCAAAAAGATAATATGATGATGAGACTATAATGCTCTTTATATCACAAGAATACCTAAATCCACAGCAGCTAAGGCACTATAAAAGTCAAGGACTGTTACCCTTATAAATCCATTAAAATGATCTGGTTGAAATCTATGTTGAAAACAATTGCAAACCCCCTTTAAGGCAAGGCAGAAATCTACAGAGATTCTACCAAGAACTGGACTGGAACCACCTTAAGGACTCTAATATTTGTCTCCAGTCTGTTGACTTGTTCAGAGCAGCAGTTATCAGTGACTAATGTCCGCAGACACACATTTACCTATTGTGTCTAACAGGCCCTGTGACGATAACCATTGGCAACATTATTTTTGTTTTTTAATTTTTATGTACAGACTCAGATATTTACAGAGCTGATGAATATTCATAAAACACAGGTCAAGTTCGAAAATCGGCATGATCGGGCCACTATTTTAGTAGTTATGCTGTTTTTTCACTTTTTAGCATATATGCAACACTGTAAACACAACATATGAAAAACAGATCGGCAAATTGTCATTAAACTCACAGGAGTGGTCAATCTTACTAAAATGCAGGTTGAGTTTGAAAATTAGCATAATCGGGTCATTGTTTTAGAAGTTATGCTGTTTTTTCACATTTCCTCAAATTCAATTCTTAGGCATGTTAACAGTCTTATTATTTAACTAATAAGATACATAAAAGTGTTTATATGACATTTCCTGCATCTTTACAACATTGTAAGTTGATTATATAAAAATTTTGGTAAACTTGTTATCGTATATTGTGTAATAAAGTGTCAAAAATGGAAATGAACTCATATCATTGCAGTTTGTCAGATTCAATCATTCAGTATGTTCAGAATCTCAGAATGGAAGCAGTTGGGCATTTAACACTATTCTATTGATATTTTTCTCATCTCATCAATTTTCTTAGTTGATCATATAAAAATGGCAGTAAACTGTTAATTTTGTTTTATGTAAAAAAATTGTTAAAGATGGGGAAAAACCCATTTCAGAACAGTGCTGTCTTGTTTCACATTTCCTCAGATTCAATTCTTAGGCATGTAAACAGGCTCATTATTGAACTAATAAGATATGTAAAAGTGTTTGTTTGACATTTCCTTCATCTTTATAACATTGTTAGTTGATTTTATAAAAATGATGGTAAACTTATTATCGTGTATTGTGTAATAGAGTGTCAAAAATGGAAATAAACTCATATCATTGCAGTTTGTCAGATTCAATCATTCACTATGTTCAGAATCTCAGAATGGAAGAAATTGGACATTTAACACTGTTCTATTGATATTTTTCACATCTCATCAATTTTCTAAGTTGATCATATAAAAATGGCAGTAAAATGTTAATTTTGTTTTATGTTAAAAAAGTGTTAAAAATGGAAATAAACCATGTTGAAACGGCACTGTCTTGTATACATTTTGGCATTTTTATGTACAGACACAAATCTGTACTTTCCTTGTAAACACGATAAGTGGAAGGCAAATTTACTTTCTGGCTTTATATTTACAGAGCTGATGAATATTCATAAAACGTAGGTCAAGTTTGAAAATCAGCATGATTGGGCCATTATTGTAGAAGTTACTTTTACTTTTCAGCATATATGCAACACTGTAAACACATTTCAAGGAAAACCGATAGGCCTGTTGTCATGAAACTCACAGGAAAAATCGATCTTGCTAAAACGCAGGTCAAGTTCGAAAATCGGCATGCAGCCCGAGTTGGAAGAGCAGTCTAATTAGATTCTTTTTCTGGAAGTTATACATTTTCAAAGTGTGAACTTGAACTCCCATGGGCCTGAAGCCTTATGCTTGTTACACATTTTACTTTGGAATTACCTGTTAAGCATAATTAAAATTTGATGTTGAATTTGCAGTTTAACATAATGTACTTTTGCATCAGAATTGACAGTACCCTATTTTTTTTTCTTGCTTTTTGTCTTTACATTTGACAGCTTTGCTGCCTTGTTTTAATTTTTATATTAATTGCTTTGTGCTCTCAGCTGAAACTCTACATTTGAGAATTTTCTTTTTAGTTAAAGGTGATAGTCCAGGCAGTTGTGGCTGGAAGCCAAGTTGTAGGTAGGGCATTTACTAGAGCATTACAGCAGGAATGGGCTGCCAGTCAGCAAGCAGCAAAGCGCCAAGGAGGTGGAAAACAGGGGACAAAATCAGCAGTAGCTGACCTAAAGAAAGGGTTAACTATACAGGTTAAGTGTCAGAAGTCACAGAAAATGAAATTGGGATGACAGTATTTAAGTAAATTACACATTTAAAGTTTTGAGTAATTGAAAGGAATTTTGGAATATGCTTCTGTCCTCCAGAAAACTTACTGTGAAATTAGTTTAAAGCTTTTATTTTGTTAAATACACATTAAGGATTATTTCAGATCAGTAGTACTATGAATTAATGAGATTGTACGTTATTTTAATAGTTATTTGTGTTTTTGCAAGAATATGAGCATCTTTGCCAGTTTACGTAATGTATTTATTTGACTTTCATTTATTTCCCTAAGATAATTAGGGAGACTTAGAAAAATACTGTAATCAATTCTGACAGTACTTTAATTAAATCAAAAATTCACTTTGGTTATTTCAGGAAGCAAAACAGATACTGAATGTATCAGACTTAAATGATGTTGAAAAAATACAGAAAAACTATGACCACTTATTTGCGGTCAATGAAAAATCCAAAGGAGGCTCATTTTATTTACAGTCAAAAGTAAGTATCTGTTTTTTTAAAGAGGCTGCATCGCCTCCATCAAAAAATTTACTAGCACTAATCTGCTTATAAGCTTCTAAGGTAGAAATTGGTATTTTGTGGGCCGATTATGTTGAAAATTCTCCATTTAAGAAACAAGCCAATCTCTAGAAAATTAAAAGCCTTTGACAAGTAATAATATGAACATGTTTATCATATCTCTGTAATATGAAATCTGAAATACATAAAAAAAGGAAAGTTTTTTTTTTTTTTACTTAATATGAATGACTTGTACATAGTAGCCTATGCATGAATACAACTCGAAGGAATTTTGTTTGTATTTTATTTTATTGAATTACTATTGTTATTTACATGGAACCCAAGTTTTTGTACTTGGGACAAAAAGTATGAGAGTGTGTGTAGGAGAAAAATGCCCTCTGCATACACCTATCATTGCAAAAAATGAAAGCAAGTATAATTAATGCAAAACATAAAACTAACAGCTTTTTGTGTATATATATATATGTTTATGTTAATTGTACTGGCATATGCCTATTGCCCTAAACATGAATCCACGATTGATATTTGTCAACTGTAACCAAAAGAGATGAGCTAGATATTATAATAGTTAAATGTCAGTTTGGCGACTTGAAAATTCTAACTGTGGCCTAATTCTCCAAGGTGTACTTTGGTACATTCATGAGTAACAAGGCAAACTCCATATTTTCATGTAAAAATAAACATTTCCCAAGGTTTGTAGTATTATATTGATCTTAATGTACAAAAATTAATAGCCAGGATTGAATAATTGGCATCTTGTAGTAGATAGATATCATTTTTTGTTTTGAATGAAAAGAGGCAGTTCTCTATTTTGTCATGTTGAAAGTTAATAAGCATTTAATGACTTACATGTGGCTTTTCAAAACATTGGTAACAAATTCTAGTAAATGATTGTCAAAATTTTTTATTATCTAGATAAGATTAAATTTTATAAAGTATTTTATAGTGTAATTGTATTATTGTGCAATTAATACAGATATAAAAAAGGGGCAAAGTTGGTTGCAAGTTCTTCTGCTTTTCATTCCAGGTATATAGAGCAAAAGAAAGAATTGATGAAGAAATTCAAGACAAAATGCAAAAGGAACGATCCCAAACTGAAGAAGAACAGTCACCGCCTCCTAAAACATGATAAAAGCTGAACTTAGGATATACATTTTTACATTGTGTTTTCTGGGGAAGTTTTAGCAGTGGCCTCTTTTTTCAGTCATGTCTGGCATTGATTGCAGTGACATTATCTATAGTAAATGGAAAACAAAATAACATAAACCATCAATGAATTAACTCATGTGTGATGTCCCAATGTCAATGTCTGAAGAAGCTTTGGTGGAGGAGGGAGGCATTCAAAGGGCTTATTTTTCTAAGTCTACCTAAGAAAATTCAGTCAGTTTTTATTTAAAATATTTGTAAATATAAAATAAATAAAATATTCTTTTCTTTTGCTATGGACTGTTGTTTGTTTACATTGAGACAATTAACACATTGAGTACAGGGAATTTAGAAAATATACTTCCATGGTAACCATATTTTGATTGGCACTCACATTATAATATAAAACACCTTCATGGTATAAACACCAATGTTACACAACACACAAATAAATCATAAATTGTTATGCCACCCCACCCCCCCACCCCCTCCTCAATTTTTGTTTTATCACCCTGGTTCTGTACCATACCGAAACTCTGTTGATTCAAATGAAATGTCCTGTAACATTGATCCAACTGTGGGGACTCTTGCTGAATGCCTCTGGTTTCCAAAGCACGTGTAAAATCACTAGCTTTTCTGTAAATCTACTCAATATCAGGAATTGGAGCGATTTACATGGAATGACAAGTGTTATTTGGAATGAGCCTTATAACTAAAGACAAATGGATTTTTCCAATGCAAATAAATTGTCATCACTTTTTGTGGAATCTTTAGTGCACAAATGTGAATTAAATTTAAATGAATGCTGTTATGTTGAAATATGTCAGGGGAGGATGGAAATGGTTTAAGAATTAGAATATCTTTTATTACAAGTTATTAATTTAGGTATGAACGAGTAGTAAGAAGTAACACCTTGCAGCTACTGTAACACCTGAACCTGATAAATTCTTAAAATATCACTAACTTTAATACCACCTCTGTCAATTTTCATGAAACTGGTTTAATTTTAATTTAACAATCATTTTAAATATAGCCTCTGCATTTCTGTGCTTATTTTCAAATGCCAAAAGAAAGATGTAGATTCTTGCTAACTACTCTAATTCAACTGTCATGAATGAAAAATATCTATTGTTATGAAGTGTTAATATGGAAAATGATATGCATGCCTTAACAGGCTGGTCCCAATCAAACTATGCCTGTACAAAGTACATAAATGTTAACAAGTTGATTTATTCAGTACTGTAACTGCAGTGCTACACAGGTTGAACTCTCATTGTACACTGTATAGTGACATGGTTCTTATGGCTGTTTTGGTAATTTTGATATAAATAAAATAATTAAATTATAGTGTGTCAAGAGACGCAAATTAAGAAATCAGTTCATTTCAATCAATTCCCCTCACTGCATTAGAGATAGCTTGGAAGTTTAGATTTCATCAACTTATGAAAACTTTTCATTTTTGACATGAGGTTCCCATGTATACTTCATTTTATATGAAAAGCAAATATATTACAAGTGTATATACTTTTGAAATAGCACACGTATTAAAAAGTAAAGAGATTTTTTTTTTTCGAAATAAAGTTAGATTAGGCCTGAATAAAGAGGGATTGGGAAATAATTTTGCTTTGCAATGTCTATTTTTGGTAAAGGTTGAAATTGTAAGTTGAAGTGTTAACATGCAAAATTTGCAAGTTTTAAGTCTTTCCTGTGTGCAGGGGAAGTTAATTTCCTTGAACAGATGCCATTACATATTAGCCCTATTATCGGTTTTGTACAAGTTTTATTTTTGACACAACGAAGCCAACATCTGAAAGCATACAAATTTTCAAACATTTCTCACCAAATAAGACACACTGTGACAGTGGAAGTTCAATGGTGATCAAATGACAATTTTTTCTAGATAAGACTCGTGTTCCAATTTGGTTTTAGTTTCCATTTATATATCAGACTGGCTTTTTATAAACACTTCAAAAATATGAGAATCCCAGTGTCAAATGTCTGGAGAACCAAATAAAAATGATTTAGGGCACTTGCATGAAGACTTTTACAATTCAGACACATTCTGCATTGTACTTATTCCAGTAATACTTGCACCAGGTGTGGGGTTTATTGTTACGTACAAGTTACAACTATTTTTTTCTGATCCTTCAAATGTGAGCCAAGAGTCTCAGTCTGTGATATATTTGGAAAGGAGATCAATTTTATATCTGTCTGATGGAATATCAATTGACAGCTTAGTGGAAGATAAAAAGAAATGATTTGTCACCCAGTGTAGAATTAGATGACATGACAAACAAGGCAGCAAAGCTGTGAAATGTATAGACATACAGCAGAATAAGATGACAAGACGGCATGAAGTTCAGCTTACAACAGGTTATATTTGCAACATGACATGTGCATTATGTGAATAGAACTACTTAATATAAGCAATACGTGACTGGGTAAATGCAAATACTGACATCTTTACAGCAATCACAAAATCATAAATTAAAATTGATGAAGAATTCCTTTTCCAATTATGGCATACTAATGCTTCTGTTTTCACATTAAAATATCAACTGAATCTTTAATTAATTGAAACTCTTCTGTCCTACACATGATAATTATTCCTGGTCCTTTTAAGTGATTTTCCAGCATCCTATGGCTGAAAAAATCATCAGATCTATGCGATTCCGAAGATAGAAAGTTACTGCTACCTTCTATCATGATACAGTGCAAAGGAAACAATTCTAAGGATGAAAAATATAAATACATAACCTTTACAAACCACAGACAAACTTGAACTGGAACTTTTCTTATTAGAAAAAAAAAACAGTTTCTTAGTTTTCTACATGTAGACCAAACAAAAGTTGTGACAGCAAACTCAATTCAGAGCAGTTCAAGTATCAGTTTTGTTTTCCCCTGAAACAATTTGCATCAAAACCCAAATTCAGGCTTTATGGGGCTTAAAATTTGAAGCAATTTCAATTAATCTGAAAGGAGATTCTGCTTAACTGTTTTCTCTAAATCATGTGTTTACAATCAAGTTGATCTCAGTCTGTGTTGATCAACTCCCACTTGGAGCTGTACCCAGACCCCACTGGGTCGCTATGGTTACTGTCACCATGGTTACTGTCATGAGCAAGAATAGGGCTTGTGGACAGATCCAAAGGAGTGTCCTGGCACTTGGTCTCATCCACATCCTCATCTAACATCTCTGTATCAGTGGACAGGTTCTTAGGCGATTCAGATGTGTTGCTGTCGGTGGAGGACACCATACGATCTGTCTGAGTGGAGATTGACTGAGTGACAGGTCCCGAGAGAGCGATGACTGCCGAGGAGAGCAATGGGTTGGACGCTAAGGTGGACAAAGGTAACATACTGCTTTGGATGGAGATAACATGATGGGCAGGCAGAGAAGCGGTGGGATTCAGAAGCCCATTTCCACCTCCACCCCCATAACTCACAGGCAAACCTGCTGCTGGATGATGGGGGAACACTGTTGGCAGTAACATGGACTGATGGTTATCCATCATTTTTGGCATTGGGTGATGAGGGGGGATATTTGAAGTATGGTGATTGTTAACAATGTCTCCACCTCGGAAATAGTGGGAGTTTGTTTTAATGTGCTTCCTCAGGGAGCTTGGGTCAGTGTAACGTTTGTTGCAGCTGGGATATTTACAATAGTATGGTTTGTCTTCCTGGTGGGTTCGCACATGTTTGAAACGGTCACTTGAGTTGGAATACGCCTTGTTGCAGCCTTCAACTGGGCATATGTAAGGCTTCTCACCTGGATAAAATAGAGCATTTAAATTAAATTTCAAAGAATGAAGTTTAACCCATAAAATAATTACTTTACAGCTACAGAAACTATAGTCTCAACTCAAATTTCAAAGAAAGAAGTATAACACATTAAATAATAACTTAACAGCTACAGAAACTATAGTCTCAACTCAAATTTCAAATAATAAACCCATACAATATATTATAAAAACTTTGCACAATTTGTCCTAACCTGTATGAGATCTATTATGAATCTTGAGATTCTCCACTCTTGAAAAGCTCTTTCCACACAGGTGGCATTTATGTGGCTTTTCATTTGTGTGTGTGCGGACATGGATCAACATCTTGTACCTGACATATTCAAACAGAATGGAATTACTGTAATGAATAATTTAATGCAGCAAAACTGTCAACTGTGCAGACATCATCTGTTGAACAAGACAAAACACAAGTTACAAACAAGATTTGTGTCAATAATCTAATGGACTTTTAGAGAAGGGACACTCTTGTGACAATAATCTGAGTTTTAGAGAAAGGTTACTCTTGTGACAATTATCATATGGACCTTGAGTAAAAATGTTATGGTAATTTGAAATACCTGGCATTGAAGCCTTTTCCCTTCCTTGGGCATCCTTCCCATCGACACTTGTAGTCATTATCTGTATCCCTGTCAGCTCTAACATGATCATCATTAACATGATTAACTAACTCGTCCAACCTGGTAAAAATATACATTTAATCATGATCATATGTATATCTTAATATTCTTCATTCAAGAAAAAGATTCTCATAACAAGTGCTATGTTCATTGAGTTCCTAGGCTTTCCCAACTTTTTTCTTTAAAAACTTTGTATCTAATCATCTTTCCTCAAATTGCTTTTCCTTGGGGAAAAAACTTGTTCATTACTGATCAGTTAGTTTGCCCTGGCAAAGTTCAAACTTGCATGTAGTTAAACAACAAGTCTATCATATCTTTTTCAAATTACAAACCCATTTGAGAGCCAAATGACCAAACATAACACACAAATTCTCACCTGTCTACGTTTTTCTTGCACCCTGCCCAGCGGCATTCATGGGGTTCTTCTTGTAGGCTAGCCCTGCTGTCTGGCAACACAGAGGGAGGTGGATAGAACAGCTTCAGGCACACAGGTTGCATAGGATTGTGAGAGGACTGCACCCCTGGAAGCTATAAATATAAAAAAAATTATAACAATTAATTAACTGCAGGTGTTTGTAGACAGAACAGCAGCAATTATGGGCCATTCGTGGTTTTTTTTTGCTGTTTTGGAAGGACACTTCAAATGAAAATATCTAAAAAAGAAAAAAAAAGTTGGAAGGCCCATTTTTTATTCCTCTATATGCAAGTTATATTTAGGCAAGATTTATGATTAAAAAGATAATAGTTGAAGAAAAATAGTTATAATTAGTGAGCATCTTGGAAGGACATGAAATGGACATGGAATTTATTTTTAACTTTGTCAGGTGCATACTATAAATACTTTTTTGTTATCTCGCACCACCAGAGGTTCTTCGTTACTGGAGGCTTTTATGTCAAATTTGCTTTTTCAAAAAAATCTTAAAAATACAGTGAATGTAAAAATGATGAGGAACACAATAAATGACAAAAAGCACTGAACATAAAATTACATTTCTGAAGTTGCAGAGATTTAAAAAAGATGTAAAATAAAATAAAAAAGTTTGACAAAATAATTAAAAAAAGCACTACACCTTATTCCCAAGATTTTTCACCAGTTACACTTGTTTGCATAACATTTAATATAAAACTGAATGAAAAATGTGTGAAATCAAATGTACTGAACTTACATGCATGATTGTTTCTTCAGCTCTGTTCCCCAAGTGGGAACGTAAGATTGTTGGATGTGTCCTAAGCATGCTGGGTAACACTGATGTCGATCCTTCTATTACAGCTGAACTCTGAATCAAGTTTATTTTCACAGAATTCTCCCCTGTAGCTGATTCAGTAGTCACTATCAAAGTCTGGTCCCTTTCTGATGAAGTTACAGTATTTCTTGCAGTTTTTATGTTACTATTAACAACGTTAATACCTGTGGGCGTGCTTAGCACATGATCGTCATTTGCACACAGCCCATTTCCCTCATCAGAACCTTCTCTACCAGGAGGGGGGTTGAGATTATCACTTTGGCAATTAACGGGGCATTGTTCATGTATTGTAACAGTCATAGGAATTAACAGTTCTGACCCAGCTTCATTATTTTGTCCGCTTTGGTCTGTAGGAGTGGCTCTGTGAGAGTTATTTCTGATGGTATTGGGGTTGGTGATGATTACTTGATGGTGACGTGAAGCATCAAAAGTCACACCTGCACTTGACAAAGATGTGTGTTCCAAAGAATCTAAATGGCTACCTGAAAAAAATTTTTAAAAGTTAACAATATTAATGAGAATAAGAATTAAAATATCAATCATAAAACTAAACAAACCAGACACCAAAGATGTCACATATACAGACATTAAAAATAGATTTAAAGATTCTGAGGCAAGTTTAATGACACCTAGACAAACTGTCTTAACAAGAGTTTTAAATCATGCACAATCAAGAAGTCATGTGAGAACACAGTTTGCAGCCGGGATGGCCTAATTGTTACAATTATGGCTAGTGTTAGGAATGATGGTTGGTTAGTCTGACAAAAACACTGTTGCAGGAAAAAATTCCTAATGTATGAATATTTTGTGGGAAAATTGTATCTACTGTGCCTTTTAAGTAATTTTTGTAAAAATTACGATATGGCATCAACAATGACATGGATAGACACAGTAATCTGAATATTTAAAGATGCATTTCAAGTCAAATTTTTGCCACAACAGCTTACTTTCTGTGCTGTATATAACTCAAGCAGCTAAGTAGGTCAATTTACAACCAAAAATTTGAAGAAGTTGAATTATTAAAGCTATATTATGGTTGATCAATTGATAAAATTAGTTTATCCCTTGGCATGTTGACTTTATACGAGTTGTATAAGAAACTGGTAGAAGTGGTTTATATGCGTTACTGGGAAACCAACATTAAATACATGCAGTGTCTGTAAAAACAATGCTAATTCTGAGGTCATTATCTGTACAATGTTCTATTCTTGACAATTAAAAAATTGATATTTTATTCCTGTGTAAATTTTTCCAATTTACAATACTGAAACAATTAATTTGGCAACTGATTTCTTGGAAATTTGAGCCTCCACTTCCTCATCACTGTTTTACTTGGCTTCTTACTAATTTCCCCTTTNTTTATTCCTGTGTAAATTTTTCCAATTTACAATACTGAAACAATTAATTTGGCAACTGATTTCTTGGAAATTTGAGCCTCCACTTCCTCATCACTGTTTTACTTGGCTTATTACTAATTTCCCCTTCAGCAATTAATGAGAGAAACAGGGGTTATCAACCCAACATTGACGTCATTGGTGTTTTAAAAAGCATGCTATGCTATAATATGCATTACAATGGATCCTGATCTACACTTGCACCAGTGATGGCAATTTACAGTTCATAACCACAGCTTCTTTTTTTAACCACTAAAGTGTTCAAAATGCACACATACACAAAAAAGCAAATGACTAAAAATTGCCATTTTATTTATTTTAGGCCCTTTAGATATGGAAGATCAGGAGTATCACTGGTTGATATAATCTTCTGAAATGCACATTTTGTACCTTTTGTCTACTGTAATTTCAGTGAAGCCACCAGTGCTCTCAATTCACAGCAAGAAAAAAGATAAAAAATCTTTAAATAATGGTAATTGTAACTCTTAGACAGTACTTCAACCAATTCAACCATGATAATCAAAATAATTTTAGTTATCCTCCTAACAACTTTATCCATCACTTAGCTGACTTAACTTGATAAATGGTTTAGAACCTAGAACAAATTTGGAATCAGAGCAGACTTATCAGGCAAAAGGATGGTTCTTTTAAAGCCCCCCCCCCCTTATATGCCTGCTAATTAAGAGCAGTTTTATATAAAGCATCTTCTTTCAAGAAGGTAGGGTCATTCTGAAATTAATATCCTGTCAATTTTAATTTTTTTCAACACTAAATTTAAACCAAGTACGTTGCTTTCCTTCATATTTAAATATAAGAGGGGGCCGGGGGAGGGGGGGGGGGCAAAGTATACTAAATTTTTTGTGTAAAAGTTTAGACCTATTATCTATTGTGAAACAGGCCCAAGTACCTCACATCTAGCTTCCAGGTTCTTCACCCCAGTTGTAGACTTTGCAATGATAAATCAAGCTCCATACACAAATCAATATAACCCTTTCAGGCAGAGAAAAAATGGTCATTTTTCTATTTGCCTCATATTCATCATTCTCTCAAATTAATTTCGGGAAAAAATATGTATGTTATCAGAACCCCCTGGGATGTTTCTCATTTGATGATTTCTTTTACTGTGATGTGTGTGGCACGGCTTACCCATATACATGTCAAGGGCCCTGTGACTAACTGTGGACTACTCCTAGTTAGGATAATTATGACATTAGTATTTGTTAGTCATTGTCCTCCCATGAAAACAGCCCTCAGAGGAGGCAGTGGGGGAATATCTATCAACAGGCCAAAGCATTGAGCTGTTTACAACATTCCTACCCATTGGAGTGAAGAAAATACAATGGCACTACAAGACCGATCAGCCGTCCTGGGGGGCAACTTAATGGAGTACAATTAAGCACACTCTTTTAATGATCGATAGCATTTTAGGGCCCTTAACCATCCGAGTGTGTGATTGGCGGCTAGTAGTGCTTACTTTTAGAACTAGGAGGTTAGACCTTGGAGTTAATAGTTAAGTGAGATCGATTGAAGAAAAAGTTGTTTTTGCTTTGCGTTCAAAAACATTTTTCGAATACAAAGATACATTACCTTTTCTTGTTGTTTACGACTACTAATTTTTTTTCATTTCACCCGGGCATTGTGCTCGACAAGACCTTTGTCTTTTTGTTCCTCCCATTTCCTGCCCCTCCCATTACCCACACTCACATCTCTATAATAGAATTACTTAACCTTATCTAAGATCCATAGATATATGATTGAAACTGAATACAGTAGTCAAAACATGATGAAAATCAACCCAAGTTCACAACATTATTTGAAGGCATAATTCAATTATCTATGAAGTCAGTAATTTGAAATAACAATCTGAATAGCATTTGATGAAGTAACCCACTTGACTTTAACATATAAATTATTCACTAAGTCAACCTCCCACACTAGAACTGTGTAAAAAATAAATTCATTGTTATTTAGCGTAATTAACATGATCAAAAGTAGGGTGAAGGTCATTTGAAAAAAAAAAATCCAGAATTTTTCTGTACTTTCCACTAAGCTTATATATATATATATAATTACATTTATATTTGTCTTTTAAAGCAGCATGTGTTTTTTTTTTTAATTTTGCCCAAACTCCTTGAGAAACATAATTTTTCATGTCATACATTATTGAACAATAATCTTGCATCACCCAATTCAAAAGGATCTATCACATTTGAATCCAATGCTGCAAAAAGACAAGAGGCAAAATTTGATCCAGGCAACCTAGTAATTATTTTATTCTATTGACATCATACCCATATATCATAACCATTATCTATAACCAGTATTTTTTATCACTAGCCATTCTGACAGTTAGAAAGACATGTCTCTCTTACTTCCACCCTCCTGATTTGCCTTTTTTTTTTTTTTTTTCTTTTTTTTTGGATGAAGAAAATTTGTCAATGAAGGAGTCCTTTTTGGACTGGCTTGTAAAGCACTATAATCTAACAGCAGTATTTTTGGGTCAAAACATCATTTTCAGTTTTTACCAGGCTACCTACTTCTAAAAAATTAATTTTAACTTGTAAAGTTGTACAATAAGACAGGAAAACAGGGATTCATATATTTCTTTAAAGGCATGATTCAGATTTTATCAATAAAAATATACTGTTCCTATTATCCTTTTATTAAAAAATTTTCTGTTAAATGGATCTTGTATCTTCTGAACAAAAGCCACTGTAAACAGAATAGTAGTGTTCTTCATTTGGTTCAACAAGTAGTACATAAGCATTTTGAAATGGAAACAATTTTCACTCAATTTTCACTCAGTTCCCGAGTTTGCTACATGAGTGGTGCCAAATTGCACATTTGCTTAAATTTGACAAACTAGAAAATTAACATGATCATAAATAAGCTAAACTAGAAAGCTAATTTCTTTTTTTCGTTTACAGAAAATGTAAAAAATTCAGCATTTTGACTATGAATTCTACGACCTCCCCTCTTAAATTTTGCCCTTAGTTTTCAATCAAAGAACAATTCTTTGAACAACAAATATGGCAAAAAACAAAGAAAATGTTAATTTATTATTGGAAGATTCTGTATAAAAATATCAACATTCGTGTGTGGTAACTAAATTACATCAATGACATTAAAACAAGCAGGTAGTTTTAGAATTTTGAATGATTAAATATAGCACATACAATAAAAAAAATGTATATCAAAATTAGCATACACATAAGAACTTAAGAACACTAAAGATAATTTTTACACTGCCTAGCAAATGAGATATCACACTGATTACAATACAAATTATCATATAAATAGCAAAACAATCAATCATTAGTTAGAAGAAAGGTCAAATAGTGATAAGTATCTTTACACATCATTCTCCTCTGCACTAAACAAAGTGCACCCTGAAGGCAGAAAAAAAAAACTACGAGGATTGTATACTCTAGCATATTCCAAATATTTGTCATTCATCTCATGCTGCACTCTGACTACTCTCAGTTATCACGACATATGACATTTTGATGATAAAATACACACAAAATTAATCCAATTAAAGTGAACAAAATATAAACATCTCACCTTGGAGTGAAGAGTGTCAGGTGGTCAGTAGAGTTCCACTCTGGACTGACTGACTGACATTAAATGAAGGTGCCGGGCAATGTTAAAGCTGAAAACTAGGGGGTCTAGCTTACTTCAAGGAGGGTCGAAACAGTGGTCAGGTTTTTCTTGGGGAGAAGCTGGGATAAACCATAGTCTTAAATACCAACACTGGAGATTGTCTCAAATACTATAGATTGAAGCTTAAAAAATCAACCCTGGCGGTTGACACTGCAATAACCTATGGATCAGTGCAGTGGTACATCATAAAATGAATCAGACAACGGTAAAAGATGAACAGTATTAATGCATGCAAAATAAAAAAGGTAAAATAAAGCATAGAACTGCAATGCCCCCTGCAAAGGACTGGCATCGCTCATTTGGTGATATTATGAATGGTTTATTAAACTATGTGCTGGAATGGTACACAATTGGACAAAGGACCCGTCTCTATATTTAGATGAGAAATTAGTCCGTGGGGGACTTTTTAGCATTTTTTTTCAACTGAGGGCTCATTCATCCTCAAATCCCTTCTTTTCTTGGGTTCAAACAGTGGAACTTAGATGTAAGAATCATTTCAAGCAAAATAAATTAATGAGAAGTTTACTAAGTATCACTTTAGAACTGTCTATTCACTGACGGAAAGGGGTATATACATACACCCACAGAAAATTTCACAGGCGCCATAATTTTCAAAGACGCTGCAAAATTTGATGAAGTGATTGTCCATCTTCCATATGATAACATATAAAGGATGCTTAATACGAACAAATCAACATTGCATGTTGTGACATCAGTACCTGAAAATCCACCCCCCCCTTTTACACCCTCAGTCCAAACCAGTGCCTTTCGATCCTACATGGGTATCCCAGTGATGATGCTTAGCCATGTTCACATTAAAAGTTATCGGTCCAGCAGGATCGATCTTTCTTTGCGGGGATTTTCGCTTAAAGGCACTCACTGTAATCAACTTAATTGTCTGGCTCACTCTATCCAGAAGCTAAGTATCTTTCATAGCTACTTTAGGGGGCAGACCAGACAATTAAGCTGATTACATTGATTGTAATTAAGTGAGAATCCCTGCAGAGATAGATCGATCCTGCTGGACTGATAACTTTAAATCTGAACATAACCTACATGTAGCTTAGTCATGGGGTCTACAGCCATGTTCACACAAGAACTTTTTTACATCACAAATAGGTTGAATTTGTGCCATTATATGTGCATGTTACAGAGTCTGAGACAATAGAGCTTCATTGTCATATGGCTATCTGATAATACAAGTTGATCCGTTTTGTGGTCAGGTGTGGTCTTGTCTGAACAGGCCTTATAAGTTAAAGAGAATTATTTGATAACATGCCATGACAGAATGCAATCAACACCCAATGTACTGTGTCACTTCATTCTGGCTGACTTATGACTTGTTATTGTATTGTTCACAATAATACAACCAAAATGTGTTAATTGCAAGGATTACAATAACCAGTGACTCCTTAATTATTGTAGCTATATATATTTAACGTTGCCAAAGCAATGACTGTTAGCCCTGTTACATCATCCCTGGAGTGAACAGCCCTCCCCACTGTACAGTAAGACAGACCATTGCTGTGCTGTTGACTTTTTGACTGCTATGATGTCAACTATGCTGGGACCTGAACTGTTCACCCTTATTTCCAGGATCATGCTTACTGTGAACACAGCCTCAGACCCATGCAGACATCCCTGTCAACCTGGGAGAGTTGAGAAATAATGACTTTACTGGGGGTCTGTACTAACACTATTCCTAGCCAGTCTCAATGGAGTTATAATTAAATGTGGTCTAAACAAATACAATACTGTGTCACTCTCTGCAGGGGGGCAATAGAGAAGTGGCTGATCAGGGGAGATCTTGGGGGAGGATGGGAGGGAAAATCAATAAAATTACTATAAACCAAGCTCTTGTGCTATCAAAGGGATGATGTAACAGGGCTTTTAGGCCGCAAAGTGAATACAGCACTGGGGGTATAGCTAATACTGGCGTGTGTGCATGCTTTCGCACGGGGAGAAATTGCACGTGGGGGACTGACGGCACAACAACAAAGACTCAATGGGTTTGCTGTAGGTATAGAAGTCAAAAGAAACACCTGCATTTAAGGGTGTAGACAAAAAAAAGGGGGCCTGGCAAATTTAATGACCTCTGTGGAAATAAATGCATTCACAAATCTTTAAAAAGAAGAGAACAAAAGCCACTCCTGGTTTTGTTACTACAATTCCCTACATCAGAAAAAAAATGCATACATCTAAATGAATCTTATTTGTTTTGAAATTCCAATGGTGAAAAAGTCTGCTTATTTTGGCAAGTGAAACCCATATATAAACATTAAAACATACCTACACAATCACTAACAACCTAAAATACCTCATAAATGTCTTAAGTTGACCGTTAAATTCACAGTAATTGACAGAATATTCTACTTACTTTCATGACTTCATTCTTAAATTGAACATGTAGTTTATGTCTTTCACAAGTCAAATGGGATATTTGCCGACTGTTTTTAAAATATCTAAAATTAAGTGAAATTCTTTGAAATCACACTCTGATACTTTTTCTTCAAACAAGTTTTTTGTGAATAAATAAATAAATAAACAAAAAAAATTAAGGGATAATTAAGATAAAGTTTATCAGCTCATTCTTCATGATATAAGGTAGGAGGGCACATAGGAACATGTCTACTATCCAAGACCACCGCAGGGGTAGATCCAGAGATTTTTTGTGACAGTCTTCCAAGTTATCTTTGTTGACCCATCCTCCATTTTTGACCGTTTTTCCAACAGAAAAAATTAGATACCCGTCAGTGTAAACTTGATAATCTGACTGTCTTCCAGAAGACCACCTCAATCCACCCTTTCACCAAGAACACTAGATTTTTGCAATATTGCTATATTGCAGACACAGGTGAATCAATCTCAACTAACACAATTTACCATGCATACATATAAAATGTGTTTTGTTGCACATAGAAATTTCAAATTAATTCTTTAATTTTCAAGAACTTGGGCCATATCATTGATTTTCTATATTTTCTATCTATTTATCTATTTAATTACTTTTTCTTATTTTTCAGTGTGCAAAAAGGTGTATGTGAATGAATGCATTTTTTTATCCCCATCAACATATTGTCACCCTTCTTTTTCACAGGCGAAAACATACAAAGAATCCTTAGAGGTGACTTAATGCTCAAAATGTGGTGGTATCTATAGTAACAATTAATCAGTTATAACACTTTCCAGTTTCTGAATCTTAAAACATCCCAGCAATATTTATGGAGACCAGGGTATTAGCAATTTATATGCTAATTCAAATGTTATCCAGGAACTTTTAATGACACTGTATCTTCCAATGTGCCCTGATTCTCAACTAGCACTAATTAAGTTCAAGTAAGTAATCTAAATAGTTAATAGTACTGTTACTATACCCTACAGTATCCAAATAAAACGTCAAAGGTAGAAGGGACATAGCTGTCACACTTAGGGACCATTCCCACAGATATTTGGATCAATCTATCTCCCTGGGGAGTCTCACTAAATTGCTGTCAACTTGACCGGCTTAAATGCCTGTCACGACTAGTAAAGCTGTTAGGGTGTAATTATCTTTACCCCTAGCTGATTTGGTAGGCGAGACAGACATTTAATCCAGTTAGTTGACAGCAATTTAGTGAGACTCCCCAGGGAGTTAGATCGATCCTAGGCATAGGAACCCAGTCTTATATACAAGTTGATATATTATTTAGAAATAGCAAGGCACTTTCAGTTTAGCTGCCCTGTAATTCAAAAGATATCCTTATTCTCCATTGGCACTTATAACATTTTGGTATGCAAAATACAAGTTAGTGATCCATATATCTATCATATACCCAAGTACTCACCATCTGCCACAATTTCTTCCTCGACCGTCTCCACATCCTCACATGGCCCTGTGACACACGACAGCGAGAGATCCTCAGGTTCCGTCAACCCCAGATTGTCATAGTAACCGTCCAAGATACGCTTCTTTATTCCTGGAAACATCGTAGTACTGGAGTGATCATGGTAACCACTGTCATCATCAATACCATCCATTCCTGGAAAAAATAGCAAAGAAAACTTATTATTTCTTTTTAATCTGGGTGAAATGAGATAAGTCCAGGTATTTTATTATCGATAATGAGACTGTTAATTTGATATATACTGCTTATATACATATACGTACATTGTTAAAGTCAAGGTCTGATTTTCACTGAAGCAATAATCAATTATTTGAAAAAAAGAAGAAAAATAAATAAATACATAAATGATCTTTTTCATCAATTTCAAAAGCCAATTTGATTTATCTTTGGTATTCATCGACTATTCTTCATTTCAGTGTAGGAAGAAATTATCATCATAATGGTTGCATGGAAGAAAATGTGTTATAAATTCATGATAGTCTTCCTGTGAGAAGTAGACCATATCTGTGATTTTTTTTTTACATTTTTTTCTGAGAAAATTAAAATCAACTAAGTCTTACCTTGCAGCAGCAAGTATGAGAATGTTCAATTTTGATTGCTATTTTTTCTAGATTTCATGAAACTTCCCAATTAAGATTTGCTTTTTGTTGGCAGGTAGCCAGGCTTTGCACTACTGGTGAAGGGCCCACCGTCTTCTACCATGAGGGCACCTCAATGAAGACAGCTTAAGCTGCTATTCTATCCAGATCCTGTAAAATACCAACATTTCAAACTTCAATACTTATTTCTAATTAAACATGCCAAATGCCGCAATTAGCAAAGAAAATAGACACAGTGCATGCCATTGGACAGCATTTTAATATGCAGGCCAAACATCTAACATATTGAGATCTAATGATGCCACTATCTACTAGAACCATCCTGCTGTCATTTTAAAACAGTTAAGAATAAAGTTATTAGTCAAATTATCACTTCAGATATTCAGATATCATATGATGCATTGAACATCCACCAACAAGCTGGCAGTGTGTTTAATTTTCAAACCCAATTTCTTTCAAAACTAGGTCAAGCACATCAATGAACAATGCAGATTTCCAACCACATGTTCCTAATTTGTGTTGTTGTATTGTGCATACATATTATAAACCATAATAATATTACTTTTGTCATAAAAGCTGTATAATTCAAAGCAACACAAAAGGGTGCTGGGATCATCAATGAAAGTAACAGGCTCTTGGCTGTCCAATTCAGCACCAATAAGTTAGGAACCCTATTGGGATCAACACCAGCAATAACATGGGCTCTGTTCTTTACAAAGGCGTCTCTGGTCTTTTAGTTAACAAGTTAGAAAATAGAACAAGGCTACTTTTGAAAGTTTCAAGACAAAAAATGAGAGATTTCACCAGTGCCAAAATAAACAATAATTTGACCCTAGGAGTAAACAATGCAGCTAAGAACCAAGCAGGACAATGAGTCTTTTACTAGCCAAAATTCATTGATCCATGAATAAGTATTTTTATGATAACAAACTTACAGTCTCTATACATTTCTATAGCTTTAACCTTGAAGTTTAAAACAAATATAGAAAACTGCTTCTCATGTCTATTTTTTCTGGAATATAAGGTTACTACTATCGATCAGTTTACTATCAATAAGTTTACCAAACATCGTCTCAAAATAATATAGATGATAATTCTTCGCATATTTACATTCATAAACAAGACAGCAACTGCTGGCAAACCAAAGAATACAGTAAATTACTTACAAGCAAATAAACATATTTTTTAATAGGGGATAAACCTTGTACAGAATATTTACTTGATTAATATCTGGACAAACAAATTCTTCAATAATCTTATAGATTTAGTTTCTAAAATATTTGATATGAATATAAACTGCTGACTCAGCTATAATCTCTCTACCTGCAACCCCCTATATGTATAAATATATTTCCCAGGGAGCTTTTGTGAGAGGAATGAAACTAAAAGTAAAACCTGAAATGCAGCAGATCCCTTATCTCCTTCCCGACCTGAATTTTTCTTCGATGAGACATAACTGGACCACAGAGCAGTCCTGTGATAACCCTCTGTGATCCGCCCAATTCCTCAAACACAAACCTTCCTGTAGTAAAAACAAACATTTATGTACAAGATAGTATCCACAGCAAACAATGTCACATTTCCTACCCTGGCACTTCCCTCATCCACTCCTATGTGCACTATGAAAGATAGTTTCCATGGTAACAATGTCCAACTTCCCATTTGTCCTCTTGTTATGCAGAATTATAAATTTCAATTTTTCTAACATTAAAATATAATTTTCTTTAGATTTCCTTTTTTAAAACCACTTGTGCCCACAGAGGATTTTAAGTGCAGTCAGTTCGATTGTTAGGTGGGCAAATGAAATAAAAATTTAAAGACCACTGAGAGAGCAACCATCACTCTAGTAAGTTTGAAACTCAGAACATCCTACATTTATTATTTTTAGACATCTTTTTTACTCAGCTTAAATCTGGTATATGATGGAAAAAAACTATTTTGACCACAGATGTTAGTTTCATTTTTCACAAAGGTGAACACTATATTGGTACCAGTACTGTAAGAAAATGTATTCTACAGAAATGGGAAGATTTCAGGAAGAAATGTATTCAGCATGTTAAAATTGACTTAATTGCAATACAGATAAAAAATACTTGCTATATTCATGTGCCATTTATTTTCAGCCTTACTTCTGAGCTTCTTTTGGAGAGCAACAAATCTACAGTATAGAAATACAATAATTTACTAGTACACAACAAGTTCAGGCGTTAAAAATGAAACTGCCATTTGTGACTTGGGGCAGAAATTAACATTCAAACTGTTTCAATACACAGTCCAAGCCTTGCGTTATTGACAATGAACAGCAGGTCCCTTCACCTTACCTATTCCACACTTTCCATCTGTGCCAGAGATTATCCAAAATGCATTAGTATTAATGTACTCTCATATTATTCCACAGTAGGTACAGTGATTGTAAGTCTGGCAATAATTTCCAAGCTGCTTAACTGGGCCTCAGTGGAGATGTCAAGAAGCTAAAACTTTTCAGTAATGATGGAATAAGAGCAAAAAATGTTATTCTTTTTGAATGTGGAACCTCCAATAGCTCAAACTTGCAGTGCCTCTCATCTTCTACAATACTAGGTTATTGCCACGTCTGGCAATTATTTTGTATTTCTTAAGCTTTCTTTTTCCTCCTTTATATTTTTACAGAGATTATGCTTTAGGTAATATGCAATTGTGCATACCACCACACTGGACGTGTTGTCAGTTAATTTGTTCTCATAAAATTGTTGTCTCTTACCTAGGCATCCTCCACCCGCTATCACAGATACAATGGCCACAACAAACAGACTTCTGAATGAGAGAAGAATTTTGGAAATTGTTTCTCACCCAGAATCAAACTCTAAAATAACCACATAGGACATGTACATGCACCTTCTATTGTGCTCAGTAGGTTACTTCCTGGCAGGAAAATTTTCCATCATTATTTGACTTACCGCAAGCATTCAGAAATCCGTTCAGGCTGTTATAACTCCTTGGTTTTATCTAGGAGATGTTTAATTTTAATGCTGTTTAACAGGTAGACACTGAGATAAATGTTACCTTATTCATGGCTCTGTTGACAGGAAAACTGGTTGACTTTAAAGGAGTTTGCAAGATGAGGAGATGAGAGGTGAGATAAAAAATTTGTGATTTCCGTATAATCCTGGATGTGCAACCTACAGACCATTCCCAGAGATATTGTACTAACTTTGGATCGATCTATCTCCATGGGGGTTCTCACTATATTGTTATCAAGTTAAGCGGCTTCGATGTCTCGCACGCCCACTGACGCTGTTAAAGGGTAATTGATTATCGTTTAGCGGCTTCAGTAGGCGTGCCAGACATCTAAGCCGTTTAAGCTAAATGCAATTTAGTGAGAAACCCCTTGGAGTGCGGCCCTTGGAGAGGGGTCAATCTAGTTAGATTGATCTAGGTACAGGAACCCAGTCCTAGTCATTATTTAAGATTCTGGTCCATTTGTTTCTATGTTTTAGCACAGCCAGTACATATGAGAAACCATAAATAGGAGTGTTAAAGCATGAATTTCATGCTCACGTTGTATTAACATTGTAAGACCTAAAACCTAGGCAAGCCAAAACAGCCAAACCAACATTATTTGGATCAGCAGCACGCTTACTAGTACTGTTCTAGCATTTTGTATTAAACCAAGAGCAATGCCTTTAGTGAAATCAAACCAAATAGTCGATTTACAAGCACAAAATATGCAAACAGTTTAACGTTAACGCAGATGGAAATGCAAATTTCAGGCAGTAGTTTTGGTATGTATGCACAAAAACAATATAAGTACGGTCTGTCAATGCTTTGAGTTCAATTGTTTCTATTTATTTCAACTTTCAAAAACGTAAACAGTTGTCAAAAGCACAGCTACAAATATATAATTAAAAACAATGCATAATTTACCTGCATCTCGGTTTATTTTGCTCTATTTAAGACTTGGATGACAGCAAACAAGCTCGTTGTCGATGCAGCATGGACCCCCTGTAGGCCAAATAATACGTCATCATTTCTTGCGGTCTTGGGTTTATCTGAAATACGGATTATGCATATTAATTTATCACAAAATGCGCTAGGAACAAATGAACGATGTGTGAAATATTAAAACCAATAAAAAAAACGAATTGTTAACTGTTTTAAAGTAAAGTCACATTAAAACAACGTTTATATCAGAAAAGGTGGCGTGGGAAGATTAAAGACGTGGATCCTTGAAGGGAAATATATACAGAAATACGATTTTGAGAGCGGTTACTATGCTCGTCACATCTAACACATTGTACATTTTTATTTTGCTCGGAGATACAACTGATTTAATACAAGTGGCGGTTTTAGGGTGTCAGGGGGATCCTGACCCCCCCCCCCCTTTCGATTTCTGAAAAAAATCACACGTACCAATGGGAATGCATGGTTACTTAATTCATTCTTGAATTTAGAACTTTGACTAGCTGAATATCATACATGTACAGTTCTAAACCGGTCCAAATGGCACCGTTCGCCCTCTAAAATACCAAAAATTTTCGAACCCGACGCCAAGGGGGCGGGGGGGGGGGGGGGGGAATCGGCTTTGCATACGCAGACCCCCTTCAAATAATCCTGAATTCACCCCTGTTTACTAATACTATCCACATAAAAAGGGGGCGTTTCGATAGTCCGCAGGTTCATTGGTCCGAAAAGTGGTAATGTTAACATTTTCATCGATTTTTTAATCAAGGGTTCGTTGGTCCGAAGGTTCTATAGTGAATTAACATTCGGACCAATGAACCTTCGGACTATTGAACCTTCGGGAGTTATCGCTACGGCCCCCGTAAAAATGTTCAAGTGATCTTAATCTGCAGTTTTTTTTCTACCAGTGCACATACAACACAAACAAATAACAAATTTATGATCTCTCTAGAGAGCTCGCACTCTCTTTTCACATCAGACCTAACCTTTGAAATAATTTCATCACAGTAAAATAAAATAAATAGGCTTGATACAACAGGTAACATTTTCATAAAATTTCGAATGCATATTCCTACTGCTATAGTATTTTGCTGGAGTCAATGCTATCTTTTTTAAAAGCTCCTTTAACCATGTCAGCTTTATGCATTTTTATATATATTTAAAACTTTATGGAAAGGTAAGTTTTAAAGAAACGTACAGTACAAATTAAGGGTTTTTATTTTATCTCAAATTTAATCATATACATGTTCTGTAGTCGTAGATCTAAAGGTTGTTCTCATATAGTTTCAGTCATATGATATTGTTTTCCTTTGCAAAAGTCACATCAGACTTCATTTTTGTTACCATTTTTATCTGCTAATATTATAAATTTGCACTGTTCTCTTTCTTGAGTGTGAAAAAATTAGTTTCACTTCATATTCTTTTTGTTAGCCAAGTGCGTGTGCTTTAAATCCTCTCGACCAATCATAAGAGGGAGTCAAGTCATATGATCGACTTCAAGGAACACACTTGACGAAAAAGGTAAAATGTGAATTGACCGGTTGCATTCCAGACACTCGTAGTAAAACTAAGGAGAATCAACACCTAGGTACCGGCAACTTTCAGAAAATAAATCCAGTATAAAATCAATGCAGCAATGACACAATGTTTCCTTTAAAACTTTGATGTATCGAATTTTTGTCTTTGGTAAATAAACCGGCTTTAATTAATTCTTTTAAATTTCCATTTACAAAATTATAATTAACTCGTATTGTGCGACTTGTTTTGATCACAAATTCTCCCAACCACACTTTTGGCATCGAGCCAACAGCTGTTGATTGTTTATTCGCCGCTTTCCCGCGCCTTGCCAACACGACATCCACTTAGTACAGTGTACTTCCGCGACAGATAAAGAGCGATTCATAAAAAATTTAATAAAAACCAAATATCAATTTTAGTAATACGATCTTATCATTGATGCATTCAACGTTGAACACTAAGATTTGAATACATTTTATGTTGAATATGAGCTCAGATATTGTGCTAAAATTTGTTTGGCGCGTGATTTCTTAATGAGATGCGCGGATTAATATCAGCATGTGCTGAGCACCGAGCAGCTGTTTCCCGCCAAATAGTACTCCATTGTATATCTTACTCACCGCGACCTGACTCGTAGTAAGCTTTGTTTACAACCTGAATTTTCAGTTTTTCGTGGGCGCAAATTTGCCAAATTTGATTCCATAGAATCTGCGAAGATGTCCTTTCAATCGAAGTCAGCGGATAAGCGACGCAATTTCATGGTTTACGACATCCAAGACGCGGAAGCGCTGAGAGATATGTTGAGGTTTGTGTACTTTTTACTCATGCTGTTATGACATTCCACTCATTAGTTAATTAGTTTTTAAATATTTAGATACATTTCTTTTTGCATTAATGTTGGTTTTAGTGTCTTTTAATGAATAATGCATCATATCATACGCTTGTCACTTGCGATTTGAGGAGTTTTCTGTGATAAAACTGCGAAAGAAAATGGGTGTTTCAGGACGAGCACATGTTCCGATCGGCATATCAAAACAAAGGGACCACACAAAGGGCCCGTGCACCCGTGAAGAGACTTGGCCTCTTTTACTAAGATATTTACCACATAAAGCAAAGTCTCATGGTTCATATTGGGAAAAAATTTATTGTTGGCATTTAATTTAATGTATTTTTCACGTATTATTTTTTGGAAGCCGGGTTGTTTTGACTGTAAAATTATCAGACTTGTTGACCCATATGACTTCGTAACGGAGGCCATTTTTATCGCTTCAGCGCTTTTATTGACTTTGTCAATTTTAAGACAGATTTAATGACTTTGCTTATATTAAAATGCTTAAAGGCACCTCGATTGACAATCTCTACGTTTCATACATAATACACGCCGTAGATATTCTCAAATGTATATATTTTTTTACAAGAAACAGCTGTTCGATCAAAAAGGGTGGGCCGTTTGAGCTTTGTGATCAGCTGCTGCGTACTTGTCTACTTCCGCATAAAATAAGCATATTTAATCTTCAGGTCAGATATTGTGTGCGAATTTTGTGATGTTTTAGGTTGATCTTGGGTACAGGTTAGGTCATGATTCAGTATTTAGATTATTGAATTGATTGCATTAATCACCTGACCCGACTTGTTTGTAAACAAACTCGCCAGCGTTTATAGAAGAATATACATAAAAGAGGTCATCCTGCCGGAAATATCAAACCCTTTTTAACGGCCGTTTATTTAAATCTGGTTTTTATATGCATTTCTCCTTGCTCCAGACGCCAGTCAACATAGATAATGTATGAAAAATGAGAGATCGTCACGAGTTCGGACTACTTGGCTCGCATCCAAGTCTGGGTCAAAATAACTGCACAGATGTTCGGTCTGATTGTATGTCTGGCACAGTTGATGTTACTGCGTCTTCAGTTATTTCTTTCTTACCTCAGGACTGAGTGATCTCAGTGAAGACATCTGCTCACTGGTGTTCACATGTATTTAGGGGGGATGCTTTGTATTGTTATTGTGCAAGATGATAATTTGAACACCACCCAGCTGGTGTGTTGGCTGCATGCCAACGTTTTACTGAGCTAGTATGTTGGCGGGGAGAAATCAATAAAATACATTGATTTAAATGCAGGCCGCTGAATATTAATGCCTGGTGTATTCCGTGAATAACATAACCAACTCTTGTCTAATTTAATAAGGAAGTGATCAGTGCTCCCTTTGCTTTTCTAAGAGTTGTAATTTGAGTAAAGCAATTATCATTTGTATTGTGTGGATATTCAATAGGCCAAAGTAAAAGATGCTGGCATTAGTCATAGGACATATGCCTCATTAATTACTTACACCTAATGATATTATAGTAGTTCTGTGATTATGGTGATCTCATGAATTAAATAAATTGGATATAAATTGTATCTGGATTCCAATTGCAAAGTGATTATGCAAAATAAAGATTTAATTAATTGTATTAAATTGCAATATTTTCATACTAATAGTATAATCATTCTGTAACTATATATCACTTTGCAGAAGCAGCAGTGATCTGTCACCTAAAGCTCATTTGGAGCAAGAGAAGAAAATACGGCGTGAGATAGCCAACAGTAACGAGAGGCGCCGTATGCAGAGCATTAATGCTGGGTTTGAGACGCTGAAAACCTTGCTGCCACAGACAGATGGAGAAAAGCTGAGCAAGGTAAGAATATGAGAGAATGTGTCTGTGATATGTTGAATTTTGCTGCTTAGATCCCAGTTTTAACTGCTAATCTGAGATATTTAATCTATTCAATAATTTTTCTATAATAGGCGGTCCTGGTAGTTTTAAAAATAGTATTATTTATATGAAAAAAATGGATGAGTGATGTACTTATGTGATGAGCCAAACACATTGCATTTTATTTTTTATACAGTAGTGTTTTATTTATCTAAAAATATAATTAAAAAATTTCTGTATCCTTATTGTTTCATCACATTTTACTATAATATGTGTTTAATGCAAATTAACAAATTTCAGCAAAGTATATCAATCTCTATGGGTGTTAACACTTTCCTTAAAAAGAGTGCATCAGATCTATTTAAAGTATGTAATCTGGTTGTCGGAAGTCCACACTGGTGTCAGCGTGTGTCATAGGCGAGCTATCATTCACTTATAAAAGCTATGGGAGACTGAACACCTCTTTGTCACTCCCGCATTTTTGTCACCCGGACAACGCTCATTAAAGCATACTTGTGGCGAGATAAATGGCTGCGTATCCCTTTGTCATTAGTAGAGCTCTCTGCTCATCTTTGAAAGCTGTTCAGACTGCAGATAATGATCTAGAGAATGCATTCGGGTGGATAAGAATCTACAGAACTTGGCCAAGGAGTAGAATTGTGTCATGTAGACATAGGAATTTGTAATGACACTTCTGGCTGGATTGAGGTTACTTTATAAGATGAAGAAAACTTGATAATTCAGATAATGTGGTTGGCCCATAGGCAGCATATTTCTGGTGTTAAAAATGTAATCTTTCCCCCAAACTTAATTGAATAAATTTTTATATCAAAAATTATATTTAGCAGATTTAAAGCACTACAGCATTTGGCAGACATTCTAATACTAGTTTTAGTAAAGTTTCTCACTTACTCAACTTCTCATCCTCATTTTATTTTACTTAATTTTTTTGTCCTTAACGATGTGATTACATAAACAAATTTAAATGATTACCTTTCGAATTGCAACCACAAACAAACAGAACATTTAATCTCAAAAGTTACTCAATTTAAAGATATTAGCAGGCTTTTTTCTTTGTTTTTATATAATTCTTTTTCTAGAGAGTGGCACTGTAAGTTGATAACACAACAGATATGATGTTGAGACACAATTGAATTGCGGTATCGTTTTTTCACATATCATACGGAAAGCTGTTGTTGCATGTTAAGCTTAAACCCGCAAGAGGTTGCCATGGAAACCTAACCACATAATCAAATATTCCAAGGTAATTTCCTAGTGTGCAATTCTTGTACACTGCGTCAACGTTATTGATTTTATTAAGCTTTCTCTGTCTGTCTACTTCAAGTAATCTTAGATTGTTGGTACTGATAAGTAAACTGATCAAAGATGGAAACGATGCATTATCTGCATCAGTTGAAAATTAATTACCTGGATTTCCAGCATTCTAAGAAAGAAGCTGGAAAATTTTGACTCATTGAGTGTGCAAATTATACTAGGTGTGCTCTTATTAAGTATAGTGATGGGTATTCAAAAAGCACGCTTTTTGTTTTTAGTAAATTATTTTTTACCTCCACCAAGGAGGTTATGTTTTCACCCCTGTTTGTCTGTCTGTCATCAACATAACTCAAAAAGTTATTGACCTATTTTTATGAAATTTTCAGGAACTGTTATTTTCAGTTAGTATATTTCGGAGGGGTATCTGATGCCTGCTTTATTATGAATTTTTTCTGAGTGTCATATGGATTCATGAATGTTTTTTGGTTTATAAGCGGGGGAAAACTGAAATGAAATGGATGTTGTTAAAAGCAACAACAAATTTATGTTACATTAATGTATGAACATTAATGTATGAACATGTTGCCTCAGTACAAATAGAACAGTCCAACTAAAAAGGAGAAAAAATATGACAAATCACATACAGGCTTTCTATTTATAAACAAAAACTAGGTAAGAATAAACTTAAGTTTTACTCAGCCTGCCTCCCCTAGATCAGCTGATTTCCCCTCCCATACATTCAAGACAAATCAGCTGACTTGTATTTGTACCATGCAGATTGTTGATGCTTCCCTTTCATGTCTTGAGTAATAATAAGCCACAGCCGCATTCCACACATTTTACTGGTCGCCAGACTATAAAAGGTGCATCGTGGGAAAGAAAGGTGCTATACAATTGCACTGGAGAGACTTGTCCGACTTTAATCTCATCATTAGCATGTGAAAACATAGCCTGTGACCCAGAGGCTGAAAGTAGTTCTCCTCAATGAACCTAGAGGCCTCATGGTGTACATTAAGTGAAATAAAGTCGGACGTAGGTCCCATGAATAAACCGGATGTGGGGGGTTCAGTTATCAGCTTGGCCAGGTAGTAAAACAAGTTGATTGATTGAAGCGCCTATATTGTTTGACTGTGCACTAGCGAAAATAACACCCTGAATGAGAAAGTGAAACTGAAATGAACTCGTTTGATGGAAAGTCTTAGGTGAGGGTATAAAGTGACTGGTGGAACAATACAGGGTGTACAGGGTTACCGGGTGCAGCTTATTACTTTTGTTAGTCCCTGTAATTAAGCTCACCTGTTTGACTAGGGATTAAGTCCACTATTTGACCACGGCTACTAGTAGGTGTCCCATACAGCTTATTTGATTTGCATTGGGTATTTACACTTAGGGAAGTGGCACTGATTTGTGGCATGAATGAGACAAGGTTGTTAAAGTATTAGCTTTTATAAAAATCCCCCTTCTCTTGGGCTGTATGTTAAAGGGATAATAACTCTTCGTATGAGATCTATATTTCACAATAAAAACCTTGTGAATAATTCATAGAAATATAATATATTCTGTTTTACCACAAAAACAGCAGTTATAGCTTTTATTCTGATATCTGAACTTGTCTTTAGACCACGTGACCTCCATTGATGTCTATACTCTGTTAAAATCTCTTAAGAGATTTTAACAAAAAACCAAACTTTTTAGAAAAAAACCAGGGACTACCTTTGAATGTAAAAATGGATTCATTAACCATTGGTAAGTATGGGAAAATTGTTGTTTACTCCAGGAAAATTCATTTTTTGGCCGAAACGAAGAGTTATTATTGCTTTAAACATAGGTGGGTGTTGAAGCGGGTTTAGTTTTCTGTGTTAAGTGGTGAGTGGGATATTATTATGAAGATTGTATGCAAAAGATAATATGTATACAAAAATTAATATTTTCTTTTTTTCCTTCTATCTGGCTACTTTTATCAACCAAGCTTTTCAGTTCACTGAGATGATAGAAATACCAATATTTTATTTTATTCTTTCTTTTACTCCCTTTCCTTCCAGAAAAATAAAGGAGAAGTTGTAAGAATATGACCAAACTTTTAACTGGAGGGATAAATAATGTAATAGATCTCAATATTCTGTACAGACAAGTGATACGTGCTTGGGCGTTAAAAGGCAAATTAATAAGCTCTGTGTACACTATGATAAATATCCTGTGCCAGAAGCACTGTCATGGATTCATTCATCACCTGTTCAGGAAAGAAAGAGGAGGAATAAACAAACATGTCATAACATGTGCCTTGGAGATGGTGCAGAAACCAGGCTTCTGCTGACATGCACATTTTCTCCGAATGTGAAAGATTAAATGGCCTCTTTTCACGAAGTTTTTGGATAACATACAATCTTGAAATGACATGTTAAGGCTCCACATTAATTTTAACAAGTCATAAATTGAGACCAGATTAAAATATGTAACATGGTAGGATCATAAAATTAATAAAATTCTGATGATGACTTCAGATGTAGAAATCTCCATCTCTTCACCCTGCATACTAAAAAATGGATGGATAATTTTTAAAACGACCTTTCAATGGATGGTTGATTCTGAATCAATGTACCACGGAGGGTGTTCTTCTTTATTTGTGTACTCTGTAAATGTGTTTAAATCTATGTCAGTGGTTCGTAGGGGTAAGGGAAGGCAAGAAAACAGTGGGTATCTCATGAATGAAACCGCAAAGTTCATTAAATCAGCACCTTCCGCTTACCAGCCTTCAATAAACTCTTTCAGCCAATGTTATTTAGACACTTTTGAGTGGTTGGACAGAGATATTGGGGGAAGGCAAACAAAACTTTGTCCTGACATCATTCAGGGAGGGACTAGGCAAATAAACCCGAGAGAGATAACTTAATTCGGCATTGTATGCCCTGCCATAGTGTTGTGAACAGTGCTAGCCAGTATATTCAGGCTTTCGGAGTATTGATTTTTGTCTGGCTGCTTAGTATATTTTTAGCTAGTTCAAAGAAGATGGTGGCTCTAATTTCATTGCTTTGTTCCCACTTCCTCTCGTAAGCGATTGAAGAGTAATTTGTCTGTCAGCTTTTCTTGATTTTCTTAAATCCATGCTTAAGTGCATGAAGTAGCCCTGAAAAGGTTTAATCAAAAGCATTTCATTCCGAAATGCACTTACTGGCTTATATCAATGTAGCACAACACATTGTGATTTGAAATCATACAACAGTAACAGCTTATCATACATACGTACTCAGTCAGTTCAATTGATAACCTTATTGATTAGATTTATGGCCAGGTTGTCGAGAATAATAGTCTGCAAACACTGTAGTAACTAGTAAAGCAGTGTCAACAAGTAATAGTAAATATTGCACAAAAAGAAATTGGGGAAAAATTAATATTAAATGGATTGGCTTATTGAGCTTTGTGAAGGAAAGTGGTCACAAATAGATTGATTTGATGCCCAACTTCATGCTTCTGTGCCCTTTCATTTTCTGATTTGATAGACCCAATTAAGTCCTGCAGACCTGTTTATTTTACATAGTTTGATAAAAAGCGTTTCCTGTAGTTCATAATGGCATATTTCCCCTTCCGAATCTTTTTTTTTTTTTTTTTCACAACTCTAGAAAATACAATGATCAGGTACCTGGGAGCCAAAGTAATAGGATTTTAGATTATAACTGTGGCTTAGGACTTGGCTTCCCTGTATTGTTATTGACAATAGGTTTGTCTTCTAAGTTCTAAGAAATGTGGGTTTTTTTCCCAGGGTCTTTGCATGTCACGTTGAGTGACGTGTGTCTTCTTAGTCCTGTAGCACAGATCTATGACTGGCAGACTATGTGACAAATTGGTGGACAAGTTAATTTACTTTCATTGCATGCAGACAGATTGCTATATCAGAAGCTGTTAGACAGATTCATTTTTGCAATATTTGGGAGATTCTTACACCGGAGGTCTCTATAATCCATTATATTTTATATTTAAACTTTTCTTATTTTTATTTCAAGTTGCCAGGGTGATAGCGGTAACAGTTTGTTTCCAGGTTTAATGACGGGCACTATTTAAAATTGAAATGTTTCAAGGAAATATTAGAATTCTGACCATAATCTCATTGATAGCATATCATTATATGACAGGACCACTTCAAGCCTTGTTGTCAAGGAAACAAATTAATCAATGAAGGTGAAAGGTAAATAACTCAAAGCAAGACGGGTGTTAATCATCTCCTTACCATTTCAGACATCATCATCTCATTAGAATTCAGACATTTTGACTTAACCGGAGAAAACCATTTCCCTCAGTGTAGCTTTATTATTTATTTATTTATTTTCACATTTTAGGCTGCAATTCTTCAGCAGACGGCAGACATACTGACAAGTCTGGAGGGAGAAAAGGCACGACTCTACTCCCAAAATGTCCAACTGAAGCGAATGTTGCAGGAAATGACGAGAGACGACACGGGAGGCTCTCCCCCACCGAAACGGAAGAAGAGAGATACAGGTAGGTACGCAGCTTGAATGCTTAGAGGCATGGCAATTTTTTGGCTGAAAAAATAGGACTTATTTTAAAGTAAAAAAAAAAAAGAGTTTTATTCCCTATTAATATATATGGAATAATATGTGGTATTTCACCAATTTGTTTTGGTGCCAGGCTGGCTATATTTCTCTCAGTTTGCACAGCAATGCTGTAACAGAATTCAATCTGCTATGACGCTGTGAATGGTATCAAGTTCTGTAGGGTATCAGATAGTCTCTATTTAGGTGTAAATTCCTGTATTCTCACCTGACCCGAACTTGGAAGGTCTCTGATTGTTTGTTGATGCCAAGTCTGGGGCTAATAACTGGACATGTGGGATGCGGGTCATTTGAGGTTATCAAAGGCTTGTCACGCAGCCCCTTGATTCTCAGCACTCCCCATAGTAACAAGGGCAGCATCATTCTACTTCAAATACTTAAATCGTGTCATTCCAGAAGCTGTTAGCTGTTTACAATAAGGTTGCTATCAGGTGCAGGTTGGGGGGGAGGGTCATAGGTGGACACAAAACTGTTACTTAGGGTGTTGTATAAGAACAAAATCCGTCAGTGGTGTCATTGGTTATTTAAACCAGTTCGATATTTTGAAGTGAATATAAGGGATAAAGCAAAGAAAAAGATGTGAAAATCGGGCACATTCATAACACATATCTGTATATGATTACTGAGGGTTTTTTTTTACCCAAGCACATTTCTCAAAGAGCAAAAAAAGGATTTTGGTTCAACACTCCCTTTATTGAATGTTCTGGCCATTTTGAATAAAGTCTTAAGTGATAAGACAAATACAACTGTTGGAAAACAAGAGAAACACAATGAAAACAAATGTAGACCGGATGTTGACACAGGACTAATCTTACTGGTAAATATGAACTGCACAAATTTGTCTGTGGGGAGGACGGCTATAAAACAGTGTTGACTGAACTAGATCTATTAGCAGGTAAACCATGAGGCAAGGTGAAACCAACCCAAGGACCCATTTCACAAAACGACTTAAGCCCTTTAAATACGGTCTTAAATTTTTTCCAAAAATTTTAGCCTGTGTTGAACCAATATCAGTCATCTGTAGTCCAAGTTAATGAAATATTGCACAAGTAATCAGAAATACTCTGATAATGCTTCAATCCATTGTTACTTAAAAACAAGTTGGACTAAGTACTATAGATTTATTTTGAACTGGAGTTGACCAAAATATTTTTTTTTTAAATGCAAAATTGCACTTGCCTAAGAATAACTGTGAAATGGGTGGCTTGCACATTGCATGCAAATGAAGTTATTTTGCATGAAAATGTTTTCCATTGTACCACAAATAGTGATGATAATTTTTGTTAAAAATAATTTTGAAGTGAGATGATTTATTTCTTCATCCAGACAGCTATTGATATGCTAGGGCAAGGGCCAGGTATTTATTATTTTCCATACTGGGAACATGGAAATAATACTGACAATTAATTTAAAGACCTGGTATGGAGACAAGGTTCTCTCTCGTCTTATTCACTTATTAATGTGGGTGTCTGTAAAAAGGCAGAAGGCAGTTTGTATTGCAGAATAAATACAAGCTGTGTAATTATTCAGATTTCTCTATTAAGTCAGTTTCTTTCCTGGACAAGCTTGGAAATGTGTTGAAGTGCTTAATTTTACTGATTATTATGTATGTGAAGTTCAGTTTCTGGATAAGGCTCCAACTGAGTAATAAAAACTGGGCGAATGAATGAAAAACATTTTTGAAAGAACGATGCTCCAGGCACAAGTTTAAATATAAAACTGCTGCAGGATTTTTTTGCATGAATAAGAACTTTTGGGGTTCAGGTTTTTTTTTTTTTTTTGTTAACTTGGCTTTTGTTGTGGTCAACCAAATTTCTGAAAGAATGAGGAAGTTTTGATGTTCAGATTATATCTGTAAACTGCTTTTTCATACCCTGGATAGTGGTTTGTTGATGGAAGATATGGTGTTCATTTTGTGATGATGGCAGCATATTCACTTCAGTATTTTTAATCAATAATGCCTATTATAGAAAGCTGCCTATTCAAGTTTGGCAGTAAAAACCTGTTTTCTTTACATAGTTCATGTTGCCTTATGAAACCTCAAGTCACCCTGTCATAATATGGTTATTTGGCTGGATGCATTATGCTATATTTGTTCTCTTACAGTCTCAGATATTTTATCTTCATGAGTAAGCAAGTTTAACCTGTTGCATCCGCATTGGCTCAATGCCTGCCTTTGGGGACAGTTTTTTGCCTATATTTATCCTGCTCCTTATGTTTAATGAGATCATGCAATAACTTAGCCCCAAGTCTACTGGAGCTGTGTCCTCATTAGGTTATAGTATGTTGCAGTTCTCTTGAGATCATGAGTCACGGTGTACTGGTATCTAGAACTAAATGACATAATGATGAAGTCATCTTTGAAATGAATAAATTAGTGAAATGTGTTAAAACAAAGAAATGCTGAACATGGTTGAAAGGCAATTTTGACATAGGAAAGCAAAAGGGTGTATCTGCAAAGAACATTTTATTGGCACAAGGAAGTTATGCAGATGGTGTGTTGTCAAAAAGTGCCAAAAGAAGTCCTTTAATGAAGTGATGAAGTCGTCTTTGAAATAAAAAAATAATATATTATGGGGCCAAACAGATATTAAATAGGTGTGAAACATGGAAGACAATTGTATATAGAGAGGGAAATAGGTTAATTTACTAAAGAAGGCACATGGAAATTGAACAGATGGAAGTTTTGTCACTAAGTGTCAAAAGAAAATCAACAGGGAGCATGTTGGAGCAGGGCTTCTGAGTGACAGCCAGTCTTCAGGGCTGGGGGACATATTCATAATTGGCACAGTGCAATTCAACATATGGCAGAGATGTCAAGGTGGCTTGGTAAAGGTTAGACGGAGAAGTAATCAACAGGAAGAGGCCAGTGAACTAGACTGACCTTTTCTCAATGGTCCATGGACCCTAAGTCGACTCACCAAGTGCATTAGCTAGCCAGACAGCCAGTTCCACTCTGTGGCCTCTTTTTCAGTATTGATTGCACCAAATAAAACCATCTTTAAAATGAGGCTGTATTGGAATGCTGCTGTGTTACTATTGCAGCTGGTTGTGGCCTGATAGGAAATATTTTTTTTATTCAGGAATCTCCTAAGAATAACTGACATTTAGAAAATCCCAGACTGTCTGACTAGTGCATTCCCAATTCAGACATTCTCCAAACTAAAACCGTGCATGCCACTTAAAAGTGCTGTTTATTAATTATTCAGCACCCACAACTTAAAGGGAATACATTATTTTTTTAAAGGTATGAAACATTGATATACCATCAGTGTCACACGAGGTAAACTTTTTTATAACATTTTTTTTGGTCTGGATTTACTTTAAGTTGTAATGAAAATTAGCAAAGTTGAACATATATTATAGATAATATAAAAATAATTAGGATATAAATAAATATATGGTTAAATGATAAAATATGTGAGTGATAAGATTAATGAATGTACATGTTATCAGTAAAGTGTATATAGGCCTATATCAGTGACTAAAAAAAGTCTTCCTTGGCATAATAAACTATACATATTTGTTAAACCTTACATACAGCATATGATAATAAGTCATGGTACATTTTATGCAATGTCAGTTGAGGTAGTATTTGTGCACATGTGTAGTGTTTTCGTTGAGGACACATGATAACAGTACACATACATTTAGCAGAGGACATGGTAAGTCTAGACGAGCTAATAAAGTTCTGTGTGAAAATCCAGCTGTGCATATAAGAGTAGGCGGTTGCTTTAGTCCTGTGCTGCAGGCAGTCTAAGTTTATGTGTCAGGGCAGTTTATGATGAGCGAATTGGCAGACTGCCAAGATAGGAATCATATTGGTTTATTATGTGTACAGCTTTTGAATAAATATGATGATCCAATAAAGCTATTTTCTTGTATTGATGGTACGCTTTTCTGTTGCCCTTAAAACTGATAAGCAGTTCCTACAATGCAAATATGTTATAAGATTTTCAGCAGTAACAGACCGTAAAAAAAAAAAAAGTGAAATTGAAATGTTCTTCACTGTGCTGATACTGAGTATATATGTGTGGTTTGATTTATCCAACTTATTGTCATCTATTTTTGTATAGATCTTAGTTTATTGTATAAACCAGGAAGTACTGGGGACAGTGATAATATGGTCTTTTGGGCACAAGACATCATGAAACCTTAGAATAAGGAAAACTGGTTGATAAAAATAGAGAAACCAATGACAATGCATCAGTCAAGATATATTGATCAGATTTGCAAAGATATAACATTCTTCATGTGACTATATTTCATTTATATATCAGCAGAATATTGATATATATCAAGAATGTACACAACTGCAACATGTTTCTTCATTCAGATCTTGTGTTTGACTTTGACTGATTGGTTTCTTTACTTTCAGTTTAATAGAACCTTCAATTATTTTCAGAATCATCAGACGAAGGCATAAGCATGAGCATGGACGAAAACATAGACGAACTGAAGAAAGAGTTGAAGGACCTGCGCTCACAATTGGACCATGAACGCCAGCTGCGAAGGATGCTCGAGAAACAGATTTGCACTTTGGAGAACCAGTTGTACCGTGAACCCATCCACAGTTACACGCCCACAGTGCCGCCGATGCAGGAAGAAAGGAGGGCGACAAAGGAAGATGTAGGTGTCCCCCCCCCCCTTCCTTTCAAAAAACTTTTTTTTATTGTGACAAGTCACATTCATAAGAGGCTTTCTCAGCATAATTTCAAGGCCAATCTCTTACATACATTCATGAAAACATAGCTTTTAAATCCATTATTTCCCCCATATATATATATGCTTATATTAATAAAAAATAGAGTAGTATTGGTGTATTGCGTGCTAGTTAAGCCATTCTTAAGAGATTTACTTGACATATTGTAAGAAAAAGATCTTCCAGTTTTATTCATTCTATTTTGAATCTTTTGTTGAATTGTCCTTGTTACAACAAAAGTGAAAAAATAACTTTCTCACCATGAAGAAAAGATCGTCATGAGTATATTGAAATGCACAGTATGTTAGGTGAGGGGAAGTTATTTGACAGGAAAAATGTCACGCAAAGATTGTCAAACAGCTTCAGGGAAAATGCTTTAGTTGGATCCCGACTCCAGCTTGCACGATATGACACCCTTTGCCCCTTGTTTGAATTGAATTCCTGCACTTAGTGACAAACCAGTATACACATTGTACATGCTTATTAATCTATTGTAGTATGTATGTTAATTTGCCTAAATTGAAGGGGAGATAAGTTTTTATCCTACATATTTGTCATGATCTAATTCTTATTTAAATTTGGTTACTCCTATTTCTAGGCCTCGCCATTTTATCACCATCACCACCAAATTCCAGAAGCAAAGCATGAGTCCATGGAAGATGTGGAGGAGACAAAATCAGAAATTGTTTACGATAATCGTCGTCTCCAGCCCCAGCCAGCTCCGACCTTCTCCACTCCGTCAATTTACACCAGCAGCATGTCAAGGCGGAACCTCGAAACCATTGTAGAAGCCATCCGCCATCTTGAAGGAGATCGAGTTTTGCTTGATGAGAGAAATGAAAACAGTAAAGGGGAAGAGAGTGAGAGAGATTTCAGCATTTCAATGAGCGACCAAGAAGATTTGAAGTCAGAGTTGTCATCGTCATCGTCACCTTCTGGGCGAGAATCCCCCTCGTTGTCATCAACGTCAAGTAGTCATGGTAGTTTAAGCTTGAGCAGTTCACCCTCCAGCAGTAATTCTTCATTTCCGTTCCGCGAGGACCATTACACATGTACTGTCAATGCTGAAAAATATCCCATGGTTTCTATGGGTTTGATACAGCGACCTTTCCACCATGCGTACCTTCAGAGACCCGGTGTCATTGTTCACAAGTCGTCCTAATGGTTATCCAACGTAAAGACTGTGCAATTTCAAGAATTCTGACTCTGAATATTCTGTGAATTGTTTATATTATAATTAATATTATTATGATTAATATTTGCATTATCAGTAGCATCATAATGGTTGCCTCAGAGTAATATATTACGTATATATAAATGTAAACATACATGTATATAAATGTATCAGCATTGCAAAGAGAATGATGCAGACCAGGAAAGTGTAGTAGTAATGAAATCTCCCACCCCCCAGGCCAATATTAGATTTATATATCTAGTGAAATATAGATATTTTGACCTGTTTTATTGTTTTCATCTGTCTGTCCATCATAATATATATTTTTTGTTAATTTAGTTTTTTTCTTTTGAAAAAAAATTATATCTTAATGGTAACATGTTTATAAGTGTAGCTTTGTCATTATATTTTATTCTCTGAAAAATTGTACATAAATTCAATATTGAAGCAGAAAAGCATCATTTCAGTGATTATTGTACATTAAACCAGATAAGTTTGAAGCCAAGCTACTGAAAAGCTTTACAAAAATATACACCAAATAATGCTGTTTCTTTAATAAGTAACTTTTGGGTAGATCATGAAAAATTAAATATCCAAGGCACAGTTCATGAAAACTTAATGTCTATAAGTTCAGTCCAAAAGCAAGGCCAGCCATCAACTGTTTCAGAAATGTGTAGACACCTGTAACAGAAATGAGAGAAACTAATGACATCTTATAACCAATTACTTGGAGTCAAGGTCCCTAATTAAGTCAAGCTCTTTTTAATTGATATATTTTGTTTTAACGTAAGTGTATCATGTAAACCAGCTAACTTGCCTTTGTGCAACTTGGTGGCTAATGTGCTCAGTGTAAAGCTTTGTATACATGCCCATGGCACTACACAACAATGCAAGTGAAATGGCAACACTGAGCTTGGGACTATTAACCCATTACTTTATAGACATGCTGTTTTTGATGGAATTTTGATATTGTCTGATGAGAGATAGATGCTTCGCATATCCACATCTGTTGTAATTTTTATTGCCATGTTACAAGTTTGTAACAACTAATTGATATTTGCACAAGTTCTGATGCCAGAGTGTTAATTATGTGGTAATGGATTGATCATTTCAACCGGAAAAACTATCAATTTTTCAGACATAATTTTGGAATCATTAAAAAACATTTCTTTGCAGCATTTTGGTGCTTTAACTATAGAATTTAGCTATTAAGTAGTCTCCCTTGCAATCATATTGCCATCACACAATAGGATTGTTTTAATTTTAAGAAGTTATTACTTTAAAAAATTCAGTATCTGTAAAATTCACAGTCTTACCTGTTGAAATGATCAAGTCATTATCATGGTTTTGATTTGGGTTGTCGCTCACTTTTTTTTTGTTAAGCCGACAGATAGGCAGCATAAACTGTGACTAGATCCCACAATGAAATATTATGCTATTAATTCAAAACCTTCACTACCCTCAATCAAATTTCAATGAAACATTACTTGAGCTTATGTTTTTGTTGTGTGTTGATCACATCTTTCACACATTTTGTAGGTAATTACTACTCAGGTGTTCAAATCAATTATAATCATTCTTGTTCCTCAGGAAAAACAGATGTTAAACCGGTGGATAATCTTACATGAATAAAACCCAGTGAAATTTCATTAAATAGGGATGAAACTAACCGGTGTAGTTGGTTTGTAAAGCACTGCTTTTAATGATTCAAGGATTGAATTGATTGCTTTAATATTTCTATAACATTTTGTTTTAAGTAAAAAGAATGCCTTGAGATGGCTTGTTCAGTAGTGTAGAAAAAGATCAGAGGGTTAAGGGACAATACTTATTTTTTCTTTCATGGCACAAGATTAAGACCAATGATTTGATGTAAATGAATACCAGTTATTGCGAAGATTTAAAGTCTTGATTAAATTTCAACTCTTGATCCAAGGATAGCCATTTTCCCAGTGCCATGGTTTTTCAAGCTACAGATATTTAAATCCAAGAAATTCTTGTTTAAATTTAGCAATGATGGAAACTTTCAGTGTAGTTTTGTTTTAGAATTGTATATATGTAAATAATTATATTTAAAAAAACAATGACTTAGATATGATGGATGAGATGGCAGCAAGTTTGGGTTGTCTCATTATGCTCATTTGAATTTGTCACAATTTTGGATTTGTACAGTATCAGTTTATATATGGGTAAACAGAAATCATTGTTCTACAAGTGACCGCTCCCTGGTCTCCCAACTTCCCCATGTAGCATATATTTAAGATATGAAGGGCATGTAATAGCATTATTAAAATATCTTAATTTATTGACAAGACTCTTGGAGACTTGTTCAATGTTGTGTTGTAAAGAGATATTTGGTCAAGTTAAACTGCAGTGTAGATTCAATGCTGGAATTTGTACATAAATAAAAAGGAAATATTATAGTGAGCTGCAATGTGAAAGCTTTAAAAGTGTGTCTTATGAAAATTTTTTGGAAGTGGAGTGGTGTTTGATTGCCATGTTCACAGCTTTAGGATGCCACACCTAGGCACGGCATGAAAGAAAAGTGGAAATGTTTAAGGTGATTATTTTGAATTTTATCAAAATAATTGTAACCTATTAAGACGGAAACATTGAAAGGCACTTTGTTAAACAGGTGTTTAAATATGTGTACAGTTGTGGAACTTATTATTATTAAAAAACCATTAAGTTGTTGATTTTGTGAAATGTTTGTATTATTGCTTAATGGTCTTCACTGCTATTATACATTTTGTAATTCGTGCAGGCAAAATGGTAAGCCAAAAGCCTTCAGCAGAAATAAATGTTACTTCTTTTGTATGTATTGTGTACAAAAAAAAACTTGTTTGTTTTTGTCTGACAAAAAGGGTACTATGGTAATCCATTTTACAGCCTATAATGAATGGCTTATAAATTATAAATCTGATCATTTTCTATAGAATATAACTATTTTCTCCATGCTCCTTTACAAACTATATGCAAACAGTATGTACACTATGCCCTTTGAAGATAATGGCAGAGCATGTTACATATGCACATAATTTGATTTTTCTTATGTTACCATGCATACTGCCCCTATCATTTAAAATAATCCAACTTGATTCTGAGTATTTGGGACAAAGTTTTTTATTAAGTTCATGGCCAGCAAAACATAAAACTAATGTAGTTTTCCTCTCTCAAAACTGGTCATAAAACAAAGCTGAAGGGGTGAAAGCCTTGAGGCTATGGAACATAAAAAGACCACTCTTTTAAATGTCGAGTTAAAATTGTACCAGGCATTGCTGTCATTGCTCACACTGGTCCCTCTCCGGCCTGTCCAACTTAAAAAATGACCACAAGGAAGCCATGCCCTCCCCTCCTGTCTTCCGCTGCTGTAAGTAAATCATTCCATATAATCTGGGCGATTTGTTTAGCTTATAAACAACTGTCATTTTTCATTGTTATCATCATTATTTTAGGACATTTTGAAAACTGAATTGGAATATTATGCAGGAAGTCCTGTACATTTTCTGGTCATGTATTTGTTTATCTTGTTTTTTGTAAAAATTGGCTTATTTGGATCAGAAAGGATAGCTGTTACCTAGACCCCATTCTCATAGAAACCAACAGTCTATGTAGATCGATCCAACTCTGTGGTAACTCGCTGAGTGCAATCAGCTTACCCGAATGACACACCTTGTTTCCAATGTACTCATAATCAGTTAATGCATTCAGTTTAACACATTAACATACCTGGGCTCTTGGTGTTAAGTAGAGCACTGAAATGCTGGTGATTATACGAGTACATTGGAAACGAGGAGGCATGTCATTTAGGATAGCTGATTGCACTCAGCAAGTCCCTGCAGATTTGGATGGATCTATTTAGACCGATGGTGTCTATGGGAATGGGGCCTTTGTTGAGGTCTCACTTAATGTTAACCGTGTACTTGATAACCCTGAGTGTCAGAGCATTCTGGAAACTGCTGGAGACAGCAGAGGTACACAAGCTGAGAGTGGTTGCCAGCAGTAGATTCTATGAATCTGGGAGTGCATTACTTCAATTTCTTTATTTTTTGTTTGCTTGTTTCTGGTCAATCACTCAAAGCTGTAGGATTCTAGGATGCTCATAAGCTGCTCACACCAACAGCTTTGTTTAAATAAAAAGACTGGCCCAAGGTGAGTGATCAAGACTCCACCTTCAGGGTTGGGGGGTGGGGGCGGAGAAGGTTGAGGGAGTCTTGACATAAATAAACCTGCTAGCAGGGCTGGACACTGGTAGCAATATATCTGATCTATCCTAGTGATATAACAATGCAATTTTGCAAACTTAATTTAGACATAATGTATGGCTGGCATTTTCCCCTTTAAAAGTATCCATGCAAGATATCATTCAATAGTAATTTAAAGAACTACATTAAGTCCATGTTTTATATATTTGCCTTCAACCAGGAACACAAAATAACATCTGTTAACAAATTACTACTGTATTAAATTCTGTCCCTTGCCACCCAGTCCATGATCAGCAAGCAAGAGATGAACTCTAGATAAAGCCCTCCATTATGAAATTTTCTTGTCAAAACGCCTCCATAGCACCTCTTGTGTACATGATCAACTTTGAAAAGAGTAATACAATCTGATTTATACAAGCTGAAACATGCTAACATCCACCCACGCTCTCTCACTTATCCCCTATTTTACTCCTACAATCAAAGTAGAGTTTGATTTACAAACTATTGATGTTGACACCTACTAAACTTTTGAACAAATAATTGAAATTATTGTGCCCTATCACATTTTGAATCTTGATATCCCAAATAAATGTTGCACAATTCACCATTATATGACAATAAAACTACCAGAGAGAAAAAGCAAGCGACTTATTTATGAACTACAGTCACTTATCCTTTAAGGGCAATGTTCTGTTTATCAACAAAAAGCTACATGCTGTATTTCTCATATTTATAAGCTTAGTTTAGTTTAGTGTCACCTTGTTGTATATATTTGTCAGACTGTGCATGTTTGCCAGAATACATGCTGGTACATGAGTTGCAATGGTTTTTTCCCCTATACTTTAATGGTTCACTTCATTCCACAGAAAAGTGAACATTTTAGTTTTAATATATTGAAATATGTCAGTGATGCACACATTTTGTGTAATATTTTCTTAACTGTTTTACATTACTTTTAAATAATTTTTATTTTTTCCTTTCCATATTGAAAGAACTATAACATAAAATAGGGAAGATAATGTGGCAAGTCAGAATTGTGTGAAGAACACTTGGACCTCAAAAAGTTCAAAAGCATGAAATTGTTTTTCAATCATTACAAAACTATGTAACATAGAGTGGGAAAACCTTCAGTGTATGTAAAATTAACGGATCGTCGGTGCATTATCCATCAATATTTGGCTTAAATATTTACCTTAGCTCATATGGTTATTTTATAATTATCCAAATAGATTTTTCCAGATTTTTTGGCCAAGTGTATAAAATTTGTGTCACTGATGTAACTCAAATGATCACTATTCTGTGGCATGACCTGATAGCTGATTTAGGAAATAAATATTTTTCTTAATTTATGATGAGCGATAGAAAGTAACAATTTTTTCAATACCATGTACAAATTAAGAAAAAATGTTTGAAAAAAAAAGATATATATATATATATATATATATATATATATATATATACGCATAAAAATCAGAGAGTCAGTCACCGTTTTACCATTATACAGTCAGCAGGCCAAGATTTAACAACAGCGTCAAAAGTTATTTTTCCAATCTAACTGTTATTTCATTCAAATATTGCACGGTCACTATAAGGGCAAAAGGTCATTTGATCCCACAACTAAATTGGTCGACTTGAAAAACACTCTCTAACCACAAATGTAACCACATGAATGGTAATTTATAGTTTTGTTGTGCTCAAAGGTTGAATGAGGAGACACTTAAACAGCTCACCAGGCCGACCACTGCATCTTATTGACTGACCCTGTAGGTGGCGTGTTTACAACTGTCTGCCCACCAGTCACCAACAGCGTAAAACTGTGTAATTTGATGGACAATTAGCCGTTTTTAAATAATTGCTGTAATTATGTAAAAAAACACAGTGAGGTGTTAGCTGCTATTGTGATAAGGTCATGGTCACCGTGGTGATTTTTTTCCTTGTGTGTGCATGCATGTGTATGGGCATTCGTTTGTGTGCATGTATGTACAATTTTTTGTATGTTTTGTGAGCACACAAATGCATGCGCATGCTTAATTGTTTGTTTGCATGTGCATTAGTGTTCATATGTTGAATTATCCTCCCATGTGTGTTTGCATGTTACAGCATGTGGGTGAATGCGTGCATGCACAACTTAAAGTATTTTTCGCCCCCTCACTGTCACTCCCTCGATCAGGACTATATCCCCATTTCCGTCCATTCCAGTTGTTCACCTCCTGAGGGGGTAAGGTATTCCAGTCATTTCAAAGACCTGAATTAAAATATTTACTCTATGACTCAATGTTATGCTGTGTCTGTGGGAGTTTGTTCCATCTATCAATCAGTTTTATGGCCAATTCTTGTGCATCTGGTAAAAAATGGAGAGATTTGAATTTTTTAACATCATCTGATCATTTAATAGTAGCATAACCCATAACCCTTATCAAAACAGTAAGGTTGTCACATATCAAATGATTAAATGGATATTAAACGTTGCATTAAAAAAACACATTTGTAATATTTCGGAAATGCAGTCTTGGAATCTTTTCAATAAGTGCAAAAGGATTAAGAACTGAACTGCCCTATAAATGAGTGCAGAGTTAATATTTCCTATTTCAATAAATTTTATTTTCTTTTAGAATAAATCAAGGCAGAGGTACATTCTTACACCTCAATTAAAACATTACATTGCCCACAAATTTAAAATGTGGTAATTAATTTTCTTATTTATGGCAAAACATTGCAACTAAACAATAGCAACGTAAATCTTAATCAAGAGCTTTTTAAATGCTTCTTTGTAAGTTTGACAAAGAAAAATGTATACAATTAGTTATCTAAAAAAAAACTTCAGGGTAGAACAGTTTGACATCATAAAGTTGAACTTTGCTTTACTTGATAAAAAATAAAACGAATAGTGGTAATGAATACAATTCTTTCACTTGTATTGCAGATGTTTTAATTATTGTGAATTTGTTAATTTTCTTTAAATTTTGGTAGTATTAATTTCCCAGTAATTTGTTAGCAGCTCACATTAACCATCACTTCATTTATTTTTTTCCTTATTTTTTCTGCATGTGTACATGTGTGTGTGTGTGTGTGTGTGTGTGTGTGTGTGTTTGTACCGGCATTTGTGTGGTATACCATATATACAAATATTAAGGCTGGACAGAAAGTTAACATTTCTTTTTTAAAAAAACCTTAAAACACAATCTAATGGTGGTTGTGTTGAGAACACCCATATCACAACTAACACAATTGAGAACTAGGCTCCAGCCTTCAATGGCACAATAGATAGATGGAGTTAACATGTAAAGTAAATTAAGTGAAATAATATTTCTGGTTGTACTAGCAGTGGTGTTGGTGGTTTTTAACATGGTAGTGATTGTTATACTTTTAGAGGCTTAAAGTTTTAATGTTAGACGATACTTCAAAATTTCTAAAATCTTTTTAATATGCCATAGGTAAGGTACCTGGTTAATTTTAACTTTCAACTTTCATTTAAACTTTAAAATACTTCATCTGCCTTTCATTACACCTTTCTTATTGTTTTCCATTTTCAGAGTACATTCCAACTGCTAATGGCAGCAAGAAATACATGTATCTAAACTACTTCAGCAGCAAAGTATCTTGTCACATGTTAAAAGAAATCACATATAAAAAGAACAGTTTTATTGGTCAACAGCCACTTATACCATATCAACCATGTACACTGATATACACATAATTTATTGACAGTAACATTGGATATTTCAACAATAAGGGACAGCTAAGTATCACAAAAGGGGGGAGGGGGTGGAGGGGGATGAGATTGGCTATAAGCTAACAGCATAGATGATCTCAATTTTAACTCTGTGAACAGACAATTTAAAACTTCACTTTTCTATTAATTAAGAAAGCTTTAAGCAGAGCTATTTCTTTTTTGAACCATGGTTTCGCTACACAAACTCACAACAAGGTTTTTACTGAGGTCTAAAAACAAAATTAAAATAATATTAGTATTTTCATTAATTCTACTTTCACATATTAAAGATAACTGGAACAATTGCAGAGAGCCCTAGTAGAGTGATCAGCGGCTGTCAAATGCCGGAGCAACAATAATAAATTAATGTGAAATGCATCGAATAGAATCCAATATGGATGGATGGAATACCAGGACAATTGCACTCACAACATTTAAAAACAAATTAAAATATTATCATAACTCTTTAATCCTACCAACACCTACTGGCCCAGAAGAATCACAAAATTGCCTACATTCATTTCTCCTTTCAACATCAATATATATCTTGCCAATTAAATATATAACATCCTTTTAATGATGGTGTTTTTTAGACTAAACAACTCTCATGACTTGATACGTTAACTTAATGATACCGATTTTTAGATTTTATTCATATAACCCTGTACAGTATAAATCTAGGGGATAACTTTTGGATGAATAAAAGAAACTACAGAATTTCAAATTATTTTGAATATTATAGCTAAACTTCTTATATGGAATGGGACTATTTTGAAAAAGGAAAAAAAGCACAACCAGAAACAAACCCACACAATTCTTTTCAATTAATAGGGACTCACAGCTACAATATTGAGAATAAACTTAAATAGGACATTTTTAAATCTCTTTACTCTACATCACTTCTCTGAGGATTTTAATTAAAAATAACTTTCGTTACTCACACAATCACAAAATAGTCATTTTCTCAGGCTATGTATATAGTAAAACTAGGTATACATCAAGTCACATTTTGTTGAGAAAATAAACAGAGCTGAACCTTTTCTCTCCAAACATCCGAGCCAACAATATTGTTGTGGAAACCAACAATCTAAAATCCAGCAGAATGTACTAGGATGGAAGTATCTGAATAGCAGTTTCAGCAGACACATTCACATTTATCCACAAATAACCTGAAATAATGTTTCCTTACACAGCACATTTGTCTCATTTTGCACTATAAAACACCATAAGCATCCAAGTCTATCTCTTTTGTCAATATGGCCTGTGAATTAGTGATTAATCAATCTCTACAAACAATAGCTTCTTGTATGTTAAATCACAATATTAACATCCAAATTACATCAAACTGATACCAAATACATCTAGCAAAACGTTGAGAAATCCTAGCTATTCCCAAGGTTTTGGACAATAAAACCTTTCGTTTTCACAGATAAGCACTGGTCCCATTATTTTCAAAGAATTCTCAGTATTTACAATATTGTCAAGAAAAGGCTCACTCCTATATAATAGGCACTACAGTAACTGATGATGACGACAATGAAGATGATATCTTTTCCTTCCATCATATAATCTATGCATTTGTTGGATTATTATGATCCATTGAAACATAATTAGATGTTTTATATGAAGGATGGTCTGTTGTATGGAGGTGCTCGGTAGAGTTCATCTCGTCTTCACTGCCTAATTCATCTCGCGAATTAAGAAGGTTTCTTGAGACATCTCCTTCATGTCTATTTATAAAGCCACCACTGTCAGAAGCATCTCCGTTAGTTGGAGTTTGGTCCTTTCGGGCTTTGGGTAGATTAGCTAGGGAGACCCGCATGTCTTTAAATGCGTGGAGAAGGAATATACCTGCAACTATGGTCAGGAATCCACATATTACTCCCATAGCATCCATGGCGCCCAAGTGACCCCACTCTTTATACAAAATGGCAGATGCTATAATTGTAAATGAGGTAAAAAATACATAGTATATAGGTGTCACCACGGCAGTGTTGAATATATCCAAAGCTTTGTTTAAGTAGTTTAATTGTACTGATACAAACAAAGCCACCGTGAATATGAAAAAGTATGTTAGCCAATTGGTGAATTCATTTTTCCTCCCGCTGAACGTCTCTGTTAGGGCAACACCCAGGGCCTTGCAGCCCATCACAGATAAAGAACCAATCACTGAGCAGATAACAATGTAGATCAGGACGTTGGTGGTGCCATGTCTTGGAGCATAGTAGAATATCAGTACCCCAGCGATGACAAACACTATGGCTACATACGTAATGAAGACTGAAATAAAGGAAAAAACAGCATCTTTATTTAGATAACAGTTTTATCATAATTTTGCTTAAGAATTTAAGATACTGAATAAATTTTTATGACCTGTTCAGCATATACAAGATAAACAACAAATTCATGTTCCATCTATTTTACATTTTTCTGAACACAAAATCAGTTTGAAAACCAGATTATGGTCTGCAACTAATGCCATCTATCTGAGAAGACTTAAGTTATATCTACAGCAGCTTTATTCACCTGGATCTACAAGCTTGTGTGCCAGGGACTCCATGCTATCAACTTCCTGTTCTTTTGGAGAATGGATGACTACAATAGTGGATCCCAGAATGCACTGCAAGCAGCCAATCTTTCCCAGAAGATTGAGACGCTCTTTCAGCAAATACGAAGACATGACAGCCCTAAGAAGAAGTTGAAATATTATGTATTGACTTAATTTTACTGGAAGTTTTATGTAATTTTGTATATATGCTGCTTAGCTAGCTCATTTGTACAGATTTATATGTACATAGTTAGGACATTCATAAACAGCTTTATGCTGAACTTTCTGTTTGTAGTTGTTTATTCTGTCAACTTTTTCAATTATTCAGGCCATCTTGTCTGGTGGATACTAAAAAGTAAGTTTCGGTCAAAAGTTTTTTTCAACATGGATACTAAAAACTAGTTTTAAGTCAAAAAGTTTTTTTTTCATACATTGATACTTTTTCACCAATGTTACCACTATTCATTTTTCTGATAAATGAATCCTTCAAAAAGATATTTCTTCTTTTCCAACCAATCTTTTACAAGTGACAAATTCAGGAGGGTTCCCAGAGATGGGTGACAACTTACGCCACAAGGACACTGAGGGCTCCAAGGGGGGTGACTAGAGTAGCAGGAGCAAATGCATACGCTGTGAAGTTAGCTGCCTCTCCAGTTCCCACTGAGGACGGTAAAAAATAATAAATAAATAAATAAACCTGTTGTTAAATATAACATATCATTTCTATAAAAGATAGAGGTAGGGGTTAGTTTATCTATTCATTCATTAATGACATTCTTTATCTATTTATTCACATATTAATTTCATTATCTATTTACCTAATTAGCTACATAAAAAGTAGCAAGTGAAGAATATTCCATTTTACTTATCATTTTACTTATTTTCTTTTTAATATTTTAATAAATCATTTTTTATACATCTGTTTATTTTATCACCCATTCACTTACTGGCTTACTTATATCGAGTTGTTTGAATGAAATGCCAATTTGGCCAACCTTTTTTTCAGCTATCTGACTAAATCCAAATGTATGCCAGGGCAGACACATTCATCACTTACTAAGAATCAGTCCTAGCCACCACAGGGGCTCCTTCAGGTAGCCATAGCCGCCCTCACCTGGAAAAGAAGCAGCACAGTAGTAACCATCAACCATACAATTAAGATAATCCATTACAAGGGCACCTCAACATAATTATGAGCCATTCAACTGGATATAATATTAGCAGTACTATCTAAGTTATAAAATGGGACATGGAATCAATGGTAATGCAGCCAGTTCTTTGATCAAATACTGTATCATCAACATCTAAGCTGTTGTACATACATAATGCAGGTGAGGTTTACCTGAGCCTATACCAGACTTAAGCTATCTCCATTGGAATAATCAATTTTTAAATTCCACTTAGGCAGAACCAAGGCATATTGAAGGAAATGTTGGTTTCCACACCTACAGTACTCTTAGTGATGGAGTTGCTAGAACAGAGATCTTTTGTCAAATTCATAGGAATCAATCATCCTAGAAAGCCCAAAGCCTCAAGACCTGGCATAAAATCAAGTGAGATATTTTTCTAGGATTTGGAGGACAGTGGGGTCAGAAATAATGGCAAAGTACTCTCTGGCCACATGGTGTGCTATTACACTGTTACAAAAATTTCACAAGGCCCAGAGTGAAACTTTGCAGACTAATTTAGGGGCCCTTGATATCAGTGGGTAATGGCAAACTAGCTACTGCAATGCAGCAACAAATAAAATCTGGCAGAGTTAATCAGCTGATATTTTTCTGGTTATTTTCTGTTCTGTTTTGCATGTTACGTGTAGGTTGCTTTTGGTGATGTGAGTTTTGCACTTATTAATGAGAAGATTACCCCCATCTTCCATAGATTCTCGCATGTTTTCCAGTCTCGTATGAAGCCACACGGTGCCGACAACTCCATTAACTGTTACTTTGGATGATTCCCATTTAATTAATTTACTTATTCCCTTTCAACTCATTGTGAGGTGTTAAAAATCAAGTGATACACCCTGTACTATTCACCCCAGTGAAACCCTTGGCTAGTCTGACAATTCACTACTAGTACGCCATCAATATTATATGATATGGACAATAGGTTGGAGGCTGAGTCACTAGAAATATTGCGAAAGTAACCACTGTTCCCTGAATTATCATGACCCTGCTTTAATAATGAAAATGTCTGGAAAGCAGGCAGCTCACCTGAACCGACAGAAAATCAATGATTCTACGTGGGGTTCTGTTAGATTTCTAGTCACCTCGACTGAGATTGGTTTAGTCTGTAGTGTTCTGCTAAAACCTGGGCATTTCTCTTAGATGGAATCGTATGGCTCCGAGTATAGTGGTTTGCATATCTATGATAACAGTTGTACTCTCTTATTTATGGATGTGGGTCGTCATAAGCCTTTGATCTAAACTTTATGTGTGTGTGTGTGTGTGTGTGTGTGTGTGTGTGTGTGTGATTTGCCTCTCAGTGTTTTGTGACTGTGATATATCAGATTAAGGTGGTATTCATTCTCATTAAGTATAAACATTTGACTGCATAACATTCTGAATAAACCCAAGTATGGATTACACTGACTAAACCAATTCTATCTTCAAAAAAGTTCATTTTGCAACTCTTTCCCCTTCAAGACACAGGCTGCACCTCAATATATGATTGCATTACATCCTGCAAGCACCCTTCATTATAATGACTGAACAGTGATTTCATTTTAAAAATCACCTCACTCCCTTATCCCTGCTGGTTTATCCATCCACAAAGTGATCCCAGTCCATACAAATTAAAACATTTTGTATTTTAAGAATATCAACTTTAAGCAATAAACACCTGCTCTTGTTCCACTAGTAGCCAACTTCTTCAGTCCTTTCTTTTTCAATATGAAGCTTGCACCAATGAATATACTGGAGCTGACTGCCAGGAAGAATCCTATATAGAAATCCCTCATAGCTTTATCAGGGTCTACAGAGTGGACGTGGGTGCCATTGGTCGGCATGATGCTAGGGCTTAGGGTGGAGTTCTGAAATTGAAAAGTTCATAACATGTTACAAAATTGATATTTGGTGTGTGTGAGAGAGTGTGTGTTTGCGTGTGTGTGTGTGTGTTCATACTATTTCCACAATCATGATAAATCCACAAAAAAGCTCAATTTTCAAAACACATGTTCAAATATTTAACATGATTAGATTCTCTGTAATATATGTACCTCCATGATATATGTAGTACAGGTCATTGTGTGTGCATGTGTGTGTGTGTGTGTGTGTTATGTTCAAAAGACAACAACATAACATCTCAGGTTACTGCACTGGACCCTTCATGACCTATAAATCTGAGTCACAACTCTATGTCTAGCAGTTTACTATGGCAGATTAGAACGCAGAGTAACACCATTATGCAGCATAAAGTGATGGTTCAGAGAGCAGGTGAAGTTACCTTGGGCAAAAGTACAGTCACGGTCACTAGGACAGCTAATGACAATCTACATGTAGAATTTTTCAAATAGTCAATCACAGACAGATAGTGTATTTTTCAATCGACATGTCTGTTGAAAAAAGCTTTATTATAAATAATCTACTCTTCTGTACAAGCTGTTCAAAGGGCATTTAGCTATTAAGTGATTAAATTTGGTTATCCATTGTTAAGCTGGTATAGAGAACGGGTCCACATTTCTGTTAACACCTGACCTACATGTCTCAGGTACGGGTCAGTGCCCCAGAGGAGTTATATATACTGTACAAAAGTTTATGCACAGGTAAACTTACAACCTTATTTACCATTCTGTTGAAATTCAACTTGACTACAGTTTGTATGTTTCAGTATTAAAAAGGGGGATTTTTGCTAATTTTTTAAGAATAATTTGAGTATAGAAATTATGGAAATTCCCAATTCAACATAAATGCTGTACTTTTAGATATGCAGCTGCAGTATTTATAATGATATATAAGTGGGAATCAAATAAAGAGGTTATTCCCTAAAGCCCTCATTAATATTTTGATGATAATTCCAATACTGAATATGCATGTGATCCAAGTCTAAACAAAGTTGCAGTAATTACTTAATTCTAACAAAATAATTAACTACCTAAAACAATGCTTTATTAGTTTTCTCTCATAATAAACATTTGAAACTTCTGAATATGATACTAGTAGGCTAATATCAAAAAGGTCTTGTAATTTATAAATTTATTTAAAAAAAAAAACAGCTCATCAAAAACATAAATATGTACCTTTGTATTCTAATTGCCAACAGAGGTTAATTTGAGTATCAAGTGAATCTGTATGTTATGCCACATGAAATTACATGTGATATCATAAGAAAGTTTACCAGATGCAGATCCAGAGATATTTTCTGACAGTCTTCCCAATAATCTTTATTGATCTATTCTCTATTTTTGACCGTCTTCCGAAAAAAAAAAAAAAAAAAAAAAATGGATACCTCTNATTTTTTAAGAATAATTTGAGTATAGAAATTATGGAAATTCCCAATTCAACATAAATGCTGTACTTTTAGATATGCAGCTGCAGTATTTATAATGATATATAAGTGGGAATCAAATAAAGAGGTTATTCCCTAAAGCCCTCATTAATATTTTGATGATAATTCCAATACTGAATATGCATGTGATCCAAGTCTAAACAAAGTCGCAGTAATTACTTAATTCTAACAAAATAATTAACTACCTAAAACAATGCTTTATTAGTTTTCTCTCATAATAAACATTTGAAACTTCTGAATATGATACTAGTAAGCTAATATCAAAAAGGTCTTGTAATTTATAAATTTATTTAAAAAAAAAAACAGCTCATCAAAAACATAAATATGTACCTTTGTATTCTAATTGCCAACAGAGGTTAATTTGAGTATCAAGTGAATCTGTATGTTATGCCACATGAAATTACATGTGATATCATAAGAAAGTTTACCAGATGCAGATCCAGAGATATTTTCTGACAGTCTTCCCAATAATCTTTATTGATCTATTCTCTATTTTTGACCGTCTTCCGAATAAAAAAAAAAAAAAAAATTGGATATCTCTTAAAAACTTTAAAATCTGACCGTCTTCCAGAAGACCCAGAAGACAGCTTAAATCCTCCCCTGGAAACCTTATGTGATATAATGCGAAAGAGCAAATCACTTACCACAGTGGAGGCAGAGGAAGACATCATGTGAAATGTCAGTCCTAAAATGGTTGGAAAACTTTGCGAGAGGCTTCCTTCTGTGTGAATCTTATAGAGAACCCAGAATACAGTCAGCAGTACCAATATTGTCAGACATGCACGGATAACAAACGGTCTTTGTAACTGAAAAGAAAAGAAATAGCAACTTAATACCACTGTACAGTATCCATGCTAGAGCACAATACTGAGCCCTAGATTCATGCAAGTCTACATGTTACTCAATGCCACCACTTTCAGCCATACCACTGAAATAGGAGAGTTAAATACACAGACACAATAGTGAGTGTTATCATAACCAGAAACTGTGAGGACATTGCTTCACTCACTAACAATGTGTAAATTTATACCATATATAACTAGGTCACAAGAAAGTATTATGTTCTGATTAATATATTACAATAATTCAATATAATGCAGTGAAAGACTGGCCTCAACAGTTCTGAAACATCAAAACAATATATAATAAGGAAATGTGAATATGAATGTATTTACATCTCAATATTCATTGTATAGCATATGAATAAATAAATAAATAAATTCAAAGCATGACTCTCAATTCCTAGAGTGGTCCAGGATTCCACGGCTACATGTAATTTGACATTAATCTCAAAACTAAAATCTCACTGGGCACAATTCTTGTTGTTTTAAGATGTTTAGAAACCAATTTTCAATGTGGTATTACACAGGGGTAACTGGTCTAGCAACAAGCTTCCCCGTGTATTAAATGCCCCATGTGCTATTTCTGTACAAAATCAATGTACAGATAAATCAAAATCAACAACAAAAGCCTTGGGGCTTCTTAAATTGAAGCCAATGCTGATAAGGTTACATATGATAACATTAAACTGTTTGGCAGCTAAACCTAGCTGCAATAGATATTCATATACCAGTAGTCAAATAGAATATTTTCACTTAATTTGAAACCATCTTACATCTTGGATCCAAATGAACTGCAGTGAATCCGTATAATGAAAACAACTGGCTCCAAAGAATTATCCAGAAAAGATTCTGAAACTGCCTCCTTCTCTTTTCTTATCAAGTAGAACAATCCAAACTGAAAACTCTGGAACTTGATCTTTCACATCTTTGGCTGAATCCCCTGTACGGGTTCTTTATGAAACAACGCATTTCTGAGAACCATACTATTAAGAGTATGAGCATCATTTATTTCTAGAAGTCTTCTGATTCATGCAACTGACATGTAAACTATCACACCATGCTGGCTCTTACACAAATTATTCTTGGAATCCATACTCCCCCCCCCCCCCGCCCCCCAATCAGAGGCTGAATACTTTCACACACCAGTTATTTATGGTTCCTGCTGATAAAAACTGATAGAGATCCTATTATAATACCTTTATCATATCCATATAATACCATCATTTCTCCCCAGTATTTATATGCTATGAGTAAATTGAAGTTATAAAATATTAACAACCATAATTCTATTTTCATACAATTTCGTTTTTATCAACATCAATGCTTCCAGTAATGATAACTTTTCACATTTCTCATCCATTTTTATCCATGCATGCCAGAATGTAAAAAAAATTCCCAATATTCCTAGAATTCCATTGCTTTTTGCCTGGAAAGAATTGATTGCCTGGAAAGACTTGATATTCCTGACATTTGTGGGATTTCCCTGTACTGGTTCACCAAAAATGCTCTGTATCTATGGTATCCTTTTTTCAGAACAACTTCAAACAACATCAAGATGTCGACTGCATCCATTTACCAACCCCGAAAACCTTGATTTGGTTAAGACAGTCTGGGCTAGCTCATCAAGAATCTGAGTCTTCTGATAAGTTCCATTCCAGAAAGAATCCAAGGAACCTTAGCTCGTTTCCCTTCCTTGGGCCGTAATAAATCCCTTTTCACCAATTTCTTCTTCCTGTTGCATTAATGGCCTTCTTCAAAATTCAACTAGTTTTCTGCTCGTCACTAATAAAATTGCCAGTATTGCTGAAAATTCAGAAGCTCGCTACTAGTGTTTGACTTTAGCAGGCTTACAAAAAATAAACTTATGTGCTACAGTGTATTACCAGCAATACACTGTATATCCTGTTGCTAAGTACTGAAGGTTTCATTATCCTTTGATTCATCGAAAATTGCTACCTTAACAAAACACAGGATATTCCCTAGAAATCAGCCTGGACATCAATCTCTGAGCATCATAATATACTGCACTTAAAACAGCCTTCCTATCTGCTGCAGTGAACAAAGTGAAACCTTAAATTGTCCAACAGGTAGGAAAACAAATAGCTTCCAGAGGGTTTTTTTTCATAGGAGGACAGGCTTATCTAATGTGAGGACAGCACATCAGTTATACAGGAAAGGCAATTTCACCATTATATTACATTGTCTATTTCAAATATCCGACCACTGTTTCCTAGTAATTTATAAAAATTGTACCATAACATCAGTCAGGTCAAACATACAGTCAGATAAGTGTGGGCAAATTAAATTTTAAATCCACATGCGTTGTTTCATTTTGTCATACTAAATGCACAGGTGAAAATTACATGGAAGGAAATCAACCTCAAAGAACTTATGTATAAAATTTCCTCACCTGCCAAAACTCAGTACGGGTCTTCTTTCACTGCAAACTAGATTAGGCTTACTAAGCTAGGGCATACGACTCCAAGATTACTGGTACATAACTCCCTCTTTCTCTCACAATCATCAACTAAGAAACTCCATCACGTACCAAGCATCCTCTGCTGAATACATATAACTTCTATACCTAGTCATGTAATTGATGAATTTACCCGACTAACAAGTTTTAGATCACAGGCTGAAAAATATCCCTTAACATAATGTATACTTCATCCTGCAAGTTTATTTTCATTACATCAGGTCAGTGCTTGATCTAATACAGAGAAATGGTGTCTCCGAGGAATTACTAGTATGGATGCCTAAATTACAAGACTGGATCGCCTTCAATGCATGAAGATATTGCTTTTTTGTTTGTCATCTTCAGGTACTAGTACCTGATGCGATTAACACCTTCTTCTGTGATGCTTTTACAGTCCACTTGTAAAAACCTGGCTTAGTCACATAATGCTTTTGCTGACAGTTTGATTATGATTTCCCACCTGCACTACAATAGTGGTTCATATATAAGTGGCTAAACCACTGTTATATTTATATGAGAAATCTCGAAATCTTTACATAAATAAGAAAGGGGGTGTCTAAGCTACCAATGATAAGAAATTATTTCCACTAAGATTGTTGAGATAGCATGGCACCCAGCACAGCCATTACAGTCCATGAGTGAACTGCACATATGCCTCTACATTTCAGGAAATGTATCAAAGTGTTGATACTTCATTTGACAGAAGAGACGTTATTTTATTAGTGGTGGAATATCAGTTCATGATTAAGACTGCAGTTTCAAAACTGCTTTGATAGTTCACATTATAAATAAATAAATAAATAAATAAATAAATAAATAAATAAATGAGTAAATAAAAGTAATGTCATTGTACCTAAACACCCACCCCCTACCTTTTGGGAAGGTATTAAAATATCCATGGAGCACAATGCAAAGAGTGGAATTACAGCAAATCTAAGTGCACTTCAAATAGCTTAATTTTACTTAATATAAATTCTCCAATGACAAATTTCAAACCATTAAATAATATTTGCTTAAAAGCCTCTTGACATGCAGCAACTATGGTTCTAGGCCTGGCTTTTAACTCCATCACTAAGACCCCATTCCCAGAGATTAGATCGATCCAACTAGATCGACCTAACTCCCTGGGGGTTCATGCTAAATAGCTGTCAGCCGGGCGGGCACAAAATTTAATTACCCCCTTACAGCTTGTAGTAGGCGGGACGAACATTTTATCGAGATTATCTGACAGTAATCTAGTGAGACTCCCTATGGGGATAGATCGATCTAAAATCTATGGGAATGCACCCTAATACTATCTATGCTCCTCTAACATAAGCTGCTCACTAGTCCCTGTAGAAAACCACCTGGAGTCATTAAGCCTTTCATACACTTTAGGCACCACGACACCTTCCATAATGATCTGATTAATACATTTACAGAAAAGCTTTAGGCTCAAGTTAATCTGTCATGGTGTCCCACTGGGTTTTATCAGGTGACAAGGGACTTGTGCATGTTTTACTGTTAATCTTATAAAGGCTGAATAAGTTAAATCATTGTGCCTGTCAATAAGTAGTAGTCATTAAGTAGGACGATGAGAAATTAGAATACACCCTTGAGGCTTGACTCTCTCTCTCATACTAGACATAATCAGTCTGAATGTGGAGAAAATGCAAAATAACCAATGTGCAGTAGCTATCATTAATGAAAGGGCTCCATGTGATGCATAACAACCATATCCTAGCAACTGAAAAATAAAACAAGATTTTAAAGAGAGCAAATGCCATAGCAGTAGTGGTTGTGGTTTCATGATTTTGTATAAAGCCAATCCAAAAATTATTTTAAAACACTTCTAAGAAAATGATAAAATTATAAAACAGCCTTTCTTAGAACTTATTTATGTAAGAAATAGTTTATATTTCTTATACTGTTTATCCATAAATTATAATTAAAAGAGTATTAGGGAACTGGATATTTTGAAATTAATTCAACATAGGAATATCCATTAAAGGACATGTCACTTCCTGAAATGTTCCCAACCTATCAATAAAATAACTTACAGTAAACTTTCTTGTTAACTTTCAATATCTGTCATTTACTAGTCCAGCATGCCAGCAAATTGAAATTGCTGCAATATGAACTTTCTATGACCCATGTACTAGTAGGTCTAATGACCTACTTGTACTCTGTAAATGTTCTATACTAGTTATCTTTTACTTCTGAAACATCAAAGTTCAAAATTTGCCTCAGCATTTATTATTGTATGTAAAATATCAAAAGACAAAACAACTTAGATTTTGTATACATTTTCACATTCATATACCATTCCATAAATTTCAAAATTTACAAAAGCTTGAACAATCAAAAGGGTTATTTTTCCGGTGTAATGAGACAAGAGGGTCCATGCAACAGAAAGTCCGCCCTCCATTTAGTTATAATGGTTAGGGTCAGCCTGACTTAAGTGGGTCAAGATCTAGGCGGAGGCTTACCTTCATAAACGAATGGGAAGCAGACTCTATCATGGGGGGGACTCTCTGTCACGTTACACCCGTACCCATTCCATATTTGATTGAGTAATAATATCTTGTATTCATAACCAACATACTTACCTGTCTCAAGCTATAGCTAATCCACATTTTTGACAATATATTTATCTACGGCATCAAAGAGAAATAAATCCATCTCTAAGTCCTACTTCATCATGATACGCTACTTTGATCTAACCCCCAACCGGCTTGCCTCAATCTACTAGACTAGTCTAAACGATGATCTAACCCTCACTGTAACCCGTTTACTAATCAGGAACAAACTTCGAACAGTGATCATATGTCTTACACTTAATATGTTACCTATTGTTGTTATCTTTGTTTACTGATACTGGAAGGCGATGTTTATCATATCTTCATTCAATGGTCAGCCGTAAGGCTGCCAAGCTGCGTTTGGTAGCTCTATCACTGAGTGACAGTGACAGTGCAACTGGTTGCCAATGACACAAAATACTTTTACTAAATCAGAGTTAAAACACAATCTATGACATCACTCACCAAAGTAAGGAGTTAAATTATATAACAAGCAACCAGGCAGCATATGTTCATTTTACATAACAACATACAGGTGTACAAAAACAAAAAACTATTGATGTATGAAGTTACGTTGTACCACTTACCATGTTCAGCCATGATCAAATTGCCTTGTGACTCCACGTAATAAAAATTAGTCACTGAGGGATTTCCGTTTCGATATCTAAATACAAATTACAGGCAGCCATTGAACTATCTCGTTTTAAGTGTGTTGTTCTGATTACGAAACAAATCTCTCTCAGGTGAGAAAATATGGCAATGAGTCAGGTGTATTTAGCGTAAGAACACAGTGACAGATAAGAGGTCATCTGTGAATAGTGCCTACAGGTGGCAGCAAAAACTTCCGGCAAGCCAATTCAGGAAAATACTTGAATGTTACAAGTAAATTGCGATTATGAGTGGCAAAACGAGTACAAAAAAGAAGGAAGATGCTCCATTTGATTTAGAACAGCACTTCATTTTAAGAATGCCGCCAGTGAGTAGTTTATTGTGCGTTATATACGTGCAAAATATTGCTAAATGTTGCTTTGTTGCAAGTTGCATCGCCGGCGTCTTTTCACTCTGTCTCTGATAATGCGTGATATTTGCAAGTTAGGACATTAGTTAATACCCAATATATATTTTATAATGTTTTATTTTATTGAATAGGTCAGCCTTCATTATATATATACACCAATAGCAAGATTATAAACTTGCAACTATTTTGGCGAATAAACACTTCTCTCAAATAATTACAAGTATCTTCATTGATGCTCAAATTGGAGTCATTGCCACTGCAACTGCAAGCTACTGTAGGTCTCATGCACTTAGTCTTACTTTAGTCTGAAGTAAAGTTTAGAGTGAAACCCACCACAGAGACAACACTTACAAGGGTGTAGAACTCCCAAGGAGTAGGTACATCGATTTAGTTGATTATTCTGGTATTTTGTCTCTTTTTACACACAGCACACTTGAAATAATATCTGACCAGATCTGTAACGTTCTACAAATCTTGGATTTCCTCTTTTGAAATGTGCCCATGAAAAGAACACAGAAGCTGAGCTTACTTATTCACCGATTTGATGCACTTAAAATTCAGGGCACAAGTAAATACAGCACCTGTGCTTTATGTCATGGACACATTTGGTATGAAGAAAACTGAGATTCGTGTACATGGAGTTATACTCTTTTCACATAGTACTATGTTAAGTGTGTACTATGTGTAAAAAAGACAAAATGTAAAGATTATCAATGCACTCAACATATTTCCGTCTTGGGAGCTCAACCCCATTGGGCTATGTCTTTCAAGACCAGTGCAAATCTAAAGGACCAAGTTAACCATTGCTATTGCTATCTACATTTATTTATGGACATCAACCTGTCTTAAACTCCATGTTGTGTTTAACCTTGACTCCTAGGGCCCAGCTATGGCACTTAGAAGAGACATTCAGTCAGGTTCCATGGCTCTGAAGGACAAGCTGTTCATAGACTTCCACCCAGACTCCAGACTTGGGCAGGTCAGATATGGTGGAGATGTCTTTAACGCAAAGGTACTGAATGTAGAATGAAGTTTTATTTGGTAAACTTACTTTCTCTCTTTCTCAGTTATGTCAGATGCTTTCTTTGGTAGGTTCTAGTGGTTTTTATGCCCTGATATTAGTTTCTTCTTGTCATTGTTAACATCACAATTGATACTAGATCTGCAGATTTTAGAACTAAAAAAGCTGGGATTTCAACATTCTTGTCCAACTTTTAATGTAAAGTACATACACTAAAATTGTCAAATGAAAATATAATTATAATATGAAACTCATTAAATTGAAAAAAAAAATAGATTTGCATTAAAAGATGCTAAATGTTGTCGGGCAAAAATGTTTGAAAAAATATTTGTTTGATTATTGATGTTTAGATCTAATACTTTTTCAGTTGGTGGATCTTCCAACCATCACAGAAACATTGAAGACCACAGACAGAAAAACATTTTATAAGTGTGCAGACATCTGTCAGGTGAGATTGAAGATACAAGTTACATACATGGGCTTATGACCTTTTTTAAAGCTAAGACTGCTATTTAAACTAAAGTAGCCATGCCAGCTATGTGATACTCATCTAGTGTTTCTCAATCAATTTGGCCAGGAAAAAGCAAGATTAGTCCTTTCAGATCCTTCTGAAACATAAGTCGTTGATGGGTAAGAATTCTTAGCTGTCTGATTAAGATTTGTGACTCGTGTTGTTTTGTTAAACAGGCCTGAAGGGATATTAATACTCAGACAATTTGAAGGTAAGATCTTTCATAATGCTCTAATAACATTTGACTGATGGTATTCCTATTGAAGATTCTGAACAAATGAGGAATATGAGCATACTGTAAGTGCATGACTAATTGTTTGTGTACTTCATGAAAAATGATAATATTATTATCTTTCACTTTAACTGTTTATTTTTTGTGCACAGTTAATGATTGCCACAACTGAAGATGAGCCTGAACCTGAGATGCCAGAGCTTTCTAAGAAGAAAGAAGAAAAGAAATACATGTGGAATCATGGCTGTATGTGTAACATCTTTCAGTTTAAAAAAATCATGAAAGTTTTTTTTTTTGTGCCTCATACACTTCAAATAATCAGCCATGGCCTTAAATGTTTATCAGAATATCTGTAAAACATAAACTACATGATCATTTACTGTTTTTAAATCAGATAAGGACTCGTAAATGGATACTGTAGAATGCCAACATTATGGAATGTTTCATCTTTCCAGTGACTCCCTCTCTAAAGAATGCTAGGAAGAAAAGATTCAGGAAGATCCTAAAAAGAAAAGTAGGAAAATATTTAATGCAGTTAACAAGAGCACTATTAATGAGAATATAATACTTAAATGTATATATATATATAAGCACATAATTTGATTTTAAAGAGTCATATTTTAATGTTCTGTCCTGACTTTTGAATATCGCTGCTGTTTTTTATACCACAGAATATCAGAAATTTTTAGTCAGAAGGCATGCCTGCTGTGAAGTACTATATATTTCAGATACTTAAAATAAGCATATTTTTCTTACCACTCTTACCAAAAACGTACACTATATACATTGAACAATAACATTAAGTATTATTTTCACTTTGACCTAACATGTTTATTTGCTCCTCAAGAATGTAGAAGAGTGGCCAGACATTGAGAAGGAAGTGAAGCGTTTGTTCCGCACTGACAACGAGGCTGTAGATGTTAAGTGGGAGGTGGTGACAGAAGAGGAGGAAGAAGACAAGCAAGTGGTGACAGAGTCAGGACAGACTCAAGGAGCTGGAGGCAGTGTGGGGGCTGGCTTGTCCCAGGAGAGAAAACTACAGCTAGGTAGTACATAAGTTATTGTTATTTCACCAGTGTATGTGCCAAAGGTGCCTTAGATTTGGCCTAGAACCTCAAGTAACCAATCTTTAAAAATCATATATTTGCTGCTGCTCTAAAATGGGTGGCATTGTTCTAGTAATGTGCTTAAACCAGTTGGTGGTACTGATCGTGAATTGGTCAGGAGTATTAGTAGTTACAGGTGGCATAAGTTTACAAAATATGGCACATTGGATACTACTTTTAGAACAGGAAGTTAGACCAAATAAAGAATCAGATATGATACAGATCATATTATATTACAATGAAGAAAACCATGTGACAAAGATTGTGGTCACAATAAGAGAAGTTAAAGATGTAAAATGTTAAAATCATTTGGTAGTGGAATATCATAATCATGCAAGATATAAGCAGCTTGTATAAAATTTTTCACAGATCTATAACAATACTATCCATTACATCGTATATATTTTAGCCACGCATGACATCTTTGGTGAAGTCAGCAGCTCAGATGAAGAAGAAGATGAGAAAGAAGTGAACATAATGGACGTAGACGAGGACTCCAATTCCCAGTTCATGCCTAACTTGTCTGGTCGTTCCTCCAGTATGATGCACAGTATGGATGAAGACTCCATGCAGGGCGGCCTGTCACAGCTGACTTCTACACTGCAGGAAGACACCAGTGAGTTGTAGAAACGTGGACATATTTTTAAAGAATAGTTGGAGATGAGGACCGTACAATTAATCTTTGATTTTCAGAATTTGACCAGTTGATTTTTTTCTTAAGTATTTATCACTGAATTTTTAATGATATTCTTGAAAAATCGTTTACATACTAAAATGATACAAATAACCACTTTCCCACACACTCATTCATACAAGCTCATGCAGTGTTTAAAGTAATTTTCCATATTTTAGTGGACCTTGAGAACAAGTTGTCAGATTTGGGAATGGAGCTGTCAGAACTTAGACAGCAGAGGGAATCTTATGAGGAACAGCTAGAAGAAATAGACAATGCTGATGTTAGGGTAAACATGTAGAAAACTTGTTATCGTTTGAAATGTTGAACTATTATGTAAGATTCTAAATATTTTTGTAAACTGATATGATTTGAATAATTTGGTGCATTTGCATGTTTGCAGCTTAGGTTCTGAATTAAAAAAATATTTTGGAAAGTGGAAATATACTAGGCCTAACTTTAAGTGAATTGTAGTGTAGGTGAAGGCATTTGGTATATACTTTAGGAGCATTTTGCCATACAATTTTATCAACAAGATGTTGATATTATGACTTGATAACCATTTAATCCATCTCTGTTCCTGTCTTAGGAGAGAATTCAGAGTGCATTGGAAGATTTACAGCAACAGGAGAATAGAAAGCAAGAAGAGGTGAGAAAAGTTTGAATTAACATCCCAAGGCCAACACCATCAGTGATTGCGAAAGCCGTCGGACCACGGCCATATGCCGGCAAAAGTTCTGTGGGCTGGAAAACCCTTTTAACTCATCGGCCCACATGTCCGACGGACTAAAGTCAGTTTCTTTAACAGACACCTCGCCTCATATTTGAATATATCGTAAAGCTCTAAGTACGCACTATTCGCAAGTAAAACTTTAACTTGCGCCATACTGGCGCGTTTTGTAATAAAGGTCTACGTACATTATGATGTCGCTTGAAGTGTGCGTAGCGATGGTGTGAGGGCTGACATGTGACCTGTTTCACAAAAAAATGTATCGAAACTGAAACAACTACAGGTCAATGAAAAACGTACTGCTCAAGACTCTGAAAACAGGCTGCTCAAACTGCTAACGACTGGCCACGCGCGGACCTCTGAGAACACCTAACTACACGTGCTGGGTAAACAAGTATGGCTTCCGTCGGACTGCATGT